CGCCGCAGCCGACATCGCCTCCGCGGAGGGTCACTCGCTCGCGTAGTCGTCCGTTAGGTCCTGGCCCCCTTCCGAGGAGAACGGTTCCTAGGCGTGGAGCTACTGGGTCTCGTCGGGGCAGGGTCGGAAAGTGAAGCTGTTGAAAGAGTTTAGAATGTTAGATAGGTTTCCGGCTCGCTCGTGAGTAGTACGCATACCCAGCATACCCAGTTCCATGTGATCCGGTGTTGTATATACTGTTGTCTAATACTTCTTTTATATACCCTTGATACCATTCTCGAAACGACCCGGCGTCGCGCTAGTGATTGCTGCTCTTATGAGGTAGATTGATGATCTCCGTTGCACACCAAAACATCCGGTAAGCGTCTTTTATGAATCGGCGCATACACGGTGAGCTCGTTTGAAACGATGACGTTGTGACGACGGCCAGTACATAACGCAATTGGTGGTCTCGGATAGTGATTTCCCCTGAACACCACAGATGTGCAATTCTGAGGCGATGGTCAGATCTCAGACCCGGTCGTGATACAAAATCGATGCGCACAGCCCATGCTCTAGTTCGTGCCAGTGTGATGAGGCATGCCAATCGTCCCTATCATGAAGTGGGTACTACAACACTGCTTGAAGTTCTAGTTTTCTGCATAACTCTTATGGCATTTGCGCTGCACATATATAGAGTGTAAAACCGCTCACCTCATTTACAGTCTTCGTTACTATGCTGTGTCTGTCCAATCTGTCGCTCCAAGCTTGAGGTTTAATGAGGAGGAGGCGACTCGGGAGCGAGCCTGCCTGCCAGTGCGCGTCGCCATTGCGTCACGTGTTCGCGTTGAGAACGCCAGCGAGTTTGGTTCAAGTTGAAGTTTAGTGACCGGCGTTGGTCCGTTACTTCGGTCAGTCCTCAGAACAAGTACCTCGTCCGTCCTGGCCCAGTGCTGGTACGTCACGTCCAATGTACCAAAGTCATCTACTCACCTCAACGGAATCAGCGGGACACTCGGTCGAAGAATTGAAACTCATTCCACGCTTCCCGTTGAAACCTACATCTCACGATGCACCGACCTCTGACTATCCAAGACTTCATTCAATTGGTGGTGAATGAAGTCGCCAGGCCGTGTCCACTGGAAGAACGGACGCTCCTGGCTCTGGCGCTCACATGCCGCGCATTCCAGGAGGCCGCCTTGGACATGCTGTGGGCTCACCAGGATGGCTTGGGCCGTCTCGTCCAGTGCTTACCGGAGGATCTATGGACATATTCAGATGACCCATTGGAGGATATAGTGAGTAAGCTGCTGCTCCGCTGTTAATTGAAAGCTGAGTCCGTGATGCATCCAGACGCTCAGCGAACCTACGAGGGCCACCACACAACAAGACTGGCAGCGCTTCGACGTCTACGCTCGGCGGGTCCGCACACTAGATATTGATGATTCCCCTTATTTCAAGTCCCGTACAGAGTGCCGCGTCTCAGGGCCCCTCTTTCGTTGGCTTCTCTCGTCAAGGACTTCTCATCAATTGCTCCCTAGTCTATCCTTCCTTGGCCTGGGGTGGGGGAAGGAGATATCTTCCAAGTATTACGACTCTGCACACATGCTATTTGGCCCGCGGCTCTCTGAGCTGCACATCAGCACCCCTCGGCGCTCGCCGACACCAATGTGCTTGACGTGATATTGCTGCACCTCCCTCTGCGTTCACCAGACGTCAAGTTGTTGAGAGTCAACGAGTCCCAGTACAGGGATTCCGACTGTCAGCCCATCTCTTCTGGTATTCTTCCAGCGTTGAGGGCTGGAGAAATTCGCGGGGAGCATATCCCTGACATTTGACACCCTCGCGGTTGTCACCTTGCCAAGCCTCACAGAAGCAACCTTACTTTTCGACAATCAACGAGCCACTGGCCAATTTGGGGACAGAAGAGGACCGCTCAAATCCTTACCTTCCGCGCTCTGGAGAGATTGAGTATGAGGATGACGACAATGGCTGATGCCGAAGCACTCCTATCCGTCTGCTGCTTTCCTCGACTGCAAGAGATATCCCTGACAACCACTTTCGAATCCAACTCGGACGCTCTCGATGGCGTGCTCCGCTGATCACGACGTTGCGAACATGCTATATTAGAGTCGATCCAAATCCGAAGCGGTGAGAATGAACACCTCGCGGGTGGGGTACACGACATCACCTCGGCGTCCTTCCGACGTCTCTGTGACTTCCGTAATCTTCGTAGATTTGGTCTCAACACGGAGATGCGTATCATCCTCGATGACGATGCCGTCCAGGAGATGGCCATGTCGTGGCCTCGTCTGGAGTACCTGCACTTTAGCAGCTTGGAGTCACCTCCGACTTCGGCGACGCTGGAAGGCCTGGCGCATCTCTCCCGGTACTGTCCTTCGCTGTCGTCACTCTGTATCAACGTGCAGACGAGGGGTACCGTCGTCTCCGCCGATGTGATCCCCGGCGGCGGCTTCTGCAACCGGGCCCTCGAGCAGATCGAGTTCCGCATGTCGTTTCCGTTTGGGAATGAAGCGAAAATAGCGGCGTTCCTGAATGCGATCTTCCCCAACATCCGGAGCTTGATTGGGCGTGGAGAAGGGTATGGGATATAATTGAGGTCCTACGCATGACATCTGAATGGGAAAAGCACACCAGTAAGTAACGACATGCCTCGACTCGTGTGGACCTGCTTTCGATAGGTACACCTCTGCAGGACCAGACGCAACGTAACGTCTGCTATCAACATGCCAATATTATATCGGCGGAGCATCTACGCAGCCCTTCAATTGAGCATCGTAACAACGTACACTCAATCTCCAACTCCTTTCCTCCGCCACGCTGCAATGTCCGGGCTGTCTGTGCATGTGAACACTGATGCGGCAAACTTGCGGCAAACACTGCTCTAGCACAACGTGACAGTCGATCGGGACTCGGCTACTGAGATATAATTACTGGTACATTCAATCGCAATCGCTATTGGTTAGTGCTTCTGTACTGCAGGCTGTGCTCATTGGTCGAACCTACGGTAAAAGACGTACGCATCAACGAACTCCTCACCCTCGCTTCCGTCTGCCTTCTTCAGTCGTCCCGCACGCGGAATGAGCCCCGCCTTCGTGAAGCGAGGGCCTCCAGAGCCTACACGGACGCGTGTCAGTATGCCTTGCTAGAGATCACGCATGGACAGGGCTCACCGGACACTCGCAGCGTTGTTGACGTAGACGAGGTTGAACACGCTCGCCTCGAAGCCAAGCCTTGGTGCGTGGTGCAGATAGGAACGCGCGAGTACGGCACCTATGCCCCGCCCACGTTGTGCGGGGGGACAAGGAACCCAGCATTGCAGATCTACATGCACATTGACGTCAGAAAAGTGAATGTTCGTGAAACTGGGACGTACATGAGAGGACCGGCCAGGATAGTTCGGTTTCACCTGCAAAACGATGTCGATCAGTCACCGGGATACTGTAAAGCCTTTCCGACGTCCCGGATGGTAGGGTACGAAGGGCTTAATTATGGAGTCTAGGCAGAGACTCACGTAGTAACATCCAGCAATACACTCCTCCATGCTGCGTCCCTTGACCGCGTCTTCGATACCGAGCTCAACCTCTCTGCCGTCGACGATCTCTTCACCCGAGCTTCCCTCTCCTATCACAGCCACCAGCACGTCCGCCGCGAAGTAGTATGCCTCAAACGTCTCGAGCGCGTACTCCTCGCCTGCGCGGATTTCCTGTGGATAGGTCAACCCGCGCTCAAGCTCATCCGCGAACACCTTGTGCAGGTATTCAACCAGACCCGGCATGGCCCGCGCAGTCGCCAGGGTGAGGTGGTGGATCGTCAAGTGTGCATCCGGCGCAGGAGTGTACTTGGAGGTTGGCTGGAGTCGCCAGCGTGTGGTTGGAAGAGGTCCTGCAGTCCGATTGGGAGTGAGGATCGCGCCGTATGCCGACATGGCTCCAGTACTCGTATCCGACTAGGAAGTATGCGTCGGCGTGTGATTTCCAACAAGTTCAAGCCGTCGAGTAGACTGTCGGTCGAGTCATGTCTCGCCCGTTACCCTTAAACAGTATTGGCGGTCCATGTTGACGGGGACGGTCCGGTGCTGGCAGCGGAGGCATTATTCATAGACTATGAGTCTGCAGGGTCTCAAGCTAATCGTAATGCCACACCGATGTCACTCGAGTGAGGAAGCGCGACGGACCCGGTGAGGGTTGGGTGAAGGGCCTGAAGGCATGAAGCTGAAGGCACCAGATAACATCTACATTTGGCACTTACAGAAAGACCCATTAGTAACATAAGTGAGTCGCACTAAGTAATAAACATACCATATTCGAAGCGGCGCTTGCTGGGCGCTTGTGTCTCGCAACCCTACCTTGGCGTGGTCGGGGACGACTGCGGCAGTGTACGCCTCCATGGCTCGGAAAATCAAGCTTTCAGCACGTCCAGCACGATGAGTGCATCGACTTTACCGAACACCGCTGCGCTGGCAGGTCGTCTGGTTGCTCGTGCACGACACCGACAATCCTTGGGCCTCCGAACATCTCAACATATGCGGATCCACGCGCGGTCGTACTCCCAACCACCCGTTCAGCAAGACCTGGCAGGCGAGGTGGACCGGAAGGGAGAATCTGACGCGTCACAACGCCCTCATTCGCGCGATTCTGAGCCTCGCGCTAGGCCGGGAGGTTTCCCGACTTCGGGTTCGTCAGTTGTCGACGCGGCAGCGACAGCTTTGATTGGTCTTGGAGCTGGTAAGTGTGCGCAATTGCTACATATCCCTCGAGCTCTGCCTATTTATGAGAAAGGACTGGTATGATCCCTGACAAGAGAGTTAGGCGAGACAGGAGCAACCAGTATTGTCGTACCTGTCGCGAGCCTGGCCTTCCGTCGAGGTCAATGCAGGCAGTGATGTCGACGAGCCAGTCAACGTGCTTCTGAGCACGTCAATAACGGTGTCGTTGCGTGTGTTGACCTCACCGTGTACGTTGAGTGAGGAGCTCGGCGCACTCGACGATGACGCAAACGTCTTGATGGCGTAGAAGGATGCACCAGTCGTGCTCGATTGCACGCCGATCGCGTCGTTTGATGGGGCGTTGACCGAGTTGAGCTTGCACCTTGATGAAGGAGACATCGCCGACGTGCTTCTGGGTACGCCGACGGCAACCTGGTCGCGGTTGCAAGTGTTGGTCTTCGCGGTGGAGTTGAGTCGAGGACCTTGCCAAAGGTTATGTCTCGTGGTTCAACACGTCCAACCTTTCTTGCTGTGAGGATCCTCTGAGGTGCTCGTCGGTGGCGAACGTGTGAGGATATCAGCCATGTCAGGGGCTGGATGTTCGCTTGGGTGAGCTCATGTGTACTCCATCGCGCTCTGACTCGGTGAACATCAGCCTTTGCACTCTCCAAAGCAGATGATTCGTTCATGTATGCCGACAAGGATAGAGGCAGTCGTCTCATCAGGACGCGATATTGGCATCTCCAGGAATCACAACGTATTAAGATGATCTTCTGACAGCAGTGTCTAGTGTTCTTCGGTGGTGTCGCCTACGTCGCCTGGTACAAGAAGAACGTCCTCGACAAGGTGAGGGCCTCATGCGCTCGCATTCAAAGAGACCACTTACTCAGACACCCCGTAGATCGAACTTGCCTTTGCGAGAGGCTACGACCCGGCTCTCGAGCTCGCAAGCAACCCACGCAAGCAGCACGACGCTGAAAAACGATTACGTTCATTGGATGAACATGTAAGACGCCGAGAGCAGTCCTCACTTGACCGCATCATCAAGGGCGCCGAGGCTGGACAGTACTACCTGTTGCTCGGACCTAAGGTACGCGCTGATGTCGTGCGCATTTCACGAGAGGGTCAGAGCGCTGAGCGTGGGTCGCGCAGGGCACTGGCAAGGGCACGATGATGCTGGACGCGATGCAGGCGATCGAAGCCGAGGGTGTCGCTATGTGTGATGCGCACCCAGACCTGGAAGTCTTCCGTCTGCGTCTCGGCAAGGCGATGAATTATGAGTTCAACGAGGACACGCAGACCAGTCTCTTCAAAGGCGTGATCCGCGGGAAGGTCTGTCGACTCGATCCTCGCGCGCTGGTTCATATTGATCGCACGAACTCGCAGCGGGGCCGTCCTTGGATATTGAACGAGGTCAGTCGAGGGTGTGTCTGCCGCGCGGTGCCGGTAGTCATATACTACGCACAGCGTTGAACAAGCTAGAGAAGGTCGCTGCGATACGCACGAAGAACAGGCAGGCCTCTCGTTTTGATCTTCAATAACATTCATTTCTTCAAGAACGACGATGATGGGAGGCAGATGCTTCTGCAGATGCAGCAGCGCGCAGAAAGCTGGGCTGCTGCTGGTGGGTGTTCCGCTCTCTTCTCACATCATTCCCGCTCACTCGTTTCGCCCACCAGGATCCTGACGATGGTGTTCAGCAGGTATTCATTATGAAGCTTCATAGTTCTCCTCTGCTCACATGTTAGCGACGACTTCTGGCCCTTTCTTGTCATGCGTAGGTCACTTACTTAGTTGTCGTTGCGTGTATCCCTAACGTCTTTCAGGAAAGACCGCCAGCAGAATGCAGGTGATCCCATTCCACCACCCGCGTCAAATGCACGTTCTGACCGCAGCACCCCTGTAGGTCGTGACGGTGTCCGACCTGAGCTTCAAGGACGCGCTGCGCGCCTCGGCACAGATGCGCCTGAACGCGAAACTCCGACCGACTCAGAGGACCTCCACGACGCCGTGTCCATAGTGGGCGGACGGCTGTCGTACCTCGCGCAGCTCTCGAAGACCGCGAACATGCGCGAGCACGCGCAGCAGATGCTGGTTGTCGAGAAGGCGTGGCTGCTGAGTCTCATCGGCCTCATACCCGACTGTGACGACGATGTCATGGACGAGCAGAAGTGGAGCTCGTGCTCGTGGCTTCTCCTGCGCGAGTTCGTCAAGCAGCGGCGCGCGGACGAGCGCGAGCGTGCGGAGGCGCTTGCGGCCGGTGAGCTGTCGTCCGAGGGGCTGGACGAGCTGCCCCTCCCGAAGATTCCATACGTGAGTATCGCTCGTTTGGGCCTAGCTGTGCTGTCTGCTGACCTTGGCGTTCAGTATAAATGTCGTCAGATAATGACCAGGGCCGACTATCTTGAAGGTGCGCCGTAGATGCGTGTCGTTCGCGGACTGTCAACTTAGCGTCCGCCAGACCTCGATCGCGCCAATGTCATAGCCATTATGTGAGTCTTCGCGGTTTCATGAGGGTCGGACGCTGATACGCACTCCCGCCGGATCCCAGACGAACCATGACGTTACGCCGGACTCCGTCCTGCTGCTGCAGGCGGCGCAGAAGGTCGTGGAGGAGGAAGGGTTTGACGACCTACTGGACGGCGTGCGGAACCGAGTGGACGAGATCGAGAGTCTCCATCGCACGAGGGAGTTGACGGTGCGTTTCACTGCTGGCCAATACAACGGCCGCACGCATCCTCCCTACCGGTGCGCAAGACGCTAATGAACATCCTTCCAGTTCAAAGACATAAGCGCGGGTGATCGCATTCGACTCTCGGTGGACAAAGGGGGCGCGGTTTCGGTCACTGGCTGATAGGCCTGCGTAGAACCACGATCCCGCGAGTATGTTCGGCCACACTACCCAACACCGCGTTCAGCGCAAGCATCGCAATGCGTTGAGGACGTGTTTCGGCCTAGTGCGTTCCATTCCCTATCTCGCTGAGCGGCTCGTCGCAACTTGGCTGTGAGTCGGACGCAGTACATGCATATCAGAGGTCCCAGCCATGCTTTCCCCGCATGAAGGGGACGGAGAGGTCTATCATCCCTGTCCCGCGAACCAGTGCGCGTCCGCTGATTGGTCCGTCGGCCGCTGATAGACGCAAGAAGGTCATTTAACGGCTCGACGCTGGGAGCGCGGATGCCGCTAGAACTCTCATGCTCTCGTGCGCCTCCTCCCGGCGAACTTTGCACTCGCGCTGGGCCGTCTCACGGTTGGCTGCGAGTGCAGTGACTGCTCCACGATTTGCACGCGCACTAACGTCCACTGGCGACTCTATAGTTTGTGTAGGGTGGATCTTCGCTTCCTGCATTGTGGGATGAGGGCCTGACCTCCTTGAGCACCGCGCTGTACGTCCAGACGCATCCCGTATCGTGCGTGAAACGCTTGACCCGGGGGATCCCAGATACCTGTCCTCCGATGCATCGCGCACCTTGGGAGAACTGGCACAGCGGCAGGACGGCGCTCGACGATTGGGCGGGGTTGGGTCTGTCCCCCTTACGCTGGACAGATTGAACATTCACGTAGACGTCTGAGAAGATGTGCATGGGGATGTGAAAGACGAAACGCTGCGCCCGCGTCTAGCGATGGCGGAGGGTCGGAGCTCTTTGAAAGCATCCGCTGCCGAGGGTCAGCAGATTCCCTCCGCGGCTCTAGACTTGCTATCTCGTGGCGAGTAGCGCGTGCTGGCGAGTGACTTTGACGTCGTTTTATATGGTTCGTGTGCAGCTCAATCTCTAGTGAGCATGGCGATTTGACTAGTATACTCATTGTGCGTTCCATCGTCCAGCCGGGTTGGTCTGAGCGAACAATGTAGAAGTGTGTCTACTCTCTAGCCTCAGTATGAGAATGAAGAATGGAGTGCGAGCACGTCTACTAGTTCGATAGGACAGACTTCTGCGCTTCGTAGGCATGTTGATATCGTGGCCGCATCGACGAGGTTCCGTTTGCTTCTGTACTAGCAGTTTATCCGAGTGGTTGATGAACCATCCGGTTTCATGGACGGCAGCACGCCGGCCATCTGAGTCTTTCCTCCTGGGTGCAAGTACAGCACTAGTAGCTCCAGTTGAACAATAGGCAACAATCGCGAAGTGAGATTCGTCGAAGTCGCAACATGAACATTGAAGAACTGCCCGATGCAAGTGCCAGGAAACAAGTACCGAGACGACCATAGCAGCCACAGGAATGATGGACGGGCGCGTCGCTGATGGCAGACGCCCCAGCCAAGGCAGTCCACCGCGCTACCAGACCAGAGCAAGTGAATGGCGTCATGAGGATGATCGTGGATGGCAACTTGATGGTGGCGTTGGCGAGCCTCGGACTCGGGCAGGTCGACCAGTATGGCTAATCGATGTCAGGAACGCAGATATGGTGGCTAGTCGGGATCGACTCGCCACCGACTTCGAATTCACTGCGTAGCTTGCGGGGCAGCCAGCCCGAAGGAAGACACATATAGATGAAGAGCCCATCCGTACGGGAGCTCGTGGTCGCCTTCACTGGCTCTACAGTCGGCATACATACATGCATGCATCGGGGTCACGCAGCTAGCCCCGTCTTCGCAGATCCTAAACACAGTAGCAGGGCACCCTTCACTCCGCAGATCATGATCTTGTTATGGACCTCGGCACAGGAAGTCCGAGAAGGAGGGGCCCTATCCGCAGCACGCCAAAGGCCGCCTTCCCTCTACGTTGTGGCCATCTGTGAAGTTCAGTAGCACGTACCATAAGGGATCCCAGCAGTCCGAAGACATGCTCGCCCGCCTCCAATGCACGTTCCTGTATCGCAGATCCTGTCTTCTCCCGCGACATGGTCCGATAGGTTGAGTGCTTGGAGCGGGGAGGGCCTAGTAGCATGATCCGGCACCGAGAGAACAAACGGGGTCCATAGCTTGCTCCTAGGGCGAAACTCGCGCGGGAGCCGTCGAGCTCTCCATTCTCAAGTCTGCGTGGGTACGCCGCAGACGTCTAAGGCCATGGCTTGCGCGTGATACAGATGCACTAGCATACCGATGAGGAAGGGCGATCTACGGCGATAAGTCAGAGCATCGGGAAGATAGGGTAAATATGGAATAGGGCGCACCGTTGGACACTGGCAGACAAACCTGGACCCGTCTCGCAAGTGACGTCAAGGTCCCGCTGAGCTTTGGACATCGCCAGCCTTGGCTTTGCATTGTACTTTCAAGATGCCAAGCGCGAGTCCGCGCTCGGCAAACGGCTGCGCCATGTGCGCAACGCGAGGATACTCAACTCCCGTGTCAAACAACGTACAGATGCGGGCTGACTGATCACCGTGTGAGGGCAGCAGAGCTTGATAGCGGCTTAGTGTGAGCAACTACTGTGTGCGAAGAGGCAAACGCACCTATTCCCTGACAGGCACTGCTGCGTCGTTTGAGTGGACGAATCTGAGTCGGAGGATACGACAGACGCCTATGAAGCTTCAACCTGCCTTAGGACCAGTACGACACACCGAGACACTGTCGCTGTATAGCCATGATCATTCGCAGTCGGCGTCGGATAACAACAGAAATGCTGTCCGACCCCACCGACACCTACCAATCCAGCGTCTATCAGCTGCAGGCGTTCCGTAGTGCCCATGTACTAGGGCGCCTGAGGATAAATGAACGCCACCAGCCTGGCTCGGAAGTGTGAACGCTGGGAGTCTGAAATGCCCGCCCTCGCGCCGTTTCATACAACTTCGTGTCCACCACGCGCGCACAGAACGGGTTCGCACGGCCGCGGAGGCCATCGCACCGCCTCGCAACTCAAAAAATGCTTCAGCACATTGCCATCCCATATTTGCAAACGAGCGAAGATAGCACGTACGGACAGTTCGACGCACGGACCAGCAAATTTTAGACGTACGAAGTGAATGGCGATCCGCCTGCGAGTGGAGTCGATTGTGCTCTCGACCAATCATGGGGCAGATCTGCCCGTCGCACGTACGGGGTCAGATGCGGCACGTGGGCACCCCAGACCCAGGACCGAGCCCGTCCCTCGCCCTCGGAGCCAACACAGCTTCCACCCACTCTCCGGAGCAAGCGCGCAAAGTCGGGGTGCGGGGCCTATGCTCCGAACGCCCGCTATTCCAGTAAGGAAGGTCTGTATTGCTTATGTAGTTATTGCGTGTAATAGTAGACGGCATACTGGCGATATGAAGCTTCATTGTATTGAGGGTTAGCAAACCTTCCAAGGTGACATAGAACTCACATGTATCGATGGGCAGGATAGGGATGCGACTCCTCGCTCGCCATGAACGAACATGCGTGTCTCGTCTGACCGCGGACCATGTCCCCTGTAGTCCTCGAGACACGTCCGATGTTGAACGTTGAATCCGTGGCCGCCGGAGCATCCTTCACCGCTCTACGTCGCTCCTCCGCCGTAAAATTTGCTCAGTCGGTTTGGCATCGCGATGGACAGCGTGAACGTATAGGAACATATTAGTGATCGCACTCACTTTGCTCACCGTTTTCCTAACTCCATAATGCAGTGCTCGTCCTCCGTCCGCTCTGCACTTCCGCGCCGGGTCATCTCGGTGGCGCACCATGGTCCGGTCGGAGGCAATAATGTCACGCCGTCACAGCGAGTGACTCGATGTGACTCGCCTCGATATGGACCCACGCGGGGGCTGGGAACGAGGGTCTGGTGCAGCGTGTCAGCGGGGAAGACGAGGGTGGTGTCACTTGCCAGATGGACGAAGCCTATATCGAGGGCCTGTACAACCTTGACGCGGATCCATGTGACGACGTCAGAGGTGCATCTCACTTTGCCAGAGATGCCGGGAATAAGAGAGTTATAAGTAGGGGTCGCGCTGATTCGTCGATCCGGGTCAAGAAATATGTCCAATGACCGGTGGAGGAGGGGAGGAAGTGCTGAACATTGATGATACCACACGAACAGACAATTGTGGATAGGTGCTGAGTCGCAAAGGCTGTAGTCGGAAGTGAGACATTGACGTAGACAGAGATCAAAGCAAGACTCCGGTACGGCATGGTGCATCAACCTGAGAGGGATGAGTCGGAGGCGAGTCGAACATCACGAAAAAGGTCGGTACTAGGCGTCTGTCAGACAAACCATCGAAGTCAACCAACTCAATCGTGCAGAACGGGGTTATGACGGAAGAAATTGCATACGAGACGCCTTGTTTTCAAACGGCGGACTAGCGTTTGCAACAGAGATAGGCCTCGGATGTCGTCAGACGTTCCCACTGTATGCCCAGTGAGTAGCACAAACGAAACAACAACATATGCGGGCGTTCTGAGACGGTGCTCGAAGTGCGTTGTGCTCCAGCGCGAGATGTCTAAATCTTCCACCGACACAACTCGGAGCGGCGCCCGCATGACGCAGGTGCGTTCAGTGAATCTTCGAGTGTGCAAAAGTACCGTAGTGTGTCGCACGCCCGTCACAGAGCACCAGAGGCTTCTATCAACTCGCCGCCTGTTATACGCCGGGCAGGCAACGCGAAGATGAACTCGCATATCTTACGTACCCAAGACGCCGATATGAGAGTGGGACCCAGAGCCGTTGACAGCTCCCAGGCGGGTCCAAGGACGCGTTCCAAAGCACATCGCGTCCCCGTCCACATGTGCACGGTCCAGCTCGAAGCACATTGCGCGCGCCTGTCAGGGGAGATCGTGACATGTGGGCACCCAACAGTCGAACAAACTGCCACATACCCGGGCGCGAATCTCGAAGCGAGCGACGGATCGGGCGCGGCGCGAGCTCACTGGCACTCGATCCCGATCATGGCGTTGGACAGTGCAGCGCAGCTCCGTCTCCGAGGCCGCCGGAGAGAGCGAACAATGGCGAGAGTGCCCTGTTCTGTGTGTGGGTGTGTGTCCATCATGCACAATATCATCGCTGTCCGCCGTGACATCGTGCATCAGCGTACATAGAGGGCTGGCACGTCGGGTTCCAGTCGGGGATGTGGAGTGGGTCGAGCGTCGTGGACCGTGCGGTGTCCACATTGGTATGAGCAGTGGGTGGGCGCAGTGCGATGCAGTGGACGAGGTCGGACTTGGTCGAGCGTGACCGCCGCGGAGACCGTCGGGGTGATGGGCACTGGGAATGATCGTCAGCGACGTACATACTTGGCGTATTGCAAACACCACGGGAACGCATGAAACCGGACAAGGCAAGTATGCGAGGTGGTTATATTCGGAGAGTGGTTGCATGCGATAGTGATGAGACGTACGAGGATCTCCATACTGGACAGCAAGCGAGCCGCACTGGCATACTAATCACGATCCCGCTTTCCAATGAAGAGGCAGCGGCAAGAACCACAGACGTCAGTGCGTGCGCACCTCGAAGCATACCAGCTACCGCACATGATGCGAGGATGTCCGGTCCGCGCACAACGGCGGGACCTTCGACGAGCGTATGAGACCGCGGTCGGCCCCTGGCTGCACGCCCGTCATGCACAGCATCCCAGTCAACACTGAAGCATTGGAATGATGATGGTGGCGTCGCGCGACCCGGACTCGCACCGGAGACTGCCCGTTTCGGGTTGCTGCCCAGTACGCCCAGCCGTTCGAACCCCAAGCACAGACGCGGCCAGATAGGCCAGATCGCACTCCTACGTGACACCGAGTCGTCAGTCTGGTGGCGCGGTTCTGTGAAGGACAATTTCACGAAAGCATATCAGGGAGAGCACGCCACGAGAGCCGGAGCATGTCCACGACGTACCATGACCATTCAGATTGTAGATCCGCGACGGCCAGGTGTTGTGCGCGTTAGCTAACGCGTCCACGACAGCTCGAAGGGCTCAGTGCATGTGAGAGAGCCCATCATCCGCGGCGAATGGCGTCCGTTCGATTGCGAGTAGGTGTCCACGGCTGCACACCAGAGAGCTGCGAATGACGACGTCCAGAGAACACAGTGGCCGTCTGTGTCTTCGACGCAACGTAACACCGCACGCAGCCATCAACGCTCATCGACGTGGCGCAAGCATACAATTCGACGCACCGGGGCCGCGTTGCAGCTAGTACCGCTTCCAAGTCCAACCACCACGACCTCGCGCGCGTCTCCCCACACCGAGGAGGTTCCCGGGCGTCCCAGCACTGACGTCACGCGCGGCCAATACACGGTTCGCGCGCACAATGGAAGGCCTCCCCAGGATTCCCAGAGAGCCTGGGGGAGTAGTGCCTCCCAGGACGCTACTCGGGCGCCCGCACTATGTCCGTCGCACCTGACGCGAGCTCGCCTTCGTCATTGATGTGCGGGCGCGCTCTGCGCTGTATGTGGCAGTTGGCGAGTACGCTCCTAGCAGCTCAGAGGCAGACCGGAGCGAGTGCGGGCGAGCCGTGTCATGATCGTCATCGCCGTCACGGTGGGTCGCTGGCAGGAGAAATCCCGGGACGACTTACGGAGCCTGGATGGACCCTGTGGGTATTGAGCGCGACGGGGGCGCCAACGCTGGGGCCAGCGTATGAGCATACTGTACTCCGGGGAGAGGAAGAGAGGAGAAGCTCGGGCAGATGAACGGCGGCGGTTCAATGTTGGACGTCGACTGGGAGCGAGCGTTGGAAGTGGAAGGTGGTTTCGGTATTGGTGAGGGCACCGTGACGCCACCAGCAGAACATGACGGAGGATGTGGTGTAGGGAGCGTGTTTCCGAGAAAAAAAAGCTCGTACGCAGTCCCTTCCGAATGCAAACGTACGTACACAGGATCATAGTGCCTCTGCAGCTGGTAATTGCGCGCAGTGGGTGCACCACTTCGATCGTGTTGAATGCACCGCTTCGGTCGTGCTTCGGTGGCGCAGTCAAAATCGGCTTGCTTGGCTGTCCGCACAGGGGATCGCAGCAGTCGTATGCATCTTCCGAGGAGAGACTCTAGACAGGCCTTCGATGATGATTTGAATAGGATAGCATGGCGCAGACACGCCTCCAACAAGGCAATGTGTGCGCGTGCCACGATCGACGTCTGAGTGAATCACTCAAGTACGTACAGTTCCTAGACTATCACGCATGGACCCTGGGCAGCGAAGCATCAGCATCGAGTTCCAATTGGGTCTGACACGGAGGAAAGCACACCAGGGACAATAGGTGGCGATGACGAGGCGATGAGGCGTAATAGCGGCAGCCAAACTGCGCACACCCTACTAGGCTTGGGAGAGTATTACCAAAGCTGTTGAAGTAAAAGTCAGGGGCACGAGTAAAAGTCACTGTTCACAGTAGAAGTCAGGGGCACCAGTAGAAGTGCACGCTGCCTCAATTGAAGTCACCCACTGTGATGCGCCCTAGTACGCATCAGGTCGGTCTGGCGTCGGGGCCCTTGGAGCGACAGAGTTACCCGCCGCGGCGTACGCAAGGAGGTCGCAGAGCTTGACGAACGTGAGCATGAGCTGGATGCCCACGTCCGTGTCGAAGATGGATGGGTAATTATTGCCGGTGAGATTGGTGGACCTTCTTGCCCGTGTGCGCGATGATGCCGCGGTCGAGCAGCTTCGGGAATTCGTTCGCGGCGGCTTGAATCACCTCACGTGACGAGGCGGGAATGTCGAGCCAAGGCTGACATTTACTGCCCTGACTTGACCGTTACTGCCACACGCTGTCGCAGTAGAAGTCAGCGACTTTTACTTCGACAACTTTGGTCGTTACTCGCCGGATCCTAAGGGTTTGCGCAGTTTGGCTGCCGCTATGCCTCATCGCCCCGTCATCGCCACCTATTGTCCCCTCTCCTGGTGTGCTTTCCTCCACCTCAGATCCAATTGGAACGAGAAGGCGCGAAGGTAAGGAAGAACAAGGCTGGGCGAGTGTTACCTTGTCCGTAGGGTGCTGTACGTATGCCGCGTCTGCAGGGACGGCCCGAGCGAGCTGTACAATAGGCCAAAGCGGGCTGAATGGGAGCGTCGATTCAGGCAGGCCTGAGGTCATCTGACGATCGCTCGACGCCCGAACGGGCGAGCAATTGGGGCGCTCTGCATTCTTGCACGATCGCGAGCACCCGCGGAGCGTATCAAGCCAAACACACACCGAATAGAACGCCCGCATTTGTAGACAACACGAAGGCCAAAGCGGCCGCATGCGCGCGCGAGCTCCAGGTGGCGTCGACGAGCCGCCGGCTATTGTACCGCATTTGGGCGGCGTCCACAAACAAGCGTCGCACCGACGCGAAGCACGAAGTCTGGCGGTGGCAGGGACGTGGAACCGCCGTCCGCTCGAGCTCTTTGATCGACGCTTTTCGAGCTGCGACTGATCGTCCCACGCAGGCACAGTTGTTCGGGGCACTGCAAGCCTGAGATGCCGATCCGAATAGTGCGACGACGTCGCGTCAGACTCGAAGGGGGACGCTCTATAGCCAGCTAGTTCGAATGCAGCAGACACTGTAACATGCAGCTGGTGCGGTGCCACCGTCACTGTCCCTCAGCGCACCCGACGAAAGTCGGCGTGATGGCCAATCAAACCGCCGGGTGATTGGCGGGAGCGTGTAGGGGGCTCGAAGGGGGCGATGGAGCATGCTCGCTGCCAACGCCGCATCACACTGCAGAGACACGCAGGCTGTGCGTCGCAGCGGGCGGTGGGAGCGCCTGGACAGAACTGGCCGTCGGTCGCATGGCCCGCTGGCTCCTTCCTTTTCGGGAGGCGTCACGGCGGACTAGACCCCGCCGCCACGCGTCGCCGGTGGCTGGCTGCCCGCCACAGGCATGCAGAGCGGGCCGGGCGGGACCCGGAACACCTCTCTTGCCTCTTACGCTCGTGCTTTGGCCTCTCATGCTGTTCGGCATGGGGACTTATGAGACACAAGCGTGGATGAGACAAGGCCTGCGTTAAGGGGAGTCACTGGTTGCGAAGGTGAGCCGCATATAGGTGCTACGGTGCAGCGCCTTGGGGCAGCATTGATTTGTGTTAGTGGACATACGTTCGAGTCAAATTGATCATGATAGTTCATCTCGTCCTTGTCGGAAACATATTGTGAGGCGATGCTTGATTTTCTTTTGCGCTGAAGCATCAGACCGGTAGAATGACAGTGCGTCCTTGTCTCTGTGGAAAGGATGCAAGCAAATTATCCTATACACGTCGATCAGAGGCGAACATCTATGTAAGCGGATCCTACACTCTCTTTGTAGTGACTGAATGCTATCATCCGGTGGTCAAGACACCAACCGCATACACCATGTATTGCGATATCCTAGGTAGAAATGAACGAACCACTGGACGTTGGCCACCGAAGGTGTCCTGTCCCCTGCGGGACAATAGGCGGAGCCCACCAAGAGCGCCACGATAATTTCCTTTCCTTTTGTGTCTTACAAAAGCAGACTGCCCCGAGGTATGTTCTGCGCTTGACTCTGCTCATCGTTCCTGCCATTTCTGGCAGGGAAGCGTGTGTTCGAGGTCCTTCCGGCGTTGGCCACAACGGACGCTTCAGCCACCTGCCGGAAGGGGATGTCACAGGGGCGTGTCACCCTGCCTCATCGGGACAGACCCCAAAGCGGAGCTTAGGCGCTTGAGCGATGGGCCGAAACAGCGTCGAGACAACAGCGCCTTTGTGCTCGGGCTTATATATCCACACCACTCCGTCGCGAGAACGCCGTCAAAATTTCCCCAACCCCCTTCCTCCTCCATCCCATCCCCTCCCAGGGCTCATTCTGCGCGCACTGCCCCTGCGCCCCGCGACATTGTCTGTGCATTGACTTGGATAAGGACCGCGCGCCGCCTCGAGGCTCTGAGCGATAGGGTCGCGTTTCCGCCGCCACGCCATTTCCGCGCCGAAAGGTTGAAGGGTTCACACGGTGAGTGTTTGTTGCATCCCTTTTTCCGGATGGGGCACGGTGCCTTTGCCGGGCACGAGGCGCAGAGCCGCTCTGGCGACTGGGCGACTGGGCTGAGCCGATAGGCCCGCGTGTTGCCGGGCACGCGGCAGGGGCGTCCCCAGGCGCGAGCTGTTGCTGTCGCCCAAATTCGCGAGAGCAGTTCTGATCGGGCAGGAGCGTGATGGGGTGCCACCTCGTCGTTTATCTTGCCTCGCCTCTTCCCAGCGGGCCTTCTGTCGCCCATGCGTCAGCTGTACGCACGCCCGCTTGCTTGACCCCTTCCGAGGCTTCTGCGTCGCTATACCCCGAGCGTGCTGACTTATATCCCCTCCAGTCTCCTCCGCCGCCACCATTTGTCGCCCACCGCCACCGCGCCTGTCTGTGGCTCCGTCTCGACGCTCTGTTACTATCCCATCATGGCTGCTGTCTCAGGTCCCTCTGCCGCCCGCCACCCCTCGCCTTTCCGGAGAGCGAGCAAGATTACCTCAAGACCGCCGCCAGCGCCGTCTAGTGGAACCAGCGGGCATAGCGCGCACCATGGCATCGTGAGTAACCCTTCTGACGTAGCAACCCAACCGAACACTAACAGTATTCCTCCAGCCTGACCCGTACTACGGCCACGAAGAGACCGCCAAGCTCTGCGCGAGGTTCGTGACGCATTTGTTTGCGTGCCCCGACCTCCCTCCGTTATCCACCGCCAATCCGCCAGCACCGTCGCCGCCGCTCGCATTGTTTATCGCCTACGCCCTCCATAGAACGCGACTGCACACTTCGGTGACCTTCGCCGCCCTCTACCTCCTCCAACGTCTAAAAGCGCGGTTCCCCGCCGCCCGCGGCTCGTCGGGCCACCGTCTCTTCATCTCCGCCTTCATGATCGCGTCGAAAGTCATCTGCGACGACACCTATTCCAACAAGTCGTGGAGCATCGTCGGCCAGGGCATGTTCGCCCTCCGTGAAATCAACCAAATGGAGCGGGAGATGTGTTCGTACCTCGAGTGGCAACTCAACATCGAGCCAGCAGCGCTGAAGGAATTCGAGGCGAAGGTGCGGAGGGACTTCAAGGGCCACGGGCCATACCCCACGTACGTACTCCCCTCGCCTGCGCCGACACCAGTACCGTCGACGACGCCATACGGTGCCACGTCGACCACCACGCCGAGCTTCGCCGCGCGTCCGTCGACGTCGCCACCGAAGCCCACCCCCATGCCTGTCGACGCCAGCACGGCGTACCCAAGCCCGCCCACGAGTCCCGACACGCCCGACACGCCCGAGCAGTCGTACTCGACCTCGACGAGCCCCGCATCATCCGCATCGCCGTCGACGCCACCAGGCTTCGTCGACGCGAACATCCGCATCGCCTCGCACAGCACCCACGGGACGCCCCACGCCATCGAGCAAGAGTCCGTCGCCGCCGTCGTGCCGCCGCCGATGCAGAAGCAAACGGGCCGGTCGCTGTCGAGGTCGAACACGTTCGACTCTTTTCCTGAGAAGGGCTCGCCTTCAATATCCGACGCCATCTCGACCGACCGCGCCGCGACGACGAAGAAGGCGAAGGGCCAGGACTGGTACGCCCACGCGACGCCGTGCGTGTGGTAGGCCCGTCGCGCGCCGTGATATCTCTACTTCCCATGCTTGCTTTCCTCCAACCGGCCGCCGCGTCGTTGCTCGCGCGGGCGGCCGTCGTCGCTCATTATATCGGACACCGTGCTCTCGCATAGGACCTCTTGCATCCGGTTCGTGGCGCGTTTCTCTTCTTCGTCGCTCTCGCATTGCCCCGCCCGCTCTCATGCCTCTGCTGCCGCGAACTCTTCATTTGTGCATTGTCTCCTACCTTGTTACGCATGTTCGTCTCCTATTACCTGTCCACGATATTTGCATGCACTGTATCAATACCATACAAAGTACCTTATCTATAGTTGTACATGGCTGCTTAGGGCTCTCCACTATAGGGTCTTGCGTCTTCCGTTATATAGGTGAACATAGGCTGGCCGTAGTGTTAACGCGCTCACGAAAAATATAATGAAGCTAAAACACTGCAGTTCCTTTCTCGTGTGATCTTTTGAGTGCGCTATTGGAATGCTTTGAACTGCGATATTGAGCAGGCGAGCGAACGAACGTCGCTACGAACTCCGTCTTTACTCTCATCTTGCCGCCCACGTCCGAACATCTCTGTGTTCCCCTCCCAAGCCTTTTCCGCTGCCCTCGTCCACTCCTCTGATCAACAGCTCGGTCGCTGACAGCAAAGACGAGCTAATCTAACTACAGTCATCGCTGTTCCACCCGCACCGACCGATCGCTCTCTCGGACGTCCTTAGTCAAGCAAATCCCTTCCTTCTGACGGGGTATATGCGTGCTCTCGCGCCACCGCCCGCAGTGCCATCTGGAAGGTCACGATCGGGGAGGTGAACGTTCACCAACGAGCCCTTTCCGCTCCGGGTCGCGCCCGCGCCGCTTGTTCTCGACCCCTGGCTGGATGGCGCGCAGGAGAATCATCGGGCTGCCGCCTTGGCGATGCGCACGCCTTCCTGGCCGACCGTCAGCGGGTGGTGTGGGCGCTGGGCCGTCAGCTACGACTACGTTGTCGTCGGGATCCTGACTGACTCAGACTGTCTGTCGAGGGCGACTCCACACCGCGTACTCGAGGTACTCGCCCGGGTCTCGGTGAGTTGGAGAGGCGGAAGCAGTTCTCGTATGCCCAGGTACCGCGGAGTCAAAATGTGCGTCGTGGCTCGAAAGCTGATCGAATTTTCTTCGAGGCGTCGGGCTAATCACGACACTTAGGGGCTTCCTCCGCTCGGACTCGCTCTACGGCACTACGTTTACGGTGCGTCCATGACCAAGTCAGTCGTGCGGTCGCTGGGCAAGACCCCGGGCGTCGGGACATTGCACTTCTGTGGCCGGCTGGCGTCATGAAGTGAGTGCGGTGATACGGGTTTTTGTGAGTGGTCGTCCCGGTGCGTCCTTGAATACCGTTTTCGACGACGTTGGACCGCAGACCCTCATACTTCGCTATCCTTGGGTGGTCTGCTGCACGTTCGCGGCGGCCATTCAATTCGGTGCCATTCGCATGCCCTGGACGCACTATGATCATCCACATAACTTAGCTCAAAGCTTCTTTCGCGGTACCGCTCGCCCTTTCACGTTCGGTTCAATGATTCCCATTCCCTGTTTCCTGCCACTTTCCTTGCTACGGCCCCGTGAGCGACTGGCGCAGCCACCCCAGACCCCTTCGCCCAACCTAAACGCCAACCTCTCGCACTGCTGACACTGCATGCAATTTTGCAGCACGCCTACGTACAGCGTTCGAGGCACCTGTACATTCCAGTCAAGGGCACTTGCGGCCCAGCACTCGGTGCAACTCTGGTGCCTTCGCCCCACTGCCCAGGCAAGCGCGCAGTTTTTACTCCACTTGGAGCGCGTTTGCCCCAGCCATCCCCAGGAGGCTGTGTACTGACACAGAGACCCCGTGCAGACGCCGCCGAGTTCGACCCGGGGATCGATGCGCGTTGCTCGCAAGGTACGTCGCCGCAGGTATACATACGCGCCCCTATTCTCTCTGTCACTCTGTATCGGCTTGTATCGGAGGTTCATCGTCGCATTGAAGGCTTTATGGCAACATCTTCGGCCATCGCGCCAAGCGCCCGGCGCGGAGGTTCGTGCTTGCGGGCTCGTATCATCGTGGAGGTGTAGTGATTTGCCGCTGCTGTCGAGTGTCGACTGCCTGTCAAGGTATGAATGCTGAGCGCTGAGCGCTCGCGTCTGCAGTTGTGTATGCTGACCGAGAAGGTGCATTCTTCGTCGATTGACCCGACGTATCGGACTGTTGACGAGCCTCGATCACTGTAACCGCAGTAAGTCCTTTAGAGTTTCATTCCTTGTACCGTTTCGACCATGCTATGCCCAGTATCGATATCCATCTACTGGGACTACTGACCGCCCTGCACACGATGCCGAGAGCTCATACCAGGACTGTTCAACGTTCAGACGTGCACCATTCAGCATGCCATGGTGCCCCTAGACGTAGCTACGAAACTCAATATCCGCGTAAACCTCCAACCAAGCGGCGGCACCCCGCCATCCCCGCCTGCCACAACGGCTTGTCGCCAACGGCCGTTGCGTGACGACTGCCTGGGTGTTTGTCGTGTCCGCCACGAAAAACACGATGCACGACAGGCTTGGAATTTGAATCGTTTTTTCACGCCAGTTCGGAAGGTCGGGAGCCACGTGTTGGCGTGTTGGGCCACTATCGGAACGCGCCAGACGCGTCTGATCACATACGCGACCCGACACGGTCACGCCCACGCGATCCGGGGACAGGCTATCCCGCTAGCGCAAGCTGGGTTCCTGTGTACGTGTTCGCGGGATCCCGCGAGGATGGATTTGGGCATTTGGCGTCGGAGCGTTGGGTCGGCAGCCCTCGTGGCTGCGATCATTGGGCAATCTGCTCCTCCTCGGATACTGAACGCGGCAGAACCAAACGCAGTCGAAGCGGGGCGGCCCGGTCTACCTTCAACTCGTCCTCTATCTGTGGTCAGCTCACCGGGGGCATCCAGCGCTGACAAGGTGGGGGCCGCTTTCTTTTATCCGCTATGGAAGACCGATGCATTACGTTGCAGTGGTGGGTTTGGTCCGTTTGGAAGACTTCGGTGGCTTCTGAACCCTTTGTGGCGTCGCCACACACCTAGTTCCGGTGTTCATCTGTCCTACTACGTCGTGTCAAGGCCATGGAAGGTGGCAATAAAGCGTGGTGGCCCGTGCGCGGCGGTGGTCGGCGAGTGTCTTTGACGGCAATAACTTACCGAGGTATGTGGCGATTGCATCACAAGTGGTGGGATTATACCGGGCTGAGTGATTGATGCGTTCTCACAGGTGAACTCGATTGATTGACTGAGGATGCGGCGTCCAGGCCCTGTTAGAATTAGAGCATCAACACGAGGAAAGAGGTACGTTAGATCTTCTGTTGTTGGTCTCGCTGTTAATGATATTGTCTGTCAATTCGGTGTCCCTGACAATGCTGAGAACGTCTATTTGTCAATCGGTCTCGTCATGACAGCGGTCACAGAGCGGCGCGTTGCAAGCTCCACTACAGACGAGTCAACGTCGTACGCATGTGGTGCGAGGTATATTTGACACAACTACGCAGTGCCTGCGTACGCTTCTCAACGATTGGGACGTTTCTCAGATCCCAACATCTGGATTCTGCACCCGTTCACGTAGGCTCTCGACAAGCTGAACTAGGATAACCGCCTTCCGATTATGGTCCTCTTGCGCCCTTCCACCATATCGGCTTCTCCACACCCCGCACGCGTGCGTGCAGAGCCTCCGGGTCGCGCACTAGAATGACAACAGACGCACACTGACGAACACTCCACCGTACGTCTTTCCTATCTCAGCAATTTCAACCTTCCACAAACTCGGACCGACGTGACCCTGACGTACACGCGGGATGGGATCAAAGGCAACTTTGCTCCTGCACGCGCTCGACTACATAAGCACGCAGCGGCCTCGAGGCCGTCGTCTGCATATGTATGTACGATTGTACAGGCTCGTGACCTCTGGGCGCCCTCCACAACGCTTGCTCGGTGGTCGATGCGCACGCGGTATTGCCGCATACGGCGATGTGTACAGCTCAAGGCATGCTTCTGACTGCCCTCGATCAAGCGTTTGGGCGAAATTTACATCCGCCTCTCGGACACGTTGCTGATCATGCGATCGCCTCCGTTCGTTGTTGTGCGCTCCGCCTCCGCTCGTTGGCCGAGAGCGGTAGTGAAAGGCCTTGAGACAAGCGGTTTGATATCATTCTTTTTCGAATTGATGGCACTTACACAACACATTATACTCTAGGTGAACAATGCAAGTGCTGTGCGGTTTTCCTGAACAAAAGATGACCCTTGTCTGAATTGGAAATCCTAGGTACGTCCCAGCACTTTGGCTGCGTGTTTATGCTATCCTCACATGGCATGCCTTATGCTCAGCGTGACATCGCCTGACGACCTACAAACTCCAATGCGCACAAGGCCGGCGCGTTGTCCATCGGACCTGTACGCGGCGTCACACCTGTGATTAGCGTGTTCAATGGTCCCGACGTGTCAACTCAGGTATGTGCCAGGCCTTCCTCGTCCCGTTGAGTCAATGCGTATGGGCGTCCATTCCATACACTAGAGTATATGGTGACGAGATGGCATGGTCTGATATGGGCACTCCGTGCGTGTATATGACCACCGGTACGGCATTCACGATGGGCTCGTGACCAGGCGCGCTTCCACAGTACGCGTTCATTTCCGCCTTGAGGACTTCGAGGCGAGGCGAGACCAGGTAATGACAGCACTCCGTTCTTACAGGAAAGATACATAGCGCCCGCTGCATGCTGTTGCGCGCATCGCTCATCTAGTAGACTTTGCATGCAGTTACGGTGGTCTCGATGTATGATGGGTACGATCCTCGGGCGCTGATTGTCCCAGGGCTGAAATCCATGGGCGATGTCCGGACGCACGCTGTTTCTGAGGTTGTACTGGCGAACGTATGCATCATGATGATGCCACCCATTCAAAGCCAACGAACTTCACCTCGATGGACAGATGTACTCGGATTCTAGTTGTATTAGGGATACGAGTACAAGGCGACGTCGCGGATCAGGACATGGTGGATATCCTCCTCTTACGATCGGGGTGAGTGATCGAGAGAATGCGTCAAGAGTTGGGCTTAACTTCTTCTGTAGGTGAAAGCTTGTACGCAGGCATGCCGCACTGAACAAGAGTCGTTCGTATCTGGAAGGACTCACAGGGCAAGCTGTCACAGGACCACATCTAGTCTACTGGCTGTCTGTTTAGACGAATAACAAAACGTACGGCACTGGGTATACACATCTGTATTCCTCGCAATACAAACGTCGCACTCGGATACCCGTGCCCGTGCACTATGGCTGGTCCACCATATTCAGACCTCCTATCTCTCTACCGATATCACCTTATCCTTACATCCAATCTTAATCGACGGGCATTACGGGATCCCTCCCTGAAACCTTCTCTTCCCCGGAGTACAATACCCTCTATGCCTCGTTCCTTCTTCCCCATACAGACCATAATGCGTGTGTCATACCATCTCCTGCTATCTACCTTCCTTCAGCGGTAGTCACTCGGGTACGGAGGTGGCCGGAGGCAATGCTGCCTACCGCCCAGAGCCATCCGTGCCATCAGCGCGCATACATCCTAAGCGGTACGGTATCAGGTACTACGCCGCTTGACGCGGTTTGTGGGCGCGCGTCGCGCGAAGATAGCCTTTTGGCTTGCGGGCGGGATCCGAAAGCTCGGAGGCGGACTAACGTGAAGGTATTCGGCTGGGGTGTGACCAGCCTCGTAAGCATGGTCAATGGCTCAGACTTGCTGCATAGGCGAGCTTCGGAAGACACCTCGAGGTATTCTGGAATATCGTCACGGTGCGGGGTTGAAGCTGTCGAAGTTCATACGTACGTGTGCCATTTAGTCCTTTTACCTCATCTGCCTGTCGTTGGGCACGTTTTACTGACCAGTCTGGTTGGCTGCAAGTGTCCCGTTCCCTGCCGGTATCATCCTGGATCCTGCAGCTGCACAGACCCGGTGCGGAGGGCCAAACGTACGATATCGATCGAGGTCGCCGCGAGGCACTGATTGCTTCTGTTCGGCTTCGACGTCCAAACAGAGTATTGCATGCAAAGGAAGGATCGATTCCTAATCCAATCTACCGAGGCTTGCGCTTGCGCTACACATGCATTTTGCGACTTCGGTGAGTGTGCCAATCAATCGAACAAGTCGTTTTGCTACGAGTGAGCTCGCTTGTCCAAGCTGGCAATGGTGTTTGAACGTTCAAGGTAGAGTGAGTTGTTTCGAGACGTCAGGCAATGGCGACGAGTTCAGGAGGCGTGAGCCCGGAGATAGGTGATGGTACAAAGGAATCCGTCAGCTAAAGTCTTGAACGATGTTAGATAAAGCTCAAGGGGAATGGTTAAGCTGTTCCGGTGACACGACGTACCGAGATGCTCATTCAGAGTGGATTGTTGGCCGGTATTATCGCATCGTACGCGCTTAACTGCTTCTACGATCATAAGCAGGTACTTCCAGTTATTATAAAGTACCTTTTTCAGATACGCAATAGCTTCGGGATAGCCGGATGGTATGGACGTACCTAGTCATGTTGACTGTAACCACCCGGCGTATGACTGACTGCCACATCGGCGGGACATGTACATGTCACATTCGCGGTTGCGACCGATCGCCGCTACAGTCTTCAGACCAAGGTATGGGGCGTGCAATCGGGGAACATGTCAGTCATCCGCTCGGAACAACCAAGATCGGGATTGTGGGGTCGTCGACGTAGCACAGAGTCGGTAACACTTGCAATGGGGCGCGCACATCAAATGTAGTCCTTGGTGTAGGTTTGAAGCCCAGTCGTCTTAACGAAAGGAAGTATCATTACAACAATTTGATGTCGATTCCTTGTTTCATCGCAACAGTGAGATGGCAGATCAGAGACGCTGATATGCTCGACCTCGCATTACACCTAGCACCTCCATACACGACGCACATCCGGTTGCTTGCCTATTCATCCACCTGTGCTTCCCTCGTCAGTACAGACTGCGCAACCTCAGGCGTCCGCGACTCACCCGCTTGTTTCCGCCAGTGACGCGCGAGCCGTAGAACCTGATAAGTTTCTCGCACGGGTTGCCACGACTCGCCGACCAGAGTATCGTTCTCTTCGTTGACCTCCGCAAGGTCCGGGAAGATCGCGAACAAGAACGCCGCCACCTTCGCAGGGCTTCCCAAAGAGGGGACTGGCCGAAGTCGATGGTTCGCAGGGCCCGATTGCAGTAGCCACCGCCCGGCCTCTCGTGGAGCGAGACGTCCGCGTCCGATGTATCCACGTCGATCGTGAGCGACCCCAGCAAGGGACAGTACCTGGCGAAGTGCGCCAAACCCTGAAGCGTCGTAGCCGTCGGCTGCCCCCAGGGGTGCATGGCCGTGGAATAGAATTCCAGGTACTCCATTCGGGGCCACGACACGGCCAACTCCCTGACGGCGTCGTCATCGAGAACGATGCACATCTCCGTCAGAAGGCTGAAGCTGCGGAGACGGCGGAAATCGCAGAGACGCCTCAGCGACTCCATGGTGACGGCCTGTGCACCTTCCTCCTCGACATCGGCGTCCTGGCCGCTGGTCACATCGAACTCCTCCAACACGCCCCGCGAGCACCGCTCGCAGAGTAGCTGTAGTGTACGGTCGACGGTGGCCGGGTCTGACGCTCCGGTCGACCTGATGGATGCCACCTTGAGGTTGGGAAAGCGACATGCTGATAGGAATTCGGCGGAGCTGCCCATGGACACGGATTGCAGAAGCAATTCCGAGAGAGAGGGGAAGGTGAGATGGCTTGTGTTAGTGTGATTCGGGACAGCCGACAGTATGGGGTTAGAATCGGCAGCGAGATGCAGTTGTGCGAGGTGCGGAAGTGTTGCCAGGTCCGCGAGGCTGTTGAACGACAAGGGAACTTCCGAAATCAACGTGAGAGACTCCAGCCTCTGCAAGGACGCGAAGGCCTTATCGGGAAAGGGGCCAGGTTGAGTACCATCCATGGAATCGTCAACGATACAAATCCTGAGCTCTCGGATGTCTGGTGAGCGTTGTGTGAGGTGTAGGAGAATCGGGGTGATGACGTCGGAGGAGTACTTTGAGTTGGGCGTGCACTTGTCAATATTCAGCGCAGAGAGCTGCTGCCCGAAGAACACATGCGCAGAGTCAAAATACCCATCCGTACTGTTCTCCGTCCAGAGGAGTTTGCGAAGGGCGGGTAGCAACGGGCAGTGGGGTCTTGACGAAACGAGCCAGAAAAAGAGGTCATCCGATATCGCCCGGGACGCATGTCCAAGACTGCTTGACGGGCCGCATTGTAGTTCTCGAACACGCTGACCGTAGAAGTCAAAGCGCTCCCAATCTTGAGGCGTAGTGTGCTTGTTAGGCTTTCTAATTATCTACAAGCAATCAAAGACGAGCTCCTTCATTGGCTTTTCAGAACGCGGTGCGGGTGCACTTACCAACGGTACCTGCGCAGACTCGGAGGCTTCCCAGAATTCTTCAGGTAGACACTCGACCAGGTGCCCCAGACCGTTCTGGAAGTGCCATATGATATCCAGGGCGGGTTCAAGAAAAGCATGGCACGTAAGAGCGAACGCGAGGAGCGCCGGTAGGTATGGTTGTTCGCCGCCAGCGTGATCGAGTATCATGCGAAGGAGCTCCGGGACGGCTAGTGCTCGGTGCATTGCGAAAGATGCGTTTCGCGTGGTCATACGATATAACGCAGATTGCAAAAAACTGTCATATCGTGAGTACTCTGTGCAGCCGAAGTTGTCTGTGTCTCTCATACACACCGGGAATCCTGAGCGCCGTCGACTTTATCAATATGAGTGTATCAGTTGCCTCTCTGCACGTACGAAGTTCAGCAGAGCTCCTCTAGCTCGCATTCGAACCGTGGTAGAGTTCCGGACCAGGCCTTCACTTGCGCTGCGAGCTTGCGGCCTGTAAGTTGTAAGTATGTTAAGTAGTAAGTAAGGAGCTTCCGAATTCTGCGAGTTGCTACGTAGTGTGGCGTGGGAATGTAGTGAGATCGACACGGCAACAGCCGATGCGTCTAAATGGATCCCCCTCCTCCTCCTCCTCCTCCATGCCGCAAACGTCGTGGTGGTTGGACTTGGGTCGGGAGTGGTACTAGCTGCAACGCGGCTCCGGTGCGTCGAATTGTATGCTTGGGCGACGAGCGTTGATGGCTGCGTGCGGTGTTACGTTACGTCGAAGACACTGACGGCCACTGTGTTCTCTGGGACGTCGTCATTCGCAGCTCTCTGGCGTGCAGCCCGTGGACACCTACTCGCAATCGAACGGACGCCATTCGCCGCGGATGATGGGCTCTCTCACATGCACTGAGCCCTTCGAGCTTTCGCGGACGCGTTAGCTAACGCGCACAACACCTGGCCGTCGCGGATCTACAATCTGAATGGTCATGGTACGTCGTGGACATGCTCCGGCTCTCGTGGCGTGCTCTCCCTGATATGCTTTCGTGAAATTGTCCTTCACAGAACCTTACAACAGACTGACGACTCGGTGTCACGTAGGAGTGCGATCTGGTTCATTTGGTGGCGTCGAAGCCGGGGCCTGTGGCTCGGGGGTTCGAACGGCTGGGCGTACTGGGCAGCGACCCGAAACGGGCAGTCTCTGGTGCGAGTCCGGGTCGCGCGACGCCACCATCATCATTCCAATGCTTCAGTGTTGACTGAGATGCTGTGCATGACGGGCGTGCAGCCAGGGGCCGACGGCGGTCTCATACGCTCGTCGAAGGTCCCGCCGTTGTTCGCGGACCGGACATCCTCGCATAATGTGCGGTAGCTGGTATACTTCGAGGTGCGCACGCAATGCCGTCTGTGGTTCTTGCCGCTGCCTCTTCACTGGAAAGCGGGATCGTGATTAGTATGCCAGTGCGGCTCGCTTGCTGTCCAGTATGGAGATCCTCGTACGTCGCATCACTATCGCACGCAACCACTCTCCGCATATAAGCACCTCGCATATTTGTGCTGACCGGCCTGTGATGCGTTCCCGTGGTGTTTGCAATACGCTAAGTATGCACGTCGCTGACGATCATTCCCAGTGTCCCATCACCCCGACGGTCTCCGCGGCGGTCACGCTCAACCCCGACCTCGTCCACCGCATCGCACTGCGCCCACCCACTGCTCACCCATCTGAACACCGCACGGTCTACGACGCCCGACTCACCTAGTTCCTCGCGCTCGCCGACTGGAACCCGATGTGCCAGCCCTCCACGCTGATGCACGATGTCACGGCGGACAGCGATGATATTGTGCATGATGGACACCCATCCGCACACAGAACAGGGCACTTTCGCCATTGCTCGCTCTCCGGCGGCCTGGAGACGCAGCTGCGCTGCACCTGTCCAATGCCATGATCGGGATCGAGTGCCAGTGAGCTCGCGTCGCGCCCGATCTCACCGCGTCCGTCGCTCGCTTCGAGATTCGCGCCCGGGTATGTGGCAGTTTGTTCGAGCTGTTGGGTGCCCGCATGTCACGATCTCCGCTGACACGCGCGCGCAATGTGCTTCGAGCTGGGCCGTGCACATGTTGGACGGGGACGCAATGTGCTTTGGAACGCGTTCTTGGATCCGCCTGGGAGCTGTCATTGTCAACGCCGCTGACGGGCTCTGGGTCCCACTCTCATATCGACGTCTTGTGTACGTAAGGTACGCGAGTTTATCTTCGTGTTGCCTGCCCGGCGTATAACAGGCGGCGAGTTGATAGAAGCCTCTGGTGCTCTGTGACGGGCGTGCGACAGAGTACGGTGACTTTTGCACACTCGAAGATTCACTGAACAGACCTGCGAGCGCGATCATGCGGGCGCCGCTCCGAGTTGTGTCTTCAGAGATCTCGCGCTGGAACACAATCCACTTCGAGCACTGTCTCAGAGCGCCCGCATCTTGCTGTTGTTGCCTTTGTTCTACTCACTGGGCATACAGTGGGAACGTCTGACTTCATCCGAGGCCTATCTCTGTGTCAAACGCTAGTCCGCCGTTGAAAACAAGGCGTCTCGTATGCAATTTCTTCCGTCATAACCCCGTTCTGCACGATTGAGTTGGTTGACTTCTGATGGTTTGTCTGACAGACGCCTAGTACCGACCTTTTTCGTGATGTTCGACTCGCCTCCGACTCATCCCTCTCAGGTTGATGCACCCATGCCGTAAGGATTCGGTAAGTCTTGCTTTGATCTCTGTCTACGTCAATGTCTCACTTCCGACTACAGCCTTTGCTACTCAGCACCTATCCGCAATTGTCTGTTCGTGTTGGTATCATCAGTGTTCAAACGTTCAGTCCTCCGCTCCTCCACCGGTCATTGGACATGTTTCTGGACCCAGATCGACGAATCAGCACGACCCCTACTTATAACTCCTTATTCACGGCATCTCTGGCAAAGTTAGACGCACCTCTGACGTCGTCACATGGATCCGCGTCAAGGGTTGTACAGGCCCTCGATATAGCCTTCGTCCATCTGGCAAGTGACACCACCCTGACACGCTGCACCAGGCCCTCGTTCCCAGCCTCCGCAGTGGGTCCATATCAAGGCGAGTCACATCGGGTCACTCGCTGTGACGGCGTGACATTCATTTGCCTCCGACCGGACCATGGTGCGCCACCGGCGCGGAAGTGCAGAGCGGGCGGAGGACGAGCACTGCATTTGTTAAGTTAGGAGGACGGTGAGCAAACTTGTGGGTAGGTGCGATTACTAATCCGTTCCTATATGTTCAACCTGTCCATCGCAATGCCAAACCGACTGAGCAAATTTTACTGCGGAGGAGCGGCGGTGAAGGATGCGCCGGCGGTCACGGAATCAAATATTCAACATCGGACGTGTGTCGAGGACTGCAAGGGGACATGGTCCGCGGTCAGACGATACACGAGCCAGACGCATCTTTGTTGGAGTACAGATCGCACGTAGGGCGGGAGTCGCATCCCTATCCTGCCCATCGATACATGTGAGTTCTATGTCACCTTAGAAGGTTTGCTAACCCTCAATACAATGAAGCTTCATATCGCCAGTATGCCGTCTACTATTACACGCAGTACTACATAAGCAATACAGACCTTCCCGAGTGGGACAGCGGGCGTTCGGAGCATAGGCCCCGCACCCCGACTTTGCGCGCTTGCTCCGGAGAGTGGGTGGAAGCTGTGTTGGCTCCGAGGGCGAGGGACGGGCTCGGTCCTGGGTCTGGGGTGCCCACGTGCCGCATCTGACCCCGTACGTGCGACGGGCAGATCTGCCCCATGATTGGTCGAGAGCACAATCGACTCCACTCGCAGGCGGATCGCCATTCACTTCGTACGTCTAAAATTTGCTGGTCCGTGCGTCGAACTGTCCGTACGTGCTATCTTCGCTCGTTTGCAAATATGGGATGGCAATGTGCTGAAGCATTTTTTGAGTTGCGAGGCGGTGCGATGGCCTCCGCGGCCGTGCGAACCCGTTCTGTGCGCGCGTGCGCGCGTGGTGTACACGAGAGTTATATGAAACGGCGCGAGGGCGGGCATTTCAGACTGCCAGCGTTCCATCTTCCGAGCCAGGCTGGTGGCGTTCATTTATCCTCAGGCGCCCTGGTACATGGGCACTACGGAACGCCTGCAGCTGATAGACGCTGGATTGGTAGGTGTCGGTGGGGTCGGACAGCATTTCTGTTGTTATCCGACGCCGACTGCGAATGATCATAACAGCGACAGTGTCTCGGTGTGTCGTGGACTGGTCCTAAGGGGCAGGTTGAAGCTTCAGATAGGCGTCTGTCGTATCCTCAGACTCGTTCCACTCAAACGACGCAGCAGTGCCCGTGACGGTCCGAGGATATGGGTGCGTTTGCCTCTTCGCACACAGTCAGGTTGCTCACACTAAGTCGCTATCATTCAAGCTCTGCTGCCCTCACACGGTGATCAGTCAGCTCCGCAATCTGTACGTTCTCTGACGCGGGAATACGGGAGTTGAGTATCCTCGAGTCCGCGTCGCGCACATGGCGCAGCCGTTTGCCGAGCGCGTGCATCTTGAAAGTACGATACAAGGCCAAGGCTGGCGATGCCCAAAGCTCAGCGGGACCTTGACGTCACTTGGGAGACTGGTCCGGGTTTGTCTGTCAGTGTTCTAACGGTGCACCCTATTCCAAATTTACCCTATCTTCCCGATGCTCTGACTTATCGCCGTAGATCGCCCTTCCGCATCGGTATGCTTAGTGCATCTGTATCACGCGCAAGCCATGGCCTTGGATGTCTGCGGCGTATCCACGCAGACTTGAGAATGGAGAGCTCGACGGCTCCCGCGCGAGTTTCGCCCTAGGAGCAAGCTATGGACCCCGTTTGTTCTGTCGGTGCCGGATCATGCTGCTAGGCCCTCCCCGCTCCAAGCACTCGACCTATCGGACCATGTCGCGGGAGAAGACAGGATCTGCGATACAGGAACGTGCATCGGAGGCGGGCGAGCACAAGAGGCGGCAGGAATTAAATTTCCGTACACAAGGCCGGTTTTTTCCGAAACTTCAATATCTGGACCCCCCCACCCTACCACCCCCCTGTATATTATTATTTTTCGGCGGTCCTGTCTCCAGACCACCCCCCCACCCTCGTTCAATCAGTGAAAAAAGTGCCTTTATATTGCTGAAAAATCTACAAGCCACGTAGAGTATGTGAACACTGCTCTATGACATCCGCACATTCTTCGACGCCGTGTGAGTGGCTTAGTGAGAGCGCAGGCGGAGACGTGGACACGCAGATATGCAGGTATACATACGACCGAGTTGGCAGACAATGAAGCAGAGTGGTGATCAGGCAGGCGGGTAGTCGGCAGGCGGGTGGCATTGTAGGTGCCAGACGGGCGAGCATGCAGGCGAACGAGCCGGGAGATTCATTTGCAGCTAGATGGGCGAGTGTGCGGGCAGAAAAGCGGGCGTGCGCGCGAGTAAGCGAGTGCACAAACACACGGTCAACTATTCGTACGGGTGTGTGCCTCCAAGCTGTTCAGCACAAGGATACGTAAGCAAGGGTATGGGCGAGCGGGCGAACGTGCAGGAGAGCATGTGGATTGGCGGGCAGGCATTTGAGCGGGCGAGTGGACGCGCACGAGGGCAGACAGACGAAATTTCGGGTTGACGGTCACTAGCTACCAGTTGTGCCAGATGGCAGACACATACCGAGGCAAATGAGAATCCGGAAGAGGGCATGCCGAGTAGGTGCAGACGAAAAAGTATGGGTGAGAAGGACCAGAGGCTCGGGGGATAGATAGAGGACAAACCGAATAGCGAGCTCAAATGCGCCGTTCCGGTTACGCTGCTACACACCAAACTCGCTTGATGAACTATCCAGACTGTAAAGTGCACTAGGTCGCAGACGGACGGCGAGGGACATACCTTTGAATCGCTACCTGCCGCGCACACAACACTTACTGAAAATACGTGCGTCGCCTTCTTGAGCATGCCGCGCCCGATAAACGAGCCCGAAAACCTCACACATCCTTGTTTGCGTGCTCGTGTTTGGAGTTGTCGCACAACGGTACGTCGAGAACACTGTTACAGTGTTAGCACGCGCAAGGGCCCGGGGTGAACGTTCGAGTCTTTAGCTGAAAACATCTTCCCGTGAAAGGAAACAGTAGATAGCGGTAAAAGTCGCCATCGTCCAGTCGAGGAGGAGCAGTGGAAAAGACGGCGACCTAGTAGTAGTACGCGACGAGAGCGCACTGTTGCTTCCGCCGCAGACGCACCCGCCACAAGCTCAGCCACACACTTGAGGTTACAGTTCCGCCTGCGATCCACTACGCACATTTAGACTGCGATTGAAAATACCGACCTCGAAAAGTAGACTAGCCAATGGGCCACGTGCAAAAAGGGTTGTCTGCGTGTGACAGGAAGCTAATTTACAACTAATCCGACACTATCGACGGTCTACTTCGACCGAGTTGGGGAGGGTATGACGGTTTTTTCGAACTTCTGGTATAAAATTTCGGAATCGCCCATCCAAGGGTCGACCACCCTCCCCACCCCGGGGGCCTTGTGTACCCGATCTGCCGATCCGCCGCCTCTTGGGCGAGCATGTCTTCGGACTGCTGGGATCCCTTATGGTACGTGCTACTGAACTTCACAGATGGCCACAACGTAGAGGGAAGGCGGCCTTTGGCGTGCTGCGGATAGGGCCCCTCCTTCTCGGACTTCGCCTGTGCCGTGGTCCATAACAAGATCATGATCTGCGGAGTGAAGGGTGCCCTGCTACTGTGTTGTTAGGATCTGCCGAAGACGGGGCTAGCTGCGTGACCCCGATGCATGCATGTATGTATGCCGACTGTAGAGCCAGTGAAGGCGACCACGAGCTCCCGTACGGATCGGCTCTTCATCTATATGTGTCTTCCTTCGGGCTGGCTGCCCCGCAAGCTACGCAGTGAATTCGAAGTCGGTGGCGAGTCGCTCCCGACTAGCCACCATATCTGCGTTCCTGACATCGATAAGCCATACTGGTCGACCTGCCCGAGGGCCCGAGCTCGCCAACGCCACCATCCACGGTCATCCTCATGACGCCATTCACTTGCTCTGGTCTGGTAGCGCGGTGGATTGCCTTGGCTGGGGCGTCTGCCATCAGCGACGCGCCCGTCCATCATTCCTGTGGCTGTCATGGTCGCCTCGGTACTTGCATTGAATGCGTCTTCAAGTTCAACCGTCCAATGCTGTACGCTCTTGGGGCAGGTGGCCTACTAGGTGTATGCGGCGTCTCCGGTCATAACCTCACAGGCACGAACAACGTGCCCATACTTCAAGTACGATACACTCGAGACACGGATGGTCACCTCAGCCAATATACGATGCTTCTCCTGAAAAGGGAGACTGCCTTAATCCGAAACGGGCAGTTCTTGTTCATGCTGCGACTTCGACGAATCTCACCTCGCGATTGTTGTCTATTGTTCAACTGGAGCTACTAGCGCTGTACTTGCACCCAGGAGGAAAGACTCAGATGGCCGGCCTGCTGCCGTCCGTGAAACCGGATGGTTCATCAACCACTCGGATAAACTGCTAGTACAGGAAGCAAACGGAACCTCGTCGATGCGGCCACGATATCAACGTGCCTACGAAGCGCAGAAGTCTGTCCTATCGAACTAGTAGACGTGCTCGCACTCCATTCTTCATTCTCATACTGAGGCTTAGAGAGTAGACACACTTCTACATTGTTCGCTCAGACCAACCCGGCTGGACGGTGGAACGCACAATGAGTATACTAGTCAAATCGCCATGCTCACTAGAGATTGAGCTGCACACGAACCATATAAAACGACGTCAAAGTCACTCGCCAGCACGCGCTACTCGCCACGAGATAGCAAGTCTAGAGCCGCGGAGGGAATCTGCTGACCCTCGGCAGCGGATGCTTTCAAAGAGCTCCGACCCTCCGCCATCGCTAGACGCGGGCGCAGCGTTTCGTCTTTCACATCCCCATGCACATCTTCTCAGACGTCTACGTGAATGTTCAATCTGTCCAGCGTAAGGGGGACAGACCCAACCCCGCCCAATCGTCGAGCGCCGTCCTGCCGCTGTGCCAGTTCTCCCAAGGTGCGCGATGCGTCGGAGGACAGGTATCTGGGATCCCCCGGGTCAAGCGTTTCACGCACGATACGGGATGCGTCTGGACGTACAGCGCGATGCTCGAGGAGGTCAGGCCCTCAGCCCACAATGCAGGAAGCGAAGATGCGCCCTACACAAACTATAGAGTCGCCAGTGGACGTTAGTGCGCGTGCAAATCGTGGAGCAGTCACTGCACTCGCAGCCAACCGTGAGACGGCCCAGCGCGAGTGCAAAGTTCGCCGGGAGGAGGCGCACGAGAGCATGAGAGTTCTAGCGGCATCCGCGCTCCCAGCGTCGAGCCGTTAAATGACCTTCTTGCGTCTATCAGGGCCGACGGACCAATCAGCGGACGCGCACTGGTTCGCGGAGACAGGATGATAGACCTCTCCGTCCCCTTCATGCGGGGAAAGCATGGCTGGGACCTCTGATATGCATGTACTGCGTCCGACTCACAGCCAAGGTGCGACGAGCCGCTCAGCGAGATAGGGAATGGAACGCACTAGGCCGAAACACGTCCTCAACGCGTTGCGATGCTTGCGCTGAACGCGGTGTTGGGTAGTGTGGCCGAACATACTCGCGGGATCGTGGTTCTACGCAGGCCTATCAGCCAGTGACCGAAACCGCGCCCCCTTTGTCCACCGAGAGTCGAATGCGATCACCCGCGCTTGCGTCTTTGAACTGGAAGGATGTTCATTAGCGTCTTGCGCACTGGTAGGGAGGATGCGTGCGGCCGTTGTATTGGCCAACGGTGAAACGCACCGTCAACTCCCTCGTGCGATGGAGACTCTCGATCTCGTCCACTCGGTTCCGCACGCCGTCCAGTAGGTCGTCAAACCCTTCCTCCTCCACGACCTTCTGCGCCGCCTGCAGCAGCAGGACGGAGTCCGGCGTAACGTCGTGGTTCGTCTGGGATCCGGCGGGAGTGCGTATCAGCGTCCGACCCTCATGAAACCGCGAACTACTCACATCAATGGCTATGACATTGGCGCGATCGAGGTCTGGCGGACGCTAAGTTGACAGTCCGCGAACGACACGCATCTACGGCGCACCTTCAAGATAGTCGGCCCTGGTCATTATCTGACGACATTTATACTGAACGCCGAGGTCAGCAGACAGCACAGCTAGGCCCAAACGAGCGATACTCACGTATGGAATCTTCGGGAGGGGCAGCTCGTCCAGCCCCTCGGACGACAGCTCACCGGCCGCAAGCGCCGCTGCACGCGTGCACTCGTCCTCGCGCCGCTGCTTGACGAACTCGCGCAGGAGGAGCCACGAGCACGAGCTCCACTTCTGCTCGTCCATGACATCGTCGTCACAGTCGGGTATGAGGCCGATGAGACTCAGCAGCCACGCCTTCTCGACAACCAGCATCTGCTGCGCGTGCTCGCGCATGTTCGCGGTCTTCGAGAGCTGCGCGAGGTACGACAGCCGTCCGCCCACTATGGACACCGCGTCGTGGAGGTCCTCTGAGTCGGTCGGGAGTTTCGCGTTCAGGCGCATCTGTGCCGAGGCGCGCAGCGCGTTTTTGAAGCTCAGGTCGGACACCGTCACGACCTACATGGGGTGCTGCAGTCAGAACGTGCATTTGACGCGGGGAGTGGAATGGAGGATCACCTGCATTCTGCTGGCGGTCTTACCTGAAGGAAGTGTCAGGGATACACGCACAGACAGTCATGCTAGTGACCTACGCATGACGAGAAAGGGCCAGAAGTCGTCGCTAATGCATGTGAGCAGAGGAGAACTATGAAGCTTCATAATGAATACCTGCTGAACACCATCGTCAGGATCCCTGTTGGGCGAGACGAGTGAGCGGGAACGATGTGAGAAGAGAGCGGAACACCCACCGGCAGCGGCCCAGCTTTCTGCGCGCTGCTGCATCTGCAGAAGCATCTGCCTCCCATCGTCGTCGTTCTTGAAGAAATGGATGTTATTGAAGATCAAAACGAGAGGCCTGCCTGTTCTTCGTGCGTATCGTAGTGCGACCTTCTCCAGCTTGTTCAACGCTGTGGACGTAATATATGACTACCGGAGCCGCAAGGCAGACACCCCTTCGACTGACCTCGCTCAATATCCAAACACGGTCCCGCTGCGAGTTCATACGATCAATATGAACCAGCGCGCGAGGATCGAGTCGACAGACCTTCCCGCGGATCACGCCTTTGAAAGAGACTGGTCTGCGTGTCCTCGTTGAACTCATAATTCATTGCCTTGCCGAGACGCAGACGGAAGACTTCCAGGTCCGGGTGCGCATCACACATAGCGACGCCCTCGGCTTCGATCGCCTGCATCGCGTCCAGCATCATCGTGCCCTTGCCAGTGCCCTGCGCGACCCACGCTCAGCGCTCTGACCCTCTCGTGAAATGCGCACGACATCGGCGCGTACCTTTGGTCCGAGCAATAGGTAATACTGCCCAGCCTCGGCGCCCTTGATGATGCGGTCAAGTGAGGACTGTTCTCGGCGGCGTACATGCTTCATCCAATGAACGTAATCGTCTCCAGCATCGTGCTGTTGGCGTGGATTGCTTGCGAGCTCGAGGGCTGGGTCGTAGCCTCTCGCAAACGCAAGTTCGATCTACGGGGTGTCTGAGTAAGTGGTCTCTTTGAATGTGAGCGCATGAGGCTCTCACCTTGTCGAGGACGTTCTTCTTGTACCAGGCGACGTAGGCGACACCACCGAAGAACACTAGGCACTGCTGTCAGTTATTATGTTGTGATTTCTGGAGCAGCCATTATCGCGTCATGACGGTGATCCTTGTCGGCATACATGAACGAATCATTGGCCTTGGAGAGTGCAAAGGCTGTTGTTCACCGAGTCAAAGCGCGATGCAGTACACCATAATCGCGCACACTTACCAGCTCCAAGACCAATCAAAGCTGTCGCTGCCGCGTCGACAACTGACGAACCCGAAGTTGGGAAACCTCCCGGCCTAGCGCGAGGTTCAGAATCGCGCGAATGAGGGCGTTGTGACGCGTCAGATTCTCCCTTCCGGTCCACCTCGCCTGCCAGGCCTTGTTGAACGGGTGGTTGGGAGTACGACCGCGCGTAGATCCGTGCAAGTTGAGATGTTCGGAGGCCCAAGGAGTGTCGGTGTCGTGCACGAGCAGCCAGACGACCTGCCAGCGCAGCGGTGTTCGGTAAAGTCGAGGTACTCATCATGCTGGACGTGCTGAAAGCTTGATTTTCCGAGCCATGGAGGCCGCAGTCGTCCCCGACCAGTGGCGGCCAATTGCCAGCCCTCGGGGCGCTGTTGGATTAGCGCTCATAGGTCCTCCTCCTCCTCCTCCGCTCCGAGCCTTCGGACGAGCCACAATTCATTCACGCTTGACGATCTCACTGGCAGACTGCAGTTCAAACTGTACAAGGAAACGAGGTGTGCATCTTGTTTACTTCGAAGGTGACCTATAGCTGTGAGTCGTAGACTCGGTAGAGGTCAGTGATACTACTTACAGATGGATGTTGGATTAACGGCAGGTGGTGCTTCAACCCAAGAAGTGTTCATTCCATGGTGCATCGGGCCCTTACCATTCCGGAACTCATCCAATTGATAGTCAGTGAAGTTTCACTGGACGACGGCGAGAGTTGGTCGAGGTCTGACTTCCCAACACTCGTTGCATTGGCGCTCACATGCCGCGCTTTCCACGAACCCGCTCTGGACATTGTATGGTCCCGTCAGGACGGCTTGGGCAATCTCGTCGAGTGTTTACCGGGAGACTTGTGGAAAATCTCAGATGATTCTGGCAAGACTCTGGTGAGCATACAGTCGTTCTGCATTGTGATCAAGGCTGGAACTCGTATTTATGTCCAGACACTCAGGGAGCCTACAAGGTCCACCACACAACGCGACTGGGAACGCTTTGAGTTCTATGCTCGGCGTGTCCGAGTATTACATTATGGCCCGAAGAGAATCCGAAGGAAGTCTCGCGTCCTCTCGGAGCAAATCTTTTGCTGGCTTTTCTCATCAAGACCATCCCATCATTTGTTTCCCAAGCTATCCTTCCTCGGGTGGTCGGAGAACATGCCGTTCGAGCATCACGAGTCTGTGCATATGTTATTTGGCCCGCAGCTCTCCACATTGCACATGGGTGTATGGTCGTCCGATTTCGCCGCATCACAGGCTGTTCCTCAAGTGCTGGTGCACCTTCCTTTTCGTTCGCCCGACATACATGAACTCACCATCCACATGTATGCCAACGGCGGCCCTGATGATCAACGTCTTCCGTCCAAAGTCTTCGCGTCGTTAATACGACTGAAGTCGCTCACATTGCTGTCGACCCTACCTCTGGAGCCTGACGTCTTCACCGCGTTATCAGCACTACCACATCTCACGGAGGCGAAGATCACTATTCACTCTGGCGACGAAGACGCATGCGGTCTACTTGGAGCAGACCATGCTGCTGCCCCGAGCTTTATCTTCCGTGCTCTGGAGAGTTTGACCCTGACGTTCTCATTGATGAGCGACATAAACACAATCTTGTCGGCCTGTAGCCTTCCCCAACTGCGGCGACTATCCCTGACGTCGCTCTATGGCTCCGACTCTAGTATGTTCGATCGCACACTTCAACTGATCCGTGACCACTGCTCGCATGCTATGCTGGAGGTCATCGAGCTACGCACCACCATTGACCTATTTCCGTCAATGGAGTTCGAGGAGGTACCGGAACCTGACACCATCACTGCGGCGTCCTTGGGTCATCTCTTCGCCTTCCACCGTATCCGCGAACTCGAGCTTCTCACTGAGATGTATATCGCCCTCGACGATGACGACCTAAAGGAGATGGCCATGTCGTGGCCCCGTCTGAAATCCCTGCAGCTGCAAAGCGTGGCCGAGGAAGAGCCCGGGATGTCTGTGACGCTGGAGGGCTTAGCGCATCTCGCTAGGTACTGCCCGGCGATGAACTGGCTCGCAATCGACGTGGACACCACTGGGACCTTTGTCTCACCTGACGCGAGGCCTGGTGGCGGTTACTGTAACCAAGTCCTCCAAGCCGTTGACTTCCAGCGGTCGCACGCGTCGGATTGCCCTGCAGAAATTGGGGCCTTCTTATACGCGATTTTCCCCAAACTCCAGTGGATCAACTCACATGACGATACTCCGGGCGAAGATTCTTGGAAGCCCGTAGAGGACATGCTTGGTGCTCTGCGGAAGATGTCTCAGTGGCCAAGGAACACCGGTGAGTCAGCCGACTCATAACGCAGTGCAGTATGGATTGCGGTACTAGTACTGTGGCACCACTGTTGACAAGGGATTTCTTGCACAGTACTACCGCGGAAAGCCTGATTGGCATATGTGGAATTTTGGAAAGCGCTTGCATTTGCGCCCATGTGTACTTTCTTCATTGCATAATTTTTGAAACGTTGGAACATTGAGAAAACCCTCCTTTCTCCTCTCCTCCTCCTCCGTCTCTCAGTTTAAAGAATCTTAGCCGTACCTTGTGGCGTCACGCGCAGAACCGCACTTACGGCAGTCTCCGCTGAGCGCTCCCGAGCGGCAACACGTTGTCCGTGACACCACGAGTTCCGATCAGGCTACACAGTAACGCAGAACCAGTTCCCTCCCTCCGAGTCCTACAGCCCTAGTTCCCGGAAAGGTGGTCGGCTCATCAGGATTCGTAGTGTGTCGAGAGAATTGGAAGGTCAGTCACCACCAAGAAGCTAGTTTGGCCCGGCGTCACAGGATCGTTAACGTTGAATATTACTCGTATACTAAAGCAGATCCGGTGAATTCGTTTGCACCTGTTTGGACCAGCGCTTCTGTCTACGTCTGTGGCTGAGTAAAAGTCGATGTGGCCGATGCGCCGTTATGCCTCGATGCGCCATTAGCCGTTACCAAGCTGCAGTAATCTATGTCTTTTTTCTGTGTTTTATGTAGACCATCACTACCAATTGACTGTAAGTCTGCGGAAGCGCGACGCATCCCGACTGCCTTCCAAAAACGAGAGTATCTCTTTTTGGTCAGCTACGGAGACTAACTGCCTTCCCGAATATTTACAGCAACTGGCTATTGCCTCATTGAGCTGCTTTGTAACACTACCGCCCTCCGACTCGGTTCCAATCAAGTCGTTGTCCCCGCCCGCTCAGCGCATGGCTACATGCAGTGTTGCACGACGCCCTTCCCCTCTCTGCGTCTGTACCTCCTGTGTCATGCATTATGTGCCTCTACCCCTGTCTTCGTTATTGTCTCCCAAAATGGTAAGGCTGCCTGTTGTCTTTGTGTCGATCAGATCTAACGTGTTATTGTTATGCGTTCCACTGTATTTCTGCCCGCTGCCTGCCCGCCGTTTTTGACGTGCTGTCCCGCAACTCCCGCGATGACCAACCTTCTTCTCTTCGGCTTTGTATCCCTCACCGACGGCCGTCGTTCATCACTTGAAGCGCTAACCGCCAACGCGGTACTTCGACGTTCCACAACTACTACGCCACCTTGATCGAATGCTCGAACGGCAGCGACATTCCGGCTGAGCTGCGCGTGTACAGCCCTCCAAACGACACTGTCTTAGCTGACAATACTATTGCTTACGTCATCGCGCGTGCCTACTGTCCTTCTGCCGGCATGGCTTTGCTTGATGCTATCCAGCTCACACCTTTCTACGGCGATCTATCTCTCGGGACGAATATGATCAGAGCGTTCTGTCCTTCCCGCCCACCATCATCAGCATCGGAACGGTTGCGTCCGCGTATGATGTGCTTGCAGACGGCCAATCAAAGTCATTCCCTGTTATCGCCCATGAGCGCATGCGCGACGAAAGTAAAACGTCTACTATTCAGTAAGTGTAATTACAACACTGTCTTCGCGCTTTCATTAAATCTCCCACTTACTAGGTGCATATACGACGCTTCGCCGCGATGGGCTACCGTTCCTGCTCCTGCCCCAATTCTACCGTATCTTTCCACGGCCAATGCTCGCGCGTGCGTTCAGATGGCGTGTTGGGTGTGGACCTTGAGCTCATTTCTTTCAACTTCGGCCCCTCTCCTGTCGCTGTCGGAGGTGGAACTCTACCCGGAGGCAGTCGATCATCGACTGCTAACACTCCTTGAGCTCGCCCACATAGTTGATGCTATCGGTGACGGTGAAGGTCCAGAAGTCTCTCTGCACCTCTTGCAACATGTATCCGACGACCAGCAGCTGATTGACTTCGTCTTCCCGACACATGTACTCGCCAATCCAATCGCCTGTCTAAAACGTTCGATGCTTGCTCCCACCAATAGGCAGATCGACCGGTACAACAGCATTGTTCTCGACCACATTGATGAGACAAGCAGGACATACCTTGCGGCCGACTCTCTGAAGGAGGCAGACGACGCCGGCATCGACTCCCCCGACAGCATATTTGACTACGTCGCCCGCCAGAATCCCGCAGGTTTTCCTCCCCACTCGTTGACCGTGAAGGTTAACGCCGTCTAACGCTTGCTGCGCAATTTGTCCCTCGACCGTGGCTTGGTCAAGAACGTTCGCGTTGTTCTCATTGCGGTCGGCCCTCGTCTCGTCACAGTCCGCATTCTACGGGGTATTGCAGGTGTCAGTGTCATCGATGAACTTGAAGAAGACGTCCTCATACCTCGGATCACATTCTCTACCACCCTTTCCTCGGCCATACACTCCTCCGTCGTCAGTTTCCTCTTGCGCGGCCGCCGGCATATGCAATGACATTCAACAGCTACTTACCAAGGGCTAACTCTTGACGCAGTGGGAGTAGACCTTACGAGACACGTGTTTTCACATGGACAGCTGCACACCGCCCTTTCGCGCATATGTCACCGTGACCACGCAAGAATTTTGCTCAAACACGACGAATCCACTACTATCAATGTCACCTATGACGAACTTCTACTATGATGGTTTATGACTTTAATTACATTGATGTTCACTCAACCGCCGGAGCGTAGCGATGGCGTCCCTTGTTGAATTCATGCATACAGCTTGAACCTGAGATACTCGGGAACATACCTGGATTGTATCTTCCACAAGAACCGTACATCCCATGGTGCACCAGGCCCTTACCACCCCGGAACTCATTCGCATGATATTTGACGAAGTGGGCAGCTATTCCACTCATCAGTGGCCTGAGGCTGAAGGTTGGTGTCCCGACTTGCCGACACTCTTGTCCTTGGTGCTCGTATGCCATACCTTCCACGAACCCGCCTTGGAGTTCGTTTGGAAACGTCAGAACGGCCTGCACAATCTCGTGAAATGTTTACCGACAGATCTATGGACAACGTCGAACAATGCTTCGAGTGGGCTGGTGAGTATTTGTACGATTGTTCTGCTTTTGATGGAGGTTGAATTCCTGCGCGACAGGTCCAGACGCTTAGGGCACCTACAAGGCCTACCACGCAGCATGATTGGGAGCGTTTTGACTTTTATGCTCGGCGGGTCCGAGACCTACGATTCCATTCAAGCCTAGACGTCCTTCTCGGAAGGAGCACTGTTCGACTCACGGAGAAGCTCCTTCGCTGGCTCTTCTCATCCAGGCCTTCCCATCAATTGCTCCCCGTTTTGTCGTCACTCAGCTGGACAGACCTCATACCGCTCGAGTTCAGCGACTCTGTGCACCTACTTTTCGGTCGACGGCTCTCTACGCTGTACATCAGACCAGCAAGGGCAGCTGGGTTTACTGCCTTCCATGCCATTCATACGGCATTGCTTCACCTTCCACAATGCTCTCCAGGCATCCAGAAGCTGGAAGTCGCTATGCCTCGAGACAGGGACCCTGATCTTCATAGTGTCCCTGGCAAAACTCTCATATTGCTGAAGAAGCTGAGAAGTCTTACATTGCAGTCGGCTTCGCCGCTGACGTTCGACATCCTCGCTGAGCTGTCAACCTTGCCAGACCTCACAATACTGACACTTTCGGAATTCAACTATATACAAGCCGTCGCTGCCGATGTGGGAGTAGATCATGCTGCCTCAGCCACTCTCTTTCGCGCACTAAAGGAGCTCCATTTGTCGGTCAATTCCATGACTGATGTCAACACACTCCTGTCTGCTTGTCGCTTCATTCGACTTCAACATATCTTCCTGACATCCAAGCACGTTTCCGACTCAGACACACCGATATTGTGCTCCAATCAGTACACAAATGCTGCGCCCATGCTACGCTGGAAACGATCGAGATACTCTATGGCGCATGTACAGGACGTCAAGTTGACGCGGCCTCACAAGCCATCACCGCCGCGTCCTTCAGACGTCTTGCGACTTCCATCATCTCCGCAGCTTCACACTTGAAACGGACATCTGCATCGTCCTCGATGATGACGCTGTGCAGGAACTGGCCATGTCGTGGCCTCATCTCAACCATTTGTGGCTGTTCGGCTCGCCCAATTACCCCTGGATAACTCCAACGGCGACAACATTAGAAGGCCTGGCCCATCTCGCCAGGTATGTCCTTTGCTGACAACGCTCACAATCGACGTGAACACGTCCAATACTGTTGTCTCTCCCGACGTGAAGCCCGGCGGTGGCTACTGCAATCAGGTCCTCCAGAGCATCTGCTGTTTTCGATCGCCCGTGTTGGGTGACCACGCTCAGATAGCGGCATTCCTATACGCGATTTTCCCTAACCTCAAATTGATCGCAGGAGACGGGAACATGGAGATATATGACTCCTGGCAGTCGGTGGTAGGAACGCTCGAGATTTTGCGGACCGCATCTCAGTGGGAGAAGAAGTACGGCGGTGAGTTCTCATTCAAGTCGAATCATGGTGCCATTGTTGACAGGAAACACTCTACTCTGCGCAGCTCCTCCAGTAAAATGATGCACATGCGTGGTAGCTCGCCCTTGTATCCATATCACGGTTGCGATTACCTCGTATCTTAACGCGAATGTACATTTCGGTGACGACAGGACGAGCAGCCCTCACGAACGAAGACACGACAGGTAGCAACATGGTAAGCGTCGTTGGGATGGGCCCGCTCCGCGCAGTATCTCCACACCACAGAATGCATTTGCGGTACAGTCGTCTTCGGGATCCACGTTTAAGTCGACGACTGTACCCTCGTGAATCTGATTCTATACACAATTCATAACAGATAGGAAGGATGGCAATACGACAATAGAGAATATTCCAGACATCCTCACAAACCAGGCAAAAGCCCCTCTTCTCCCTCGGTTCCAGTAATACGCCCGCCACTTCAGCCTCTTGCAGCCGACATCGTCTCGCCCCACCTCCATCAAGAATCCATCCACCTCTCTCAGCGGCTTACCGGGCCGCGCCCGCACGACCATGTCCCGCCCGACCGCCTCAAGCCACTCCAGCACAGGCCGGGTGAACCACCTCCTGATCGCCCCATCCGCACCGCTCTCGAACCACCGAGGTGTCCGCCCCCTTCGTCACCGCGAACGCGACGTAACCGTTCCGGCCGCGTGCACGGGGAGCACCTGCACGACCGGGTCGTCCTCCGCGCCGATGGCAAGGAACGGGACGCGCACGCGCGGAGCGTCGTGTGCGACGAGGCCCAGGTGTAGTACGCGCGCGCGCTTGGGAAGGGGAAGGGAGGTGAGGACCCGCCAGCGATGCGGTTGAACGTCTCGTCGAAAGTCTCGAGTGTGGGCGACTGCAGTGCGAGCGTCGGGGCGACCGCCTGGGCGACGGGGTGTGAGGGAGGCGTGCTCAGAGCAGCGGCGTGACGTTTGACGACGGCTTGTAGGTTGAGCCGAGCGCTGTAGAGTACACCCGGCGGTGTAACCAGTGCCTTCCAAACTGAGGAGCCAAGTGAGTTCACGTACTGCTCCGCCGGTGTGACCACTCACGCTTCGCTGTTCGTTACCAAGTCCCATGGCTAGAGCATACTCTACATGAGTTGCGTGTCGAATTGACAGAAATTACGAGTAACGCACGCAAGCTATAACGCACGCAGCAGCAAGCCTGCAGTCGTCGCCTTCTTCCGCGACGTATCTAGTCAGCACGTTCGCTCCTAGCGAAAATCCTAGGCCAAGGAGAGGTGCCTTCGGATAGCGTCTTCGAATGTAGAACATCGCCGCACGGATGTCCTCTGTATGCCCCGCAGAATACAGTTGGGGGCTTGTTACCGGGACGCCCGCGCCTAACTTCGCGATAAGTATGACCGCCGGACGGTTTATTGAGGGACTCACATCCTCGGAAGTTCACCACGATCGCACGGTATCCCAGTCCTCCGTCATCTACGGCCTGCATGCAGGAGATACGACCGCGCGCACATAGGCTTCATGAGACCTGAACAGGACGGGTTTCTTAATTCAGGATTACGCAACGATACACGAGGTATTCACTCACCACCGGTCAGGCCGTGAAGCACAACGATGATAGGTGTACTTCTGGGAGCTTCCGTGTGCTCTCAGCGGTGTAAAGTCTAGACCGCTTCTCTCTCGTAGGTTACTGCGTAAGCAATGCTAGTGCGCACGTACAGAGTTCCGCCGTCCCGAGTGCGTAGAAGAGTCCTATTGGCCTCGTCAATTCAGAAATCCGACCTCAAACTGTATGTTACTCACCTGTCGTACTCAACCTCATCTATCTTCGAAAATCCCAACCACGGAGTATGCGGTCTGTAGATGGCCGCTACCAGCATCGTTTCAGCACTGTCGGGGTGCGAGTATCATGGCCACTGGGATTCGCACCTGAAGAGCCACCACACCGGCCTGAAGTCTCTGAGGAACTCGGACATCTCTGTTCTATTAAATCGCGTAACGTCTTCTGTCTCGTCTTGGTCCTTCCGCCCGCGTCCTTCACTTCTATGACCGCTCCCTTGTCTGCGATGTACAACGCCGGGCGGTAATAGGTCGTATGGTGCCGGTGGTTTACCGCGACCCATGCCCCGAATCCCAGGACGGTCAAACCGAAGACAATGGTTGAAAGCATACGTTTGGAGCGTGAAGATTATATCATGACTGCGAGGTGCGTGGACGTCGGGGTGAGGGTGCAAAACAGACAGTACATAACGGTGATAGATCACTGTTCGCCGTCAAGCCCGGCCATAGCCAGACGCTCACCTATTACGGACGCTCACCTACGCTCACACCCGCATCTCTGTTTCTTCGACGACCTTGACTCTACAATTCACGTTCAACCCGCGAGTTAACCTGCTGTCGTTAGCCTGCTACCGAATGGGAACATGAAGTCCTCAATCGTTGCGGACGTACTAGACTGTCTTGACCAATTGTGGACACAGTTCGAGGGCCAACCGGGACGTATACATCTACTAGCTTCCTGACGACCTGGACTCTACTTTGAACCTCACGCTAGGATGTCCACACTTGCTGGAATTATCAGACATCTTAGCAGGACGCGATCTGCCAGGCTACTCGGACTGCTGGACCGCTTCCGTCCACACACAGGCGACCCAAATCAATACATGAGCGTACTCCTGCGCCGAACCGATGATCCACTCTCTTACCCTGGCGGCTGCGTGGACCGTGCCCGATCTGCACGAACATCTGCACAAAGCGTCCACGAATGGGCTATGCTTGCCTGAGGACTCGGAGGACGCGGTCGGACCGTTTACTCAACGCCTTTGCGGCGGACGTGCTGGTTGCTGTGGTGGGATCACTTGGGGAGTTGGTAAATGGATGGGAAGTGACGAATGGAGCATGGAAGTACGGATTGTAAGATGCTACTACGTGAGTACTCCAAGTTCATTCATGATGTCGCTTTGCCGTGACTCTGGTATCCCGCCCTTTGTGCTTGCCTCGCGCGCTGACTCGATCGATGTATCTCCAGAGAGAACACGTATCCGGGCCGATGTTGCTGTACGCATGTACGTCCTGTTTATGTGTTTATGTCTTGTATATCTTGTCTGACGATCATATGCGCTTAGATTTATGACGCGTTCTTGTCCCCCTTCAGGTTCTCGTGCTCTCCTGCTCCTATATGTACGATGTATTCAAATTTGACTACGAAGCAAGTTTCTTTCACGTCGCCCAGGTTAACAACACTACACATATCCGGCAAGATCCTACGCGTGTCTACAGTACGTGCTTGAAGATCACTCTATGTCAATATCACCCTACGCTTTGCGATCTCACACAAGTAGGATCCATTTGCCTAGATGGGTTAGACCACAAGGCAGAGGCAGACGAAGACACCGCCGACGCCCCGCTTTTGCCAGCAGATGAAGAAGGACGAACGACTTACCGAGTAGCTCTCAAAGCAGCTCATGATTAACAAGGATGATAAGCATTGTACGACGTGATCCTCCATCCATCGTCAGCAAGCTGGGTAAACCGGCATTGGCAAGACATGTTGGCGCCGCGACGTACGACGACGTGCACAAGGATAGAAACCGACGGCATCCGTGAGCGTTATCAATCATCACGCTTTGTGTGAGGTATCCAGGGGTTATCTACTGTGCCAGTGCTAGGGCATATGGCTTTGCCACCACGGTGCGTTCAAAGCAAAGTGTGCACTTTGACCTGCGACCTGGGCGCTAGTAACGACCTTCGCATTTATATCGACAGCACCGTTTTCCGCTCGTCCTTCAGCAACCGCCAAACGGCCACCACTCGAACCACAGCCATACGTTGGGCGTCGAGTCTCGGGTTCAAGCGGTTCAGATCTGAATAACGTCTGTGAAGCCGTGCAAGACTCGGAGGTGGCAAAGCTCGTACATTCAGTTTAAGGTCAGTAACTTTGGACACGGTTGACAAGTCTCGATGTTGAAGCTGACCGTCTCTCATGGTAGCAGGCGACGTCGCTCGGAGGTCACAACATACTTAAATTTCTTTCGCGGAACGTACATACCACAAGATGCACCGGGCCTTGGCCATCACGGATATTTTGCATCAAATAGTGGACCAAGCTGGTCATAACATCCGGATGCTTCTGGCGTTAGCACTGGCATGCCGTGCGTTCAGCGAACCCGCCTTGGATACTCTATGGTCGACTCAGGTAGGCTTGGGCCATCTCGTCGAATGTTTGCCGTCAGATTGTGGACCGTCTCGAAGGGTACTCAAGGGACATTGGTAAGCCAAGCGTCCGTCCTGTAGAAATTGCTGTTCACCGACTGCTGTTCGATGTAGATGCTCAAGAACCTATAAGGCCCCTCACGCCACAAGATTGGGAGCGCCTCGACTTTTACGCTCGACGGGTTCGACTGTTGTATACCGACACAATAGACTCTCGACCGCAGTCCCGCGGTATCTCGGTGGACCTCTTTCAGTGGCTTTTCTCGTCGAGGCCCTCCCATCGGTTGCTCCCAAAGCTATCGTTACTCCATTGGACGAACAACATACCGCGCGATTATTTTGAATCGGCATACCTGCTCTTTGGCCCCGACTCTCCAGCTTGGAGATTGGAAAATGGCCATCGCAGTACGCTGTCGACCCCCCTGCTGTCACCCCGACACTATCTCACCTTCTTCGACGTTCACCGGATGTTCAAAACCTGAGAGTCCACATGCCGTGGAAGCGCATGGAGTGGGATCGGGAAACCATCCCCGGCGACGTCCTCACGTCATTCAAGAAGCTGAGATCTTTCGAGATGTTTTCAGTCGTGCCCATGGTGTTTAACGTTTTCATGAGGTTGTCAGCCTTACCAGATCTCACGGAACTGGATCTTCCAGTCAGCCGCCAATGGCAAGCCATACCTGGACAATCGGGGGACGGCCACACCACGAACGACCTCACCTTTCGCTCTCTGGGCAGACTGTCGATGTACGGGACATCCATGTATGACCTAGAAGCGGTCCTATCGACCTGTCGCTTTCCCCGGCTTGAGGAACTACTCTTGAAGTCGGGCAGCGGTCCCGGAGGAGTCACCCTCGGTATTCTCCTTCGATCTATTGATCGATTTTGCCCGCATGCCACGCTGAAGAAGCTCCGCATACTTTCTGGCCGTGGCCAGGATACTGTAGAACCAGGGATATCAACCGCCAATCCGGCGTGTCTGCGACAGCTATACGGCTTTCGCCACCTGCGCAGCGTCGAACTCGACATGCGCATGCGCATCGCGCTTGACGACGACGCGGTCAAGGAGATGGCGATGTCGTGGCCCTATCTGGAACGCCTGGAGCTGTCTAGCAACGACAAAAACCTCGCGGAGACTGCAGTAACGGTGCGAGGCCTCGCACATTTCGCTCGGTATTGCCCGTCTCTGGCCTCGCTTACGATCGACGTGAACACGACCCACTCCCCCATCTACACCCTCCCCTGCATGGACCTGCCCGCGAAGCCTGGTGACGGTCACTGCAACCGGGTCCTGAAGAGGATTTGCTTCCCCCATTCGCCTGTGCATGCCGACACCGCGGAGATCGGGGCTTTCTTATTCGTGATCTTCCCCAACTTGAAGCACATCAATAGGGGGGTCAGCTCCGAGATAGGCCAAGCTTGGCTGGCGGTGGAGAAAGTGCTGGACCTCTTGCGGATAGTATCTGAGTGGCAAAGACACGATGGTGAGTCCTGCCGTGTACCTTGATGTCGTCGGACAACTATTGACGAGGTCAACGCTCCGCTGCAACAGTACCGCAAGTAGCCCCAGTATAGAGGTTCGAAATTCCTATGGAGCTCCGCTATGGATCAAACTGTGATGTATAGTATGTTAAGTATATAGCTCTTTCGCTGCGCATATTCGGCGACGCAGTGTATATCCGTATAGTAATGCGTAACACAACACGAGAAGGATTTCTCATGAGTAGATCTCGTCATATTCGATATATGCTCTTTCGACAAGGTAACAGAACTAGCTGCGCCGGTCCACGAATTCGAAGACGCGTTCGTTCACTTATTGGCCAGGTGCGCGTGAGCATACGTCCTCCCCCACTCAAAGAGTTCTTCTTTAGGGTCTGCCTAGGGGAGACTAGCGTGAGCATGTGTGGCGCGTTAAGCTTCACGCCCTCATCCAACTCTCACCGAGTCCGTCTCGCTTCTGCACTCGAGCGACAAGACTGGTGTGCTACGATTAGCATGAGACCTTGCAGGATCTATGGACAATACTTCCGCTACCGGCGCCGGACCGTCCCCGTCAACATGGATCGCCAATACAGTTTAAGGGCAACGGGCGAGACATGACTCGACCAACAGTCGACTCGACGGCTTGGACTTGTTGAATGCCACAGATCGACGCATAATTCCTGGTCGAATACACTGGAGCCATGTCGGCATACGGCGCGATCCTCACTCCCAATCGGACTGCAGGACCTCTTCCAACCACACGCTGGCGACTCCAGCCAACCTCCAAGTACACTCCTGCGCCGGATGCACACTTGACGATCCACCACCTCACCCTGGCGACTGCGCGGGCCATGCCGGGTCTGGTTGAATACCTGCACAAGGTGTTCGCGGATGAGCTTGAGCGCGGATTGACCTATCCACAGGAAATCCGCGCAGGCGAGGAGTACGCGCTCGAGACGTTTGAGGCCTACTACTTCGCGGCGGACGTGCTGGTGGCTGTGATAGGAGAGGGAAGCTCGGGTGAAGAGATCGTCGACGGCGGAGAGGCCGAGCTTAGTATCGAAGACGCGGTCAAGGGACGCAGCATGGAGGAGTGTATTGCTGGATGTTACTACGTGAGTCTCTGCCTAGACTCCATAATTAAGCCCTTCATACCCTACCATCCGGGACGTCGGAAAGGCTTTACAGTATTCCGGTGACTGATCGACATCGTTTTGCAGGTGAAACCGAACTATCCTGGCCGGTCCTCTCATGTACGTCCCAGTATAACGGACATTCACTTTTCTGACGTCAATGTGCATGTAGATCTGCAATGCTGGGTTCCTTGTCCCCCCCGCACAACGTGGGCGGGGCATAGGTGCCGTACTCGCGCGTTCCTATCTGCACTACGCACCAAGGCTTGGCTTCGAGGCGAGCGTGTTCAACCTCGTCTACGTCAACAACGCTGCGAGTGTCCGGTGAGCCCTGTCCATGCGTGATCTCTAGCAAGGGTATACTGATACGCGTCCGTGTAGGCTCTGGGAGGCCCTCGGCTTCACGAAGGCGGGGCTCATTCCGCGTGCGGGACGACTGAAGAAGGCAGACGGAAGCGAGGGTGAGGAGTTCGTTGATGCGTACGTCTTTTACCGTAGGTTCGACCAATGAGCACAGCCTGCAGTACAGAAGCACGAACCAATAGCGATTGCGATTGAATGTACCAGCAATCATACAGTATCTCAAGCAGTCTGAGCCCCGATCGACTGTCACGTCGTGCTAGCTGGCGCAGTGTTTGCCGCAGGTTTGCCACATCAGTATCCAATGTTGACAGACAACCCGGACATTGCAGCGTGGCTGAGGAAAGGGATTGGACATTATTGTCTTCTTACGACGCAATGTCAAGCGCTGCGTAACATCGATGACATGTCGATAGCAGACGTTATGTTGCTTGTGGTCCTGCAGAGGTGCAACTATCAAAAGCAGGGCTATGAGTCAAGTTATGTCGTCACTCATTCGCATACTTGTCCCACTGAGATGTCATGCGTAGGACCTCAATCGTGTTCCATACTCGCCTCCAAGATTCGCCCATCACAGTACAGTAACCCTCATCGTCATAATCTCCATTGATCTGCTGCAGATTAGGGAAGATCGCATTCAAGAACGCCCCTATCATCGCACAGTTCCCCAGCGCGGTCGAGTCGCCAAACTCAATGTCCTCGAGGACGTAGTTGCAGAAGCCGCCACCGGGCCTCACATCGGCGGAAACGACTGTATCGGCGGTCTGCACGTCGATTATGAGCGACCACAGCGAGGGGCAGTAGCGGGCGAAATGCGCCAGGCCTTCCAGCGTTGTCGCGGTCGGGGTCGCCCAATGGGCTGCGCTAGTCAGCTGCATATGTTCCAGATGGGGCCACGACATGGCCATTTCCTTGACGGCGTCATCGTCGAGGACGATGCACATCTTCGCGGCGAGTTTGAAGTCCTGCAGACCACGAAAGTCGTAGAGGCGTCTCATCGAGGCCACAGTGAGGGTTTGTACTCCATCCTCGTCGAAGCCTGCGTCTTCGCCGCATTGTATGTGGATCGTGTTCAGTATAGTATGCGGGCAACGTTCGTGGATCAAACGGAGGACGCTGTCGAGAGTGTTCGATGTGGAAGAGAAGGGGGTGTCCAGGATCATCTCTTGGAGTCGAGGAAAGCGGCAGGCAGATAGGAATGCATTGACATCATTCATTGTTGTTGTTTTCATGGTCAATCTCTCCAGTGTGCGGAAGGTAAGGGTCTGAGCGGCGCCACCCGCCCCCGATTGGCCAGTAGCTCGTCGATTGTTGATGATCGACAAGTTCACTTCCGTGAGGTTTGGCAAGGTCGCCATCCTGGCAAACACGTCAAACGTCACGGGTGAGGAGGTTGGGTTCCACCAGAGTGTCTTCAACCCTTTCAAAGTCAAGAAGACCTCGATAGGGAAATGGTAATAGCGATACCGCCCCTCCCGGGGCTTAGTGAAGGCCTTCACTTCCTGGATGTCCGGTGAACGTAGAGGGAGGTGCGACAATGTTGCAAGGATCACACCGTACCCGGCGAACTCACGCGCCGTGATTTGCAGGCTAGTGAGCTGTGGACCAAAGAGCATGTGCGCAGAGTCGTAGTACCCGGATGATATGTTGTCCGTCAACCCCAGCTTAAGGAAGGATAAGCGAGGAATCAACTGATGAGAAGGCCTTGATGAGAGGAGCCAACGAAAAAGGTTCTCGGAGAGGATACAGCATGACCGTCCGCGGAGGGTGGTATGAATAACATGTAGTGAGCGGACTCGCCGAGCGTAGAAGTCAAAACGCTCCCAGTCCTGTCGTGTGGTGGGCCTCGTAGGTTCTCTGAGCGTCTGAACGCATTGCGCACGGACTCAGCTTCCAATGACAGTGGAGAAACCGCTTACTCACCAGACCCTTCGGTGTGTCATCCGAGAGCGTCCATAGATCTTTCGGTAAGCACTGAACGAGACTGCCCAAGCCATACTGACGAGTCCATAGCATGTCCAAGGCGGCCTCGTGGAATGCGCGGCATGTGAGCGCCAGAGCCAGGAGTGACGGTCTTTTCAGTGGACCCGGCCTGGAGACTTCGTTCACCACCAGTCGAACAAGCTCTTGGATAGTCAGAGCTCGATGCATCATGAGATGTACGTTTTCGGGAAGCGTGGAACACCAGCAAGTGTCACCTGCATTCGTGAGATGTGTTTCAATTATTCGACTGAGTGTGCCACTGATTCCGTTGAAGTGAGTAGATGACTTTGATAGATTTGACATGACGTACCGCACTGGGCCAGGACAGATGAGGAGGAGGAGTTGTTCTGAGGACTGACCACAGTAACGGACCGACTCGCGCGACAGTCACCAAACTCGCTGGCATTCTCAACGCGAACACGTGACGCAGTGGCGACGCTCGAGTCTGCTCGTTTAACCTCTTACACGCATCCGTGCAGACTCTGGGAGGCCCTCGGCTTCACGAAGGCGGGGCTCATTCCGCGTGCGGGACGACTGAAGAAGGCAGACGGAAGCGAGGGTGAGGAGTTCGTTGATGCGTACGTCTTTTACCGTAAGTTCGACCAATGTCCGAGTCAGTGAGCACAGCCTGCAGTGCAAGAAGGGCGAACTAGCGATTGCGGTTGTATGTACCATATCTCAAACAGCCTGAATCCCGATCGACTGTCACGTCATGCTAAGTAGCTGGCACAGTGTTTGCCGCACGTTTGCTACATCAGCGTTCCGAAACAGACAGCCCGGACATTGCAGCGTGGCGGAAGAAAGGAATTGGAGATTTATTGTAAGTTGTTGTAACGCTAAATTGAAGGGCTGCGTAGATGCTCCATCGATATAATATTGACATGTCGATAGCAGACGTTACGTTGCGTCTGGTCCTGCAGAGGTGTATACATCAAAAGTAGGTCAATGAGTCAAGGCATGTCGTTACTTACTGGCGTGCTTTTCCCATTCAGATGCCATGCGTAGGACCAAAATTATATCCCATACCCTTCTCCACACCCAATCAAGCCTCCGGATGTTGGGGAAGATCGCATTGAGGAACGCCGCTATCTTCGCTTCATTCCCATACGGAAACGACATGCAGAACTCGATCTCCTCGAGGGCCCGGTTGCAGAAGCCGCCGCCGGGGATCACATCGGCGGAGACGACGGTACCCCTCGTCTGCACGTCGATACAGAGTGACGACAGCGAAGGACAGTACCGGGCGAGATGCGCCAGGCCTTCCAGCGTCGCCGAAGTCGGAGGTGACCTAAAATGCAGGTACTCCAGACGAGGCCACGACTTGGCCATCTCCTCGACGGCATCGTCGTCGAGGATGATGCGCATCTTCGTGTTGAGGCCAAATTTACGAAGATGTCGGAAGTCATAGAGACGTCGGAAGGACGCTGCGGTGATGTCGTGTACTACATCCGCGAGGTGTTCATTCGCACCGCTTCGGATTTGGATCGACTCTAATATAGCATGTTCGCAACGATCGTGGATCAGCCGGAGCACGCCATCGAGAGCGCCCGAGTTGGATTCGAAAGTGGTTGTCAGGGATATCTCTTGCAGTCGAGGAAAGCAGCAGACGGATAGGAGTGCCTCGGCATCAGCCATTGTCGTCATCCTCGTAGTCAATCTCTCCAGAGCGCGGAAGGTAAGAGTTTGAGCAGTCCCTTCTGTCCCCAATTGGCCGATGGCTCGTTGTTTGTCGAAAAGTAAGGTGGCTTCTGTGAGGTTTGGCAAGGTCGACAACCCGGCGAGGGAGTCGAATGTCAAGAATATGCTCCCTCCGAATTTCTCTAAACCTTTCAATGCTGGAAGAATACCAGTAGGGATGGGCTGACAGTCGGACTCCCTGTACCGGGACTCGTTGGCTCTCAATGACTGGACGTCTGGTGAACGCAGAGGGAGGTGCAGCAATATCACGTTAAGCACATTGGTGTTGGCGAGCCGAGGGGTGCTGATGTCTAACTCAGTGAGCCGCGGGCCAAATAGCGTGTGCGCAGAGTCGTAATACTTGGAAGATGTATCCTCCGTCCACCCCAGGCCAAGAAAGGATAGACTAGGGAGCAATTGATGAGAAGGCCTTGACGAGAGAAGCCAACGAAAGAGGGGCCCCGAGACGTGGCACTCTCTAAAGAACTTGAGTCGGATATGGACATGAGGGTCATCCTCATGATGTAGTCTGCGGACCCGCCGAGCGTAGACGTCAAAGCGCTGCCAGTCTTGTTGTGTGGTGGCCCTCGTAGGTTCTCTGAGCGTCTGGATGCATTACGCACTGGACTCAGCTTCCAGTAACAGCGGAGCAGCAGCTTACTCACTACACTATCCATCGAGTTATCTGAATATGTCCATAGATCCTCCGGTAAGCACTGGACGAGATGACCCAAGCCATACTGGCTAGCCCATAGCATGTCTAAGGCGGGCTCCTGGAATGTGCGGCATGTGAGCGCCAGAGCCAGGAGCGTCGGGTCTGCCAGTGAAAACGGCCTGGTGTCTTCATCCACTACCATTTCAATGAACTCTCGGATAGTCAGAGCTCGATGCATCGTGAGATGTAGGTTTCCGGGAAGTGTGAAATGATGAGTTTCAATCCTTCGACCGAGTGCGCCACTGATTCCGTTAAGGTGAGTAGATGACTGTGATGCCAGGACGGACGAGGTACTCGCTCTGAGGACTGACTAAAACGGTAACGGACCAAGGTCCAACTCGCGACTCGCTTACGACTCGCTGGCATTCTGAACGCGAACACGTGACTCAATGGCGACGCGCTGAGGCTCGCTCCGATCGGAGTCTCCTCGTTAAACCTCAAGCTTGGAGCGACAAGTCGGATAGATACAGCACAGTAACGAGAACTATGGTTGAGGTGAGCAGTTTCACGCTCTATATATATGTAGCACAAATGCCATAAGAAATCATGCAGAAAACTAGAGCTTCTGGAGTGCCACGCCGGTGTAACCATTGCACATCGGACGTGACTAGTGCGGCATATACGTCTGCCAGTGCTAGGCTGTTCAAGACGTTAAAAAAAAGATCCGCTTGCTGGTGGTATTCCCTTATTGCGAACTCGACGCGGTGAGTGCACAGTAGGCTTAGCGTCCCGCTCGGCGGACTGGTAGCCTTGCGTCCGCAAACATCGCCGCGGCCTCTTGTTCATATGCATAATATCCCGTTCACATCTGACATACTACTATGGAATGGAAAGCAGGTATGTTCAATGTCAACTATGATACATTCATACGGCGTACTACCAGTGAAATCATGCAAGGAAAGTGTCAATGGAGTTCATGTGTCGGATGCATACAATATAAAGAAGGGAAACATGTGAGTTCATCCAGCTCGAAATCATTCTGGCGACGGTGTTAGATTAATATCTTTACAGGAGCCCTGTAGCTGAGAGGCCCCCTGCGACTGCTGCGGCTACAACCAGGGCACTTCTGGCTCCTGGCGCACTGATGGAGTGCGACGCTCCGGAGGCTGCGAAAATCTCGGCCGCAGCGCTGCTATTTTGTGCCTGTCACAAAACACGGTCAACATCCTATGGTAGACGCGATACGGTGCGGCGAGACTCACTGCGACGCAGCCTGATGGTCCTGTGCACCCCAAATTCTCATTCGTGGCAATTACGTTTGCGATGGTAGCGTCGATGGGCTCTGCGACAGGTTTAGGCGCAGGAGAAGCGGATACTATAGTCCAATATGTCAGCAGTCTATGCATGATATATAGCCGTCCAACGACGTACCGAGAGAAACAGAAATGCAAATGAGTGTGAAGATGTGGAAGACGCGAGGGAACATGGTGGTTATGTTCTATGGGGTTCGACAAGGCCCGGATTTGTGTATTCGTACTGTCTCAGTGTCTGTCGCGGATGATATCAAGCTCCGGCGAAGTGATGCGTTCGCTAGATGAGATTGCTGGGAGTACGTCTGAGATTGTCACCGTCTGCGGCAGACCGAGAGTAGGTGGTTAGGAGGGCTCGGAGCGGTAGGAGGCGAGTTCGGTCAACGAGCAGGCGTGGTCGACTCCCTACACCCATCACTCGTGCAATATATATTTCGTCCTACCTTGTTCTTCGAACCCCGCCATACTACAAGAGGCACAAGGTCGTTGCTTTTCTTGGCCAGCGAAGCTGCCGTTCTAGCGAGGCGTTGAAAGGGAATGCCTTTTTGGGAACAAGGTGTGATCTCCGAGAGACGCCCACGGTGACTGCCGCTAAACGTCGCCGAGGTCGCGCAGGTCGACGAGGACAACGACATGGACAACGACCTTCACTCTTCGTCGTCGTGCCTTCACTCTCTACATCTTGTATGCGGATATGTTGTCCGTCTCCCGCTTGTGATCTCTTTGTTTCACCCTTGACTGCACGACAGCCTGTCCGAACGGTTGCCTCACCGTCATCTCACCGAATCTGATGCGATTATCGTCGGCGACTCATGGTCCCATGGATATAGCTCATCGACATCAATGCGTATATCAGGACTGAGTAAGTACTGCGCACTATTTATTGTAGCGCTCCGTTACAGTTGGGATGAGGAGGGATGATCTGCGTACGTCTTGATTTCTGGGGCATTGTCTGAAATCGACGCATGGCGCAACGGATGAGGTCGCCGCAGTGCTGAGGGCGACTGTGACAGTAGTCGGGGCTCATAACCTGTTGCAAACAGATTTTGAGTACCGACTCCCGGTGTGTAATGCCCTCCGACTTTTTGCTTCCTAGGACCCCCCGTTTGTGCCAGGGCGAAGTCTATTCTCTGCAGAGATGCTTTCGACGCGATTAAACTTGGCGCGTGATATATGCTGTGAGGAGGAGGAGTTCAAGCCGCCAACGTTTCCTGATGATGGATTTGAAGCGCGCTCGAGCTAGCAGGTCCCTCTCAAGATTTACTCTAGGATCCTGGTACGAGCAGTGCCATCGACGAACCTTCTGTTGAATGCCATACTCATATTTTTAGTTCATATTTCATAGAGACGACCTCGAGCTGCCAAAGTCTCTCCAACATCGAGCTTGACGTAGCCCCTGAGGGTCTTAGTGTTACAGGCATAAGGCCAGTGACTTGCTCGAAAACAGTGACTCAGGGATTGACTGCCAGGCTATCGTTTCGGAAGGTAGTAAGGATACGCCGGGTACACTTCAATCAAAGGTACGCTCCATTTTGTCGCTTGCTTATATGCGAAGCTCACTGAAGCATCGTACGGTTAGTTATGCCCAGCAACACGATGGCGACGCGAGACCTAGTGGTAAACGACTACAACAAGCACAGTGAGCACAAGCCTGCATTTTAGTCATGGACCATGGTCTGCTGCCGCGCACAGATATTTGCGACTGGTCTCGTTGCTACATCCACGATCTTCTATAACGTCGGTGTAGCTGTCTCTAGTCGACGATGATCATCGGCGTACTGAGATATCGACAACCAATATGGTCCCTGTACTCGGCACCGGTAGCTGGCCATCTCTGTCTATCTCTGTTTCTTGCGCCTTTGCTACCGATGATATTAATATCACCAATGTCTTATGCGACAGCGTTATCATATGCCTGAATGCAGATACTTACTACGAGGTCCGGAAGCTTATCTGGCCAGGTGTTTGCCTTGCACGGACAAAGATTGGGCGGCTTCATTCCAACTTTACTCAGTCTCGGCGTTGATCGAGTCGACCACGCGAATCCAGGAACAAGCGTACCCCATCAAAACGTAGGAAAGCCGTCGGGAGCCATCCTTCCAGCGAGCAGGGCTGGGATTGGGTTGCTGCTGACTCGCGCTCTCACGTAGGATAACGAGACCATGATACACGTTCCGCTTACTATCTCGGCTCCGTCGTGGCACAGGACGGCGCGGTGCAAGTATAAAGGCAATGGCAGTCCCTTGCGAGGTCGACGGAGACTCGGTATCCGAAGCCATGTCTCGTCGGTCGCTGCTGCCAGTGCTGGCGTGCACGCTTCTGGCACCGATCGCGGTGGCCCAACAGGCGCTCTTCCAACTGACCGGGGAAACCTTCACTCTTGCTGGCATCCCGTACTTTGCTCCCCCGGCGCCGGTATCACAGCTCGGTTTCGACGCTCTCCATGAGATCGCCAGTCAATTTGGAACGGACAATGCTCCAAAGGGGTTGGTCCCGTTCTCGGTGATGCCATCCGCAGAGCACGAATTCGCAAACAGTCACCTCGAGTCGACGCTTCAAACGTGGAGGATCAAAGATGACGTTTGGAGTGAAGGTTTCTTGAACGGTAAGAGTGTCTGTCTCTGCTTTAGGCCAATTGCCATTGAGACTTGTCATAGGACTATACATTGCCTACAACGGCTCGCATGGGTCACCCACGTCTCTCGTAACGGAAGACATGAAAAGTCGATATGCAATGCGCTTCCTTCTGCACTCTGCAAACCAGTCAGTTGGTACGGCACTGAGTAGAGACATACCTGCCGGGCCCTATCTTCTTGACTTTTCTAGCGGAAACGTGTTCGAAGGTATGTGCCGTTAGTCGGCTCCCTCAATAACGCTGATGAACCTTCGCTGCAGTGTATCGGTTGTACAACGACGAGCAGCAGTCCTTCCTGTATGGCACAATCCCCAATCCATCCAGCGGTTACAACATGTTATCCGCGAAGATTCCTGGAGCCGCGACTGAGACGATTGGCGTACCTTCGCGCCTGTACTTCACGCCCACTGCAGAGAAGCCTCTCGCTGGACTCCGGTTCGCCGTAAAGGACATCTATGACGTCGAGGGTCTCCGCACCGGCTGCGGCAATCGTGCATACTGGGAACTGTACCCTCCGAGAAACCAGACTGCTCCTGCCGTCCAGCGCCTCCTGGATGGCGGCCTCGTGCTAGTGGGAAAGACGAAGAGCTCGCAGTTTGCTAACGGAGAAGTCGCGACAGATGACTGGGTCGATCTCCATGCCCCGTACAACCCTCGTGGAGATGGCTACCAGGACGGTAGCAGCTCATCCACGGGATCAGGCACTGCTGAGGCGGCCTACCCTTGGCTTGACTATGCGATCGGGAGCGACACGGGAGGATCCATGCGGGGTCCTGCTGGTGTCAACGGCGTCTTCGGTAACAGACCTTCGCATGGTGCCGTGTCTCTCGACGACGTCATGCCCTTGTCACCGCCCCTGGATACAGCTGGCATCTTTGCAAGAGACGCGAACATGTGGGCCACAGTCGGACACTGGTGGTACCAGAATTTCACGTCGGTATGTCCGTTCTAGATGTCGTTCAGCACGTTGCGCTTGACACCTCACGCCAACAGTATCCTGGCTTCCCGAAGACGCTACTCTTCCCAGTCGACTTCTTTGGCAGCAGCTACTTGACCAATCCGCCGCCTGCGGGTACGGCCGGTGCGGTCTTCAATGCATTCATATCTAAGCTGGAAACGTTCCTGGGCATCACGCGCACAGAGATGAATCTCGCCAGCATGTGGGCCGAAAATCCATTATCCACAGCGCACGGTTCGCTGTCGCACATGTTGAGCAGTACTTATCCGACATTGATTACAATGGACCAGATCCAGCGCGTCGCTGAGCCTTTCATGGCCGACTACGCCGCGGCCAATGGTGGTCGCAAACCATTCATTGACCCCGCACCGCTTACCCGATGGGGTTATGGTTGGTCACTACCCACAGAGGCATACACTGAAGGGATCGCAAACAAAACGACGTTCATGGATTGGTTCGCGAGTGAGGTGGTAGTTGGGGGAGACCCGACATCGTGCTCGGAGAGCATCCTGCTTTACCCTCAAAGCTCCGGTTACACAACGTACCGGAATGCCTACTCAGGGTGAGGCGTATAATTTTCATCGCACTGCACGCGCTTGACTGCTGCTTCTTGCCATAGCCCGCCGAGTACCCCTTTCGGCTTTTCCGCCGGACGTGTAGCTGTCCTGGCCGAAACGCCGGATATGGTGGTACCGGGTACGTGGTGGATGTATGGATCGTGGTTGTGGCTAACCATCACACCGTTCCTCCCTGCAGTCGGAGAAGTTGCGTACAACTCGACGATTACCGGAATTGAAGAGTATCTCCCGGTGACACTGAGTTTCATCGCCGCGAAAGGCTGTGTGAGTTCGCTTTCGAGATGTGTCATTCGCGTTAATGTCATACTCATACTCAACGTACTGCAGGATCTGGTGTTATTCGATCTCTTCGCTACTTTACAAGACAACGGCATCATTCAACCCGTAACCACTGGATCCAGACTTTACAATGAAGTGGGGGTCGAGGAGTAGACGCAAACCCGTGACAGCCTAGTCGTGCTACCGACTGACATTCTATGCAACTCGACGCTGTTGGATTTTCTGGAGTATCTGGACCAACGTTGATTTCTGCGTGTGAGTACAGCATTCCCGGATAGCAAAGATGCACTCACCAGGTAGCTGCTCCCCGGCGACCGTGTCTCAGAAAAGACTGCTGAGACTGCTGAGATCAGGAGCACAGACCTACACAACACCGATATCAGAATCATATGTCAATGTCCAGACGCTGCAGCGGTCGACCGTGCACATTCACGACACTTACCCCAACGGTGGCGGTACCAAATTCAGTGTCGGCCGTGACAGTCTGGCACGTCAGGGTTAGTATGCCCAGGATGTCGCAGCACGTCTCGCCGGCCGTGGGACAAGTAGCAAGGTAGTCGCATGACTGAGCTGCGGCGCGCCCTGTGCTCATTGCGAACAACAGGAAAGTGATGGTGACGAAGTTGCTGGTGAAGCGCATGATGTTTGTATGTGCACGCTTAACTTGACGTTCTACAGGATGTCGGTCAGCGCAAAACAACGGGTAGCCATGAGATGCCTGTTCTGTGTGACTGACCGTGGTTGTGCTTGCGTATTTGCCGACCGGGGGTGGTATTGACGATGAGACGGCTGTCGTGAGCAGCTGTTTTATAACGCTCGCTGGGCGACTACTCAGACACGTCGTATGATCATGTTCAAGCACCCCAGTCATTTGCCTAGACGGAATGAATGCCCCCATTAGATGCCTGCAAGGACCACCGTGTTGATGAGGTGCAGGTAGACTATGTGGCAGGCGCGTTCTTCGAAGGTGGCACCTAACGATGTGGCGTGCTTACTCGGCACTGAAGAGTCTGACGGAATCACTGACCGCGCCAGATATCTCTCAGTTCGAAGTGCCAGAGCCTTTTACATGCCTGCGAAGCTAAAATCTTGAGCATTTCATATCCTTGTCTGCGTTGTAAGTAGCCGATTGAGAGAGCCTGGGGCCTGCTATTCGAATCAACCCGGCCAGGAAGGCCTGCTGTCTTGTGTGGAATTTGGAAAGCGGAAAGAACCACTTTTCACAGTACGGAATTGACAAGTAGTAGACCATAATTTCGAACAACGTGCATACAGCATGCTAGTGCATCTCCTCTTGCTACAGACGCGGACGGCGGTGCTCAAACGAGCCCGGCAACTCCGTTTGTTGCAGTATCAGCCCGCTTTTGAACTAACCGTCTGAGATAGCAGAGGGCTCCACTCGTCAGCAGTGATCTCAGACCGCGACAAACAACAGTAACTCACCGACGGAGTATGTCCCTTACAGACTGCCAAAAGGCTTTCCCACTGGCATCGCGAACCATGTCGGACTCCTCAATTGAATATAAGTTCGGAAACGTCGCGGATAGAAAATCTGCCACATCCGCAGGATTCCCCACAGCAGGAGAGCGGTCAAAGCTCATGCCCGTGAGGGTTTGGTTGCAGTAGTCACCAGTGAGCCTCACGTTGGCTGAGGTAATGATTGCGGACGTGTCCACGCAGATCGTGAAGTCCTCCAATGAGGGGCAATACCTAGCGAGATATGCCAGCCCTTCTAGAGTCGTCGCAGTCTGCGTCCCTTCGGTACAGCTGACAGCGCTGTACAAACGTAGGCTCTTCATGCGAGGCCACGACATGGCCATTTCCTTCACGGCATCGTCGTCGAGTACAATGTGCATGTCCACGAAGAAGCCGAAGTCCCTGAGATTATGGAAATCGCAAAGATGTCGTAGAGTCGCCATGGTGATGTCCTCACAACCCAGCGGATCGTTGTTCGAGCTGTGTATGGAATCGGAAACACTGTCAAATGTGATCGTCTCCATCGTGGTATGCGGACACCGCTCGTGAATCAGGCGCAGCATGCGATCGACGGTGTTCAGCCCGCCTGAGATTACGTCAATCGGCGACACAGTGATGTGCTCCAGGCGTGGAGTCTGACATGCGAAGAAGAAATCCACACAGTCGTTCATGGATAGAAACTCCAGAACCAAACTCTTCAGTACATTGAAGGTGAGGTTGGGAGCCGCGATATCACGTTTTGTCCGGAACGAAACGTCCCAGCCGAGCGTCAGATCCGTGAGATGCTGAAGCTCTGTCAAGGCCGCGAAGTTGTTCGATGATATATGTAGGACCAAACGATGATGAATCGGCCTGGGGCGCAGACGCGATGAGAGAACCTTCAGCTTCAGGTCCTTCAGAGTTGCAAGAACATCGGTCATGGCTCGCAACGACGAGGGTCCATCCATCAACAGCCCAATATCCAGCTCTTCGAGAGCGGGAGAGCACCGTGGAAGGTGGCGTAAGGCGAGGATGGCGGCACTGACGGGAAAATCGCATGACCAATTTCCAATGTACAGTGTGGAAAGTCGGGGACCAAAGAGCAGATGCAAAGGACCATCATCTTTGGCCAGCGCGGGGTCCTCCGCGTCCCACCGGAAGTAGGACAGATTTGGGAGTAACAAAGAAGGTCTTGACGAAAGGAGCCATGCACAGAGGGTCCGTGAGATGATATGAGCCGGATGCATGGCGGTCGGCTTGCCGGCGCTTGTGTTGTGGTAAATACTGCGAATACGTCGGGCATGATAATCGAAACGATGCCAGTCCTGTGGAACTGTGCGTCTTTTTGGTTCCTTGAGCACCTAGGATATTCCATGCGGGGGAAGGAGGAGGGAGAATATGGTTTCAAACTTGTCTCTGCGAAAAGTCAGGCAATTCACTCACCAGGATTCCTCGGGCTGGAGATTCATTGTCCAGTTCTGATACCGTCCATAGATCTTCCGGTAGACACCGGACAAGAGGGCCTAAGCCGGTTTGAACACGCCATATGACGTCTAAGGCGGGTTCAAGGAATGTGCGCGATGTGAGGGCGAGTGCGAGAAATGTGGGTAGATGGGGTGTCCCGAGCCGCAAGTTTCCACGAGTGGCAGCTTCAAGTTCGTGCGCAATCAGGTCGACTAATTCGGGAACGGCCAGAGTCCTATGCATTTTGATGTGCACTCTTCATCGTGATGAGAGACATATGTAGGATGATATGGAAACCACGAGCGCTCACCAATTACAGCCAGAGTCGAACGAATGCCTGAAAATGAATACGCAGCGGCGACATCCAACAGTCAGTCTGCAGATAGCGTTCAGTCGCCCTGAGCCTATTGCTGAGGCTCGGACTCGAAGATTGGACTCACGGGAAGGTTCAGGTTGTGCGCAAGTCACAGTCCACCGGCGGTGATAGACTGACAGTACAGCCACAGGCAGCCACACTGGCAATTCCGGAAAATGCCGTTGCAACTGCACGACGCGCCGAGGTCCGAAGTATTGTTTAAGCGCCCATCCGTGAAATACCCTGTCAGTGTCAGTCTGAGTCTCCACGTCGTTGCTTTGAATCGGTCTCCAAGAATGCCACAAAAGCAGATATGTATTGAACGACACGAGTTGACCAGTCTGTCTGTTATCCATACGTGCTGGAACAGCTATTTCAGTACGTCGACGCGAAGGGTTGAGGTATACATGTTGTACCTTCTTTATTGCACCGCTTTCGAGCAGTTCGTGCACTTGCAGGTGCTTTAAGCACAAGCGCATCTCGCGACAGAAGAGCAGGGGCTATACGGCCGCGGCGATGATGACGTTGTCATTATTTCATAAGCGAGGTTCTCACTACACCCGAGGAGTAGGTTCGCTCACTTGCACGTACTTCGACAGTTGCAAGCCATATTGACTTTGTCATCAATGTGAGCGTGTCAATGGTGAGGTGAAGTCTCTTGTGAGTAGGAGGTGACCTGAAGACCAGGCACGGGCGAACGCGGGTTCCCTTGGCCAGCGTGTCGTCGCTGTCATCTGAGTCGCAATTGATGAGAAGAACAACGCGACGGCTGCATTCACCAGGCGCTCCTCCACATGCATAACATCCTATGTCAACCTGAATTACTTACGCACCGGCACGACAACTAAGAACTCGTATCCCTCGTGCAACTCCCCGAGAAACCACCTATTAGCGTTTTGGAATGTCCGGAGCACGCCGAGAGGCTCCTCGTGGTCGACGTGGAATTGAGTGAAGATGCTGCACACGGCGCCAGGAGGATGGTCGCCCCCGAACAACGAACCGTGGAGTGCTGCGCCTTTGAGATAGTAGATGGGCGTTCTGGCGAGTATATCCCGGGCGTGCGTGCGAGTGAAGTCAAGGTCGAGCGCGCCGATTGGGACATCTGAAATATGCGATCTAAGCGAGTATGCATAACGACGGCCAGACGAGGACGTACGCGCAATCTTGGCCAGCGCAGCGCAGGTAGCTGGATGGGACGAGGCAACGCCGAGAACGGAGACGTTCTGGAATGGCTCCGACACCAGCAAGCTTTGCAAGAGTTCGGTCGCAATCCCACGTCTGCGACATGACTTATCGACGACAAGCTGTGTGATCCAGCCTGCCTTCGCCGTTCCCCGCGAATCATCATGGTCGAGCTTGTGCGCTGGACAGTCATCAGCGCGAGCGATTAATTATTTACGGCAGGTCGTCCTTGATTCACTCACAGGATTCGTAGATCCATGTTGTCGCAAATGCATGTCCGAGCAAACTATCGCCAGCGCGGCACGTCGCGAGAACCGTGGTAGCCGGATCGTCTGGTATGAGCTGGCCCTTGAATTTCGCCACGTTCATTTTTACACGGTTCCCTGTTACATTCCTGTCAGCATTATTCTGAGATACCGCTGAATACTCACCAGGTTTTCGAAAAAGACACGAGGGGGCCCCATATGCCGTAGTTGTCGCTGAGAAGGAAGCACACTCATCAAACTGCGCTTGGCTGACTCTGTCGCCCGTTGTGACGACAAAGCTAAGTGTCTCCTCGCACGCTGAGACATGAGACGTCTCGGAAGCAGCAGACATGGTCGTTCGGGCCAAGAAGAGCGATGATGAGCTTGAAGTGACTATTAACGACAGACAGTTGAGTTTTTACTACGTAATAACAGACCGTCCTTGCCGTGAATGCGTGATTGGAATCATTAGAACATGACCGGGACTGCCGACTGCATCAAGTCCTGTCTGTCCTGAATATGTAGCTCAATGCTTATAGAACGCTGAATGTAGCAAGAGATGTGCGTGGACTCGGCGAAATAGTCAGTGTTGACGTTGACTCATGAGTCACTCAAAAAGAACTGACATCGAGTCGCGACCGATTTGGACGACGATCACGTGGTTTCGTTTAAGAAGCCATCACCGTAACATTGTCCATCTGTCCTGCCAACTGCTGTGTGAAGTCGACACTCGATGTGAAGGGTTGCGAACAAAATCTCAAAGTATACATTGTACTGTAAAATGGAGTGAAACACTGACGATCTACTTACAGGCGCGAGTCGCTGCATGGACTAACCGCGACTGGATCCGAACTCCGAGCCACGATCCAAGGCATCACGACCTTGGAAAAATTCTGCGGCTAGCGTTACGACTGGACACCGCCGCGGAATCCTCGAAATGTCCCATCCATGTGGCTACGCACCGCAGGACGAACCGCCATCAGCCACACTCGTAACTCCCGCATTCCTACCCTTCGACAGAGCAGACGCCGATCTCATTCTACGCACCGCCGACAATGTCGAGTTCCGCGTGCACAAGCTCACCATGCGCATGGCGTCCGAGATATTCGAAGAGATGTTCAGACTCGGATACGCCGCCGCACCGTCCGAAGACGATGCGTACGGGATACCTGTCGTGCGAGTCACCGAACACTCTTCGATCATTGACCCACTACTCCGGATTATATACCCAATACAAGACCCCGTGCTAGATGTCCCCACGACCGCCTGCGAAGTAATGCGCGCATCGCTCAAGTACGAGATGGAAGTAGCCATGACCTTTGCGCAGCGGGTGCTCATGGATCCCAAGGTTGCAGCCAAAGACCCACTGGCGGTCTACGCCGCTGCGTGCCAGATGCGGATGCCCAGCCTCGCTCTCGAGGCAGCCAAGCTCAGCCTACGCCACGACCGGATATTCCTGGCAGTCGCTGCGCCAGTAGGACTGGACAGTCTCCCTGCCACCATCCTCTTTGCGCTCATGCAGTATCGCGAGAAGTGCAAGGCCGTCGTGCAACGCTTCGTACAGGATGACCGGGTGTGGAAGAGCTGGAGCGGATTCCGGCACTTTCTCTGTGGGATCTGCGATCCTCGTCCATCAACGACGACAGGCCGCCGCGTGAAGGCGCCGTCATACTGGATGTCGAGCACCTTCGCGTCGTGCTGCGCGACCTGCTGTGCAGTATGCCCGGGCCCGTGCCCGACATGGGCGAGGTCTTGCTCTCGTCGATGCTGTTGATGGCCGGCTCGCGGGAGATAACCAAGTGTGTGTCGTGCCGCATGTCTATCGTCAGAGACGTGCGGGAACTTCACGCGGAGATCTTGGCAGAGATTCAGCGTTCTGTGGCGATGGTCAGTATGGCTCAGCTGTTTGTGAGAGGGACGCTCACGGAGTGCTATGCACAGATCAAACTCGACCTTGTTCTATAAAATTACTTGCTCTATCTACTGCTACGCCGCACCTGGATGGCGACTACTGGCGCACCACTCTCGTTTTCATGTTTTCCCGGAACGATACCCGCTATCCACGGTCGACCATGCCGCTTTGTAGCATACTTATATACATTTGTTTCGGTACATCTTTCGCAAGTTGCCTCTTCTCGTGCCCAGCAGCACGTAATGTATAGCATATATCTCTGTCCTACAGCCGACTGCATGTGGCGTACTTTGACAACCCTTTCGCCGCCCCAATCCGAACAGACCAGGTATATAGTATGCATTTCAGGACTAGCTACGTCCACAAGCTCACTCGACATCTGTGACAGGCCAGAGGACATGAAAGATTCCGCAATTCGGAAACGATAGACTGTCAAGCAGCCACAACCTGCCGCTTACGGAACAGTACATCTTTGCGCGGGGCACTACACCATGCCAGCGCGACGAGTTATCCGGTCTTGGCTGCCCATCCTCAAATTTGACGTCGTAGTGGAGCAAGGTGTACACCATCATGACTTTCAGCTCGTTCACGGCGAAGAACCGGCCGGGGCTGGTACGGCAGAGAACCCGCGGTCAGCGAACACGCCGGTTATAACGGAGAGTCCGAAAGCCGTTACGTACCAAGCATGTTTTCCACCACCGAATGCCACGTACTCTGGCGAGGTGCTGACAAACTGGTGCTTGATCCTTGCGTCGTCTTCATTGCGCATGTCTGAGAAGCGGAACGGATCGAAGACGTCTGGATTCTCATAGCTGCGCGCATCCCGGTGCGTCGCACTCGCCGCGCCCGCAACGACGGTACCCGCCGGAAGGAACGTCCCGTCGGAGAGCGTTGTGTCTTGTAGTATCTTTCGCATGACGGATACTACACAGATGGGGATGGCTCAATATGAGGAACACAGGCGTGTATTGGACACTCACTGTGAGTAATGCCATTGATCCGCTGTGACTCCCGCATGAAGCTGTCCAGCTTCCACATCTTACCAAACGCGACTTTGGTCCAGCCATCCTCCTTGATCACGTTCTCTACCTCCTCACGCAATACCGCCGCATATTCAGGAGCCCCTGCAAGGTGGTAGATCGCATGTGTCATACTCTGTTTGCGTACGTCGTTAGCGAAACGCCTCCACCACAGGCACGCACTCAGTAGGAATATACGCACATTGCTGGACGTGTGTATGGCAGCGAAGTTGGAGACCATGATACCCTCCAGTATCACCTGGGTAGGCTGACCTTCCCGGTTGGCTTCGTCGATCATCCACATCAGATAGTCATTCTTGCATCCAAAGGGTCTCAGTGAGCGATGATCAGTCTCTGCGTCACTGACTGCTTACAGGCTTGTCCGTCCAGTCATCGCCCAACACCTTTAGCTTCTTCTGACGTTCCTCGATCATGGGCTTGAGGTATACCGATGCGTTCCGCGTGGACCTGCGCGCCCATGGACGAGCGGACCAACCACTCCCTTCAAGAACTTCGGAAACAAGCTGAGTAGGAACCTCGCCTTCCCGACGTCAAATGTGAATTGGCGGACGATCTGCAGATAATCTTCGTTCCGGCCTGTTGGTATTGCGGATTAGCTCTGCAAGCCATTGTCCGTATTCACGAAATTGGACTTAACACAAAGGAAGACCGACAAAGACACGGTTGCTCACCCGCGAGATAACCACCGCCATGGTCATCAGCACGTTTACACTGACCCATTCTGCTCAGGACGACCTGTAAGTAGCAGGTTCAACACGCGGTCACGGGAATGGTCAACTCGCCGTCACTCTGCAGCTTGTTTCCGATGGTGTCCGCGAACGCTGCATTGACCTCATCAACAACGTCGCCGAACAGGATCCCTAGATTCCTTGTCAACGGGCCGCGGATGGCGGGGAGGTGAATCGGGTGGCTAACGACACTCTCTGACAGAGTGTATCGCATTTGAACGATCTGTCAGAAGATTAGAGTGGGCACACCGTTGAACCAGATGGAGCGGTTCGGGTCGACGTACATCTTCAACCGCCTTATCAAAAGTCGCATGCGAGTCCGGATCTTGCGCAACTCCTCGTTCATGTCCGCGCCGCTGACGATCACAATCCACTGGTCAAGCATAGCGACCTTGAAGACTTTGTGCTAAGGAGAGCAGAGACACGTCAGCTACGCCATAGTATCTACGCATTCGTACAACATCTGACCTTCGCGTAACCCTCTTGGAGGACCTCGCGGGCATTATTACAGTACTTGTAGGCACCTATGTATGAGGGAAAGGAAGCGACGCCCAATTGCCGGGATGGAGTATAACTGTGAATGATACCCAGGCCAGCATTAGTATTGTCGTTCTCATGTAAATACGCGCCGACAATGCGTACCGGATGAAACCTCCAATTGATGAAGACGGTCAACACGAAAACAGCCAAGACGGCACTTGCGATCTCAAGTGCATCGGCCATGATGCAACTGTGTGATCGGTCGTCGAAGACAGCAGTCTTGAAAGGCACCTGGAGTGAGATCAAATTGGTGTAGAGTCGGGGAATCGCTACTTATACGGTACTGCACTGCAACGTGGTGGGAGCATTCGGCTAACTGCTGACCGTACGGTGCTGACGCACACTATCCGCACGCAGTCCGCGAGCATTCTCAAACCCAGGCTCCTAATACCAGCCGTCCATAGTGTTCTCGCTCGTACATGTCGAGGGGGACTTCAGCCTATATACGAAAAAATATAAAATGAGCGCTTAAATCATATTAGACGCTCTAAAGTTTTGACTTACTATACTGGGGAATTTTTTAGCCGAATTGACGAGGAGAACACTATAGGACGGCTGGCCAAACTTGTCCCCGAGGCATGGCCGAAGGGGCGCTTATTGACTAGTCAAAGCGACGTACCCCTACGCTAGGTCTTATTTACTGGAGTATCCGACTGGCGTGCGGTCGCGTATGTAATCAAGCTTGGGCGGCTGCCAAGGGCCCGCGCGATCGCAAATTGGCGAAAAGAAATCAAAAATTGATGGGGACTCGAACCCGTGCGCTGTAAAAGACAGCCGTGCGCTATAACCACTCGACCATAGCAGCTACATAGGTTCCTCAACGGCACGCGATAAGAGTACTCTACAGCGTGTGGGCGCTATTCTCGTACGCCCTGCTGTCAGAAGGGGCGAAGATGATAAGAACTCAGCAGTCATTGACTAACTGTCAGAGGCAACTCCTACACGGACACGAGAAAATTCATTGTGTGCTTCGCTGATGTGCCAGGCCGCGCACTTCCCGCAGACGGCGCTGACAGGTGACAGCAGGGCGTACGAGAATAGCGCCCACACGCTGTAGAGTACTCTTATCGCGTGCCGTTGAGGAACCTATGTAGCTGCTATGGTCGAGTGGTTATAGCGCACGGCTGTCTTTTTACAGCGCACGGGTTCGAGTCCCCATCAATTTTTGATTTCTTTTCGCCAATTTGCGATCGCGCGGGCCCTTGGCAGCCGCCCAAGCTTGATTACATACGCGACCGCACGCCAGTCGGATACTCCAGTAAATAAGACCTAGCGTAGGGGTACGTCGCTTTGACTAGTCAATAAGCGCCCCTTCGGCCATGCCTCGGGGACAAGTTTGGCCAGCCGTCCTATAGTGTTCTCCTCGTCAATTCGGCTAAAAAAATTCCCCAGTATAGTAAGTCAAAACTTTAGAGCGTCTAATATGATTTAAGCGCTCATTTTATATTTTTTCGTATATAGGCTGAAGTCCCCCTCGACATGTACGAGCGAGAACACTATGGACGGCTGGTATTAGGAGCCTGTCTCAAACCCATCCGTGGCTGTCTTGTGATCGTCGAGAACGCTGCACCCTGCTGCACCCGTAGTGATGGAAACGCCGCCCTGTCGCCCGATTGTGCCAGTGTAGTTCATTTAGTTCAGGATTGACGTATGCACAAACATACTCACACGTCGACCTCGTAGTTTTGAAAGCCGAATCGTTGGCACTGTTCACTGGAGATGCTGCTGCATTTGCGTCGTGTACTACGTAGGTCAGGAACGACTCGAAAACTCGGGCCGCTCGAGAAGCTCAACTTTGATGCCACGCCGAGCTGAGCCAGTCATCTCTGCTTAGAGTGTACGGGATCTCCTGCCGATTGGACGAAATATAGTATGAGATGTTCTTACCGTGCAACCAGTGGATGTCTTTCCCCAGGGCAAGGGTAAAGCTAGTCTCCCGTAGGCAGACTTTACGCGGCCTCTTTGAGTGGGGGAGGTCGGTCTCATATGAAGGTAAAGCTAGAGCGACGTCGAACATCGCCTGTGGCGCGAGGACAAGGGTCACTGAACCGCAGCGAGAACCTCTAATTTGTGATCCAAATGCACGACACGGCGTTCCACAAGTAGCATGGCCTGCGAAGAAGCGTAACACAAGTCTGCCTATACTGTATAGTATACTAGCACTTACCGTGGATCACTTGAAGCTTCAGCGCTTCAGCCACGAACTTCAAGTTGAAGGGCGATCATGGGCACCATGATGATGATGAATGGGCCGACCGTTGTGCCGCATCAAGCTCTGCCTAATATTGGTGTTGCTCGAATGTCTATACACCCTCTGGCGCTCTCTGACAACATTGAGTCGAATGATAAGTACAAGACGGTGGTCGTGGCCAAGGTGTCCCCGACTCCGACCGGAGGGAGAGAGGAGGGCTTTGTCGACCATAAGTCGTTCGCAGCCGGCGATGCCGCTCCCTCCGTGGGAAACACGTGACTTGAAATTCCCATAAACGGTATCGCAGCAATGCTCGAGTGTCCTACGAGGCAGCTCGAGGCAGTTGGATCCTTCCGTGCATCTGGCTGTGTCTGGACGCCTGGATCTCTGACCATCCAACGACTCCTCCTAAATGCAGGAGAGTTTCTCTCATTTTTGATAGCCTGCACTTACATACTTATGTACTGTGATACATACTGTGTCGTGGAAGCCCGAGACGCCCGGGCGGCGAAGCCGCCGCGGGCGTGAGGGCCTCCAATTGAATCTCAATAGCATTCCGATGATACAATGTTACAATGCATCATAACTTACAGTATATACCAAAATCTAGTGCCGCTGTGGCAGGCTGAGCAGCTGCCAGTGTCTGCCATGCAGGAGTCGGGGATCGGCGCTTGCGCCGCTACGATTAATATTAAGTTCTCGGCTGGTCCCTGGAACGACTGAAAGTAGGCGTCACGTGCGGACACTTAGGCCCCGTGAGTCCGTGCCAGTGCGAGGAGGAGGACCGTAAGTACCAGCACTTATACTTGACCTATCCAATCTTGACTGGTCGCTATGTCATGGTGAACGGCGCTTTTGACGGCATCACAACAATCCGGCGCAAGTAACGGGGGTATGCAATCCGGGAAGCCAGGTTTACTCTGAGTCGAGCTCGTCTTCAAGTTTCGAAACATGCCTTTGAACTCTCTTCTCGGCCAAGCCGGCCTCAGACTTGGTCCTCTCTTGCTTGAAACTCTCGTCAAGCACTACTTGGAGCGCATAGTAGACGAACGCGGGGACGGAGTCACCGACTTGAGTCGTGACGAGTTGCTGTACGACCAGGCATTCCATGTCATCAAGGTGCGCAGTGACAGGCAATGTGATTCGAGAGCACTCATGGCTACATGATGCGGTAGACTTTCCTCGAAGCCGCTACGAAGTGAGTGTCTCGTATGTAGACAAGGCTGCCTACGAGACTGAAATGACGGACAGACATACAGTAGAGGAACTGCAAGAGTTCTCAAACACCCGGACGCCTTCACCGCCATGGACCCGCGTCGTTCGACTGCTCGTGCCCATGTCCAGCTGCGATGAAGCAGCTACGTACCTCATCAAAGCACTGGGCGGAGAGGAAGTTACCAAACGGGTCGTTGGCGGGACGAAGTGGTGGCAGGTTCGCGGCGTCCGGGGGTGCGTGCTCACGTTCATATGATGCTGCCAGCCCGCTCATAATGGACCGACAGGGTCGACGCAGAGTGGATCACCATGAAGAAGGACTGGAAAGAAGCGAAGAAACGAAGCAAATCACAGCGGAGGGAGAACAGGTCGCGTTCTCGTCCACCACCGAGTGGCGAGACCGACGCTGACGAAGACAAGCCAGCCATCTATGATCCGGAGATGGACAAGATGCGATGTATTCTTTATGCACATGGTGGTACGTATGCGATCCACTGTAACATCGCCCGCCCCGTTATGTCCGGATGCGCAGGCGACTCAGGCGCCCACTGTCCAAGTTCCTACCTCCTTCTACGACGTTGATCTGTACTGAATGAACCATACAGGGGGTACTACTTTGGCAGCATAGACCAAGAAAGGTCTGTTCGACGGTGGCTCGTACCACTCATTGTGCCTTACGTTCTCGTGTATAGATACAGTCTTGAACGCTATGCGCGCAAGATCGGCGGTCGCGTCTTCGCGATAAATTATCGTCTCGCGCCGCAATACCCTTTCCCTTGTGCCATTCACGACTTCCTCGCAGCTTGTACGTCGTCTGCACACATCCATGTCGCGCGATTGACTGGTTTCACAGACCTCTACCTTATACGTCCGCCACCGGAAGCGTCCCATAGCCCTGTGGACCCTGCCCATATAGTCGTCGCTGGCGACTCGGCAGGCGGCGGCCTGACCATTGCCTTGCTGCAAGTAATCCGTGATACGGGTCTGCCGCCACCCGCAGGCGCTGTACTCATCTCGCCATGGTGCGACCTCACGCATTCCTTTCCGAGTGTACACATCAACAACGCCACAGTAAGTCGCGTTTTCCTTGACACGAAGACAGTTCCTCACCTCGCGCAGGACGTCCTCCCCCATATGGTCTCTCCTTCCACAAGCCAAGCATGCTCTGGCCGCCCCCGCCGAACGAGCTGACCGCCGAGGTGCAGCACAGTATCCGGACGCGCATCCGCGAGGTCGTGCACCTGGGCAACTCCGCCGTGCCTGTCATGTCGTCTCCGTCATCTCCGTCATTTCCATCGCCTGCCGACGCAGGATTGGCGCGGCCGTCCCACGAGTTTCGCACTGCGTCGGGCGAGACTGTCCACCTGGGTTCCACGGCGCACCTGCCGCCACCGCCACCGTCGACCGCCGTGCGCGACCAGACGATTACGCTGCACACGGAGAAGGGCGAGACGCTGAAGATCGAGGAGCAGGTGCAGATGTACTGTCCAAACTACCTGCTGCGGCACCCGCTCGTCAGCGCGGTCATGGGGCATCTGGGTGGGCTTCCGCCGTTGTTCATCATTGCGAGTGAGAAAGAGGTTATCAGAGATGAGATCGTCTACCTGTGAGTGGGAGTAGCCCATTGTCTTCGCTAATGGCTGAATAGCATACAAACTAGCGCGCACAAGGCCGCGTATCCAGACAGGTTCAAGATCAAGGACGAGGCGAAGGCGCTGTATCCTGTGCTGGAGGGTATAGAGTCTCGGTATGGTCCGACGAAGGTGCACCTACAAGTTTGGGATGGTAGGTGAATGTTCCATGTTCTCCACGTCAGGTCCTGACAGACCATCGACACATGCAGACGCGGGGCACACGCTGCCAACCCTCTTCTCGTTCACGACGCCTGCGAAGTACTGTTATCGCGCGATAGCGACATTCTGCAAATACGCCACGGGCATGCTGCCACCGCCGTCGCAGCTGCTCTCGCCGAGCGATGTGCCACTGATGAGCTCGCCCATGAGCAGCCCGCCCGCCTCGCCGCTTTCGCCGGGCTTCGACTTTTCGTCATCATCGTCGTCTACGGTGATCGCCGCTAGTCATTCATCTTCGTCGACGATCCACGGACATGCTCGCCCTGGGACGTCCGACGGTGTCGCGAACAGATCGGGGCGTGGTTCGAGCAAGACAAGACAGGGAAGGTACACTGTCAGCGCATTCTTCCATCGACGTACCACACATCTATTTGCGGCACACGAGAGGGACGATACAGAGTCCAGCGACGTCGCTGGACCTCGGTTTGGACTTGGACACGATGAATATGGGGGTGTAGAGGGCGAGAGGCGCGCGGGCGAGTCGTCTGTATATGACAACGGCATGGTGAGGCCCCTCTGCACATGAAAACATTTCACTTGACTAAAAACAGATAGGAAACGATGATTCGAGAACGCATCTCCACGCGCGGCGTCATCCGCCCTCTCGAGCCCGAGTCGGAGCTTCCCGGGCTTCAGCTACCTGAGGAGCTCATCGGCGAGGTGTCTGAGCTCGTAGTGCGACGGTACTATGCCGGGCGGGAGGAGTTTGGGCGGCGGTTCGCGAAGGTGTACAAGTCGGTCGAGAAGCAGCGCCGTCGGAACCTATCGCGCCACACACACGACGCGCTACAGCAAATGGCGCATCTCCAGACGGTGCTCACGCCGGACAGCGGCGCGCAAGCGGAGCAGGAGCAGGGCAAGAAAGGCTCGGCGCGCACACCGAAGGGCATCCATGAGGGCCTGATCAGTACGGGGAGCTGGGCGTGGGCGTGGGCACTCGACGTGGATGAGGCTCCGCCGCCGAGCAGCATCGTCGCTAGAAGGGATACGGAGGATGCGCGGCGGCTCATGCGGGTCGCGGACCAGGCGTTCTTGATGGATGAACATGCGATGAGCGGGAACCACCTCTGGAACGTCATTGTTGAGTTCTTGACAAAGTCTCCGGACAGACACGGGCGTGGACGTGAGTCCAAGCCTGTCCAGAAAGGTCCAGGAGAGAACGGTGCGGCTGAGGACGATCCTGCTGAGGCGCCGGAGGCACGCCCATCGAGGTTTTCGCGGTTCCTGGCTAAGCGTAGAGGTCGTAGTCAGTCTGCGGAGAAGGCTTCGTAATCTGCACTAAGATGGCACGTACCGCTCTGGATTACACGAACCCTTGCTAACGAACTGTCTCCACGTAGGGTTCGCTGTATTAAGAATCATTATATTACTGCCGTGAGGCCTGGCCGGACAATGTCATAATCCAGTTTTGCCCTACGCATTGCCGCGGCCGTCATACTGTGACCCCCACAAGACCGATATGGCGAAGGAAATCTTCGACTTAGTCGCCATGTTTGGTGACTGTATGTCTTCTGGACTGATCGCGTAAATGGCTCACAAAGGCGGGCTTAGGTGTGTCATCCCGGGCGCCCACTGACTTCTGTGCCTCAACTAGACATCCTTGTTCCGCCTGAGGTCAAGGATATCTTGGTTCTGTGGCCACGTCGGGCGATCTGCGGGGAGATGTATGAGCCGACGTCCGATTCTGGGAATCGGCAAGGTCCTCCCTATGTGGAGGCAGCTGGTCCAGATGACAGGATTCCTTGCCCCCCTGGAGCCGCTCCACTGCGTCATATGTAGTGTCAGGAGTAACTTAAAAAATCCTGCAGCCGCGCAGTATATATTCCGTGCATAGGCTACCAACCGTTCCCCATCCAAACCACCGACTACTGTACACCCAACTCACGAAATCACCTCGAAGACAGAATGGCTTGCACCTGCCAGAGTAACTGCGGGTAGGCACTAGTAGTCTCCTCCTTGCCATCGCTGACCACATGTCCGCAGCGCTTGCGGCCCCAGCGGTACCGGGTGCGCCTGCCAGCAAGGTACCTGCAATTGCGCGAACTGTTCTAATGGCAAGCAGTGAAGACGGTGCGTTATTTCTCTCGCATGCGAATGTTCGCGTACATCTTATTTCACTGCGACAGTGCTTGACCTCCGATTTCGACGAGGATGTTGCCATTTACTTTGTGTACGATATATGTTGGCAGGAGGCCGTGAATGTACTGTCAACGACCTTAAGAAGCTGAGGCACTTCAGTTATGCTGTGAGGCCGATCATGAGGCGTTTCCGCGCAGAGGTATCCATGTGCTTTCCGACTTAAAGCTCGTTCCTGCGGCGCCAGCGTGACGGCGGCATGCTTTCGCCCGTTGACGTACCATTCATCATCTGTGTAGTACATATACCATTTTCAAAGCTGTGACCGAGACGACGATACATCGTGATGTTTCACCGTGCAGAAGAAACCTCGTGAGAAAAGGCGATACCAGCCTATGTTTTGTAGCACGACGACTCGACCATTACTGAAAACAAACGCTGCACGCAAAGGCAGTTCGAGCACATATAACACAACACCTGGCCGTTTTCATTGATTCTACTGGGCTAGAAAGTCAAGTGTCAGAGGCTGGTCTCACATTTGACGGAACGACTCACGAGCGTGGATTTGCCATTCAGACACGATCCGTGGAACTCTCAGAATGTCCTACACCTCACTTCCAGTAACTTCAAATTACTTCTCGGAGGTAAATTCGCGCCTCTCTGATTGAGGCGCCAGTGCGGGCACGAAGACCGCAGCTCATCAACTTCATGGCATAGGATATCCTGCAAGAGTGGTCCAGCGTGAGGCGAAATTATGGCTATGAGCAGTAAATAGACAATAGGAAAGACCGTACTACTGTGCAGAAGTATTTGACGACTCCAGGATATCACCTTCGTTCATAAGTAGCAAGTTACAATTAAATGCAACGACTCGGCCATCAATGCAAACAAACGCTACACGAGCCACAGAGTGGGGCTATCATTTACGACATCCCGTCATGTTCGCCAATGTCACTGGGCTAGCAAGTCACGGAAGCTATTAACAGTCAACTTCGCGATTGAAGTGACAGCAGCCACTCACCACTGGTGCGCTTCTTCCAGCGAGTTACGATTTGTAGAACCTCGTATGTGTTGAACACCTGGTCCCAAGATTCTTCAATCGGAACCTCGTCGTCGTCGTTGATTGATATGATGTTGGGGAAGATCGCGAATAGGAAGGCCGCTATCTTCGCCGTGTTACCCAGAGCAGGCGAATGGCCGAAGGTAACGCGCCGGAGGGTCTGATTGCGGATGCCACCGCCGGGCTTCGTACGAAGCGAGACATCGGAGTCTGACGCGTTCAAGTCGATAGTGAGAAGCCGGAGAGAGGGGCAGTATCGCGCGAGATGGACCAGCCCTTTCAACGTCGTCGCCGTCGGAGTGTGCCAAGGGTGATCATTCGCACTCAAGAAGTGCAAGAATTCGAGGCGAGGCCACGACATGGCTAGTTGCTTGATGACCTCGTCGTCAAGCACAATCAACAGATCCGTGTGGAGGTCGAAGAGGCGAATACGATGGAAGTCGCAGAGACGTCGCATAGTCGCTGCGGTGAATCTGATGGCCTCCCTGACTTGTTCACCGGCGCTAATATAATCTACGTTATGCACGTCGATACCCTCCAGCACGGTATGCGAGCACCGTTCGTGCAGCAGTTGTAGCACACGAACGATAGTGTCCGGGTCTGCGGCGATCTCCGAGTTTATGTATATGTATTTGAGGCGGGGAAGTTGACATGATGATAGAACGTCAACAGAGCTGTCCATGGGAGAGGATGTTAAAGTCATTTCCTCTAGGGCACGGAAGGTGAGATCCGCACGGCCTGTCTTCAACGGAACAGACGTCATTATCGCGCCGTCCTCGGATACAAGCTTCAATTGCGTGAGGTGAGGCAAGGATGCCAACATCGCAAAGGCACTGAATGGCATGGGTAGCTCCGACTGCAGCGAGAGAATCTGCAGCCTTTTCAGCGACGCGAACACATCGCCAAGGATGGGTTGAACAGGTTGGATGGCTGTACCATTCTCCACAAGTATGATCCTCAGCTCTCGGACGAGAGGCGAGCGCTGCGGAAGGTGTAGAAGGGCTTGAGCAATGACATCGGAGGTAGACCGCGGTGTCGAACCTCCTATATGGAACGTAGAAAGCTGTTGGCCACAAAGCAGATGCACAGAGCCGTAATACCCGCTTGGTATACTACTCCCCCAGCTGAGGGTAGACAGGTTTGGAAGCAACAGGTGGCCAGGTCTTGACGAATGGAGCCAGAAGAAGAGGCTCTCGGAGATTACACGGGAGGGGCGTCCGGCAAAGTGGTGCTCGTCCGAATCGCTGATTAGCTCTCGAACACGTCGAGCGTAGAAATCGAAACGCTCCCAGTCCTGGTGTGTCGTGGGTCTCGTCGGTTCTTTGAGGATCTGTGAGCAATCGGGAATAATGTAGTTTCGTAAGAGATACGGAGAACCTTCACATACCAGATGTTCGTCGCCCGATACCGTCCAGAGGTCGGTAGGCAGGCACTGGACTAGGTGGCCCAAGCTGCTCTGAGCACTCCATATGAGATTCAAAGCGGGGTCCAGGAACGCACGGCTTGTAAGCGCCAGAGCGAGAAGCGTCGATAGAACGGAAACACGGGGTGGCCCCTCGTCGTCGTCGCTATTGGCCTCGTTGACTATCAGGAAGAGGAGCTCGGGGACAGCTAGAGCTCGGTGCATCGTGACGTGAGGCATACAGCCTTGGTTGAGTTTATATTCGCAGGATAGATGAGCGCGTCACTGTCAAAGCACCGCGAATAGTATGCCTGCCAAATCTCTTTTCAACAACTTGGTGAATGCTTTCGAACGTTTCGGAGTGACAGACCTTTGTTGACGGGATTGCGTTTGCGGTGATGGCGCTTTCAAGGATCCGCAGATTGAAGAATACTTTGAGCGCGAGGATTTGCGTGTACTATTCTCCGTTGCAGACCATAACTTAAAGGCCAGCGAGCGTCTTTAATGTGCGTGCTCGACCGAGTCTTCAGTTGATCGTCGCTGTTTAAACGTTCGTCTTGAAGAACTGAGTACTGAGCGCAGAGCGCCCATCGGGCTGCCAGCAGCGCTGCAGCGAGCGGTGACCAGAGCGGGCCGGTTGTGGTCCGTCTCGTCCCGCGACATAGTGCCCCTCCGCCTCCTTCAACAATTATCATAAACGATTCTACGTGCCAGAATCCTTCGCTCTGATGATTCTCTGCGCAGAGGTAAGTTGAACTCGAGGGTAGAGGGTCGTAAGGTAGGTATTTTCCTTTTTAAGCACGTTCGTGGCTGTATTAGGCAATGAGACCGGCCTGTTCTAGACACGCGATGACGACGATTCCACGATACTTAGTGTACTTACTCCCAGACATGCGCGAGCCGTGCGTACTTACAGTAAGTAAGTAAAGAACACATCGTCCGAATGAACGCAGCACCTACCTTGACCTCGAGCCACCACCATCTTCTCCCGCACGAGCGCGAACGACTACGTGACCGGCTTTCGCGTTCGGTACATTCAACACACTACTATGTATTTGCATCGTTGCCGAGTTATTCTCAGTCAATGAAGTCGTGCGTTTCCGAAACTGTCAGTTAAACTGGGAACTGACCTCGTGTGGACAGCACGGAAGAGCGGTCGACACAACGCAAGGCGACATTGGGGCGAGGCTTGCACTATTGAACGGTATGTTGGATATGTGTCTCGTCCAACAACACCCTTGTCGCTCGAGGCGGAAAATGGTGAATAAAACTGGGCGTCCCTGCAGGGACCGGAAGGAGGGATCATGTGTCGGTGACCGGCGCACGTTCTGATCAGCCCAGCCATATCGGTCGACGTCCTTGGTCATGGCGACCTTTGCTCAGCTGGCTTCTCTGGCTTCCTCTTCGCCGTGCGACTGAGGCCACTGCATCTGTAAAGTCGCAGAATTCAAATGCCGACGATCGACCGGTCTGGTCTGAGAAACCGGTCGGAAAGGAGTCCTATTGGACAACCATTCCGGAGTGTCGGTAAGGCTTAGCATCGACGCGAAGTGGTGTTAGCTAATTACGGACGCCTTTTCGGACAAGGGTAACGTCTGCTTATCCCGAACATTCAGCATATATTGTACATTTCGTAGACATCATGGCGTGCGAGCAATACACAGCATCTTCAAACTCCTGGGCCTTCGGGCTGAATTTGTGGAGTCATTGCCCACAGCCTGAAAGAACGCATAGTAAAACAATAACTGAGGTCACGAACAAAAAAATTACTCACTTCCCAGCATGAACGATGTTTGAGTTCAGCCGCCTGAACCGTGCACCAACGTCAGTTTCTGCTGTCTTGAGGCTGTCGATATAACTGGCGATTTGGACGGCCTTGCGCTCGTAGGTGTCAGTACTAAAACTTGTCTTTGAGCGTAGTGTACCAGTTTTGTAGAACTCGTCTGCACAGCAGATCACAGCTGCGGCTGCGATTGCCATCGCCTGAGTCGGGATTCCGTCTTCGAAGACTGTTGGGCGCGTGTGGCCCAAGCCATAGGCGTGTTGAAAGAATACAGCATCAAGAATCGCAGGGATCAAACCCCCGCTTTCAAATGCTCCGACAACGGTGTACTGTACAGAACAGTATCTGTCAGTACTTGTTGAGTTATTAAAAAAATGGGAATACCTTGTCGTGTGGATCCATGATGTGCAACAGCGGCGTCATAGTGACATTCGCATCGACAGCCTCGCTGACCCACGTCTTCCTGCTCAGGCTGGCCTCGGTGCCATTGATCGTCATCCCGCTGAGGTCTTGCCCCGAGAGGTCGTGCGCCTGGGCAGGCACTAGAAAGTCGCGATGGGTCAAGGGAAAAAGGTGGGCGGCAACTGACTTGAAGGTGCCTCGGAAGGTCGACACCATGTCCGTGACCTATAAGGAGCTCAATTAGCAATTGAGAAGATACTGTGATAGAAAGGAGATACATGCTTTGTTAAAGAGGATAGTGTCGCAGCAAGGATCGTAGTCAACTATTTTACCTCGTAGATTCCCGGGTATTGCATGACTGTGGCGGTCTTCGCGAGACGCACTGAAGATGGCACTTGACGCAAGGTCTTTAATCGTATTCCTTTCAGGGAATGCACCCGTGACAATGATAAACTCCTCCATCGTAGCCTTGAGCTCCGGGATATATTGCAGCCGGAGCTGCTTCGCAAGATCATCTGGAATGTCTTTGAGTTGTACGGGTTGCAGAGGTGGGCTATTTGGCACTTCAAGTCGGGGAGCAACAGGCCGCTGGGGTGAGCTAGCATCCATACTTCGGCCTGCTGCGTTGTCAATCAGCAAGCTCACAACTTGAATTCGAATCGAATCAGTGTTCTTACCCGATGCCGGAAGTCTTGCAGGGTACCGAGACCCCCCCGGTGCGTCTGAAGGACATCCCTCGAACTGACTTGAGTTGACATGACCCGACTAAGCCCTCGTTGTACCTGCGACGGGAGGGGCCTGGGCCCGGGCTGAAATCGCTCGATACCCCAACTAGTAGTCGTGTAGGGATGGTAGTGGTATGCTGTACTAGATGATCGGTAGCGATCCACACCGACACTACTGTGCCGAGAGCTTTCATTACTGCCAGGCTGATCCATGCCAGTGCGCGTACGGTCGCGCCAGGACGCAACACTGGATCCGGATGCCTGGATGTTCGTGCCGAAGTCGAACGGGTTTTGAACAGTGGCGGGCGCGAACTGACCTTGCGCGGTGGGCGCAGACTGACCTTGCGCGGCAGGCACGAACTGACCTTGCGCAGTGGGAGGTGCGAACTGGCCTTGCGCAGTGGGTGTGAAGTGGTCCTGCACCGCAGTAGCGAAGTGGTCCTGCACCGCGGTGGGCGCAAATTGACGTTGCGTTGCGGTGGGCGCGAGCTGCCAGTGACCTTGTGTGTCGGGCGTGAATTGACCTTGCGCGGCGGTAGTGAACTGCTCGTGTACGGCGGCGGCGGTGAATTCGCCTTGCATGGTGGCTGCGAACTGGCTGTGCGGGTCGGCTGCGAACTGGCCATGCGGGGCTGTGGCGAACTGGCCGTGCGGGGTTTCAGCTACAAATTGGCCTCCCTCAGCGGCTGTGTTAAGGTCCTGATCACCGACCGCGAACTCTCCGAGTTGCAGCTCTTGCCAGTGTGCGAAGGGGTGTTGGAACACGAGGTCAGGGACGAGCTCGCAAGCTCGGCCGCGATAGTACCTGGCCGAAAATGGATAAGGGAAGGGTATATATACAGGGGTTTTCGATGTACATACCTCACGCGATTGCCCTTCGGGCATCGTCCGCGCCCGGGACACTCGCGCCCGTCGACCGTCGTTCCGCTTGTTCTCACACAATCGCGTCAGCCCACCTGGGGGTTTACTACCAGAAGGCTCTGGGGGCAGCTGAAAGCCCGCCGCTCGCTGCGTTGCCGTACCTCGCGCGCATGCTGTCACTCGCCGATGCTCTGCTGGCCGTCGCTGTGCCGCAGACTCCCGCCGTCGTCGTCGACCCACCTGCCTAGACGGGGCTGAAGCCGTCTACCCGCCGTTGAACGCCACACGCGCGCCACCGCCGCCGCACGTCGTACGATCGACCTGTCGAACCGAACCGCCCGGGACAGGGCCGAAGCTGTCCACCGCTGCACCGCCGAACCGTTGTCTTGCCCGCCGCCGAGGGTACCGTCGTCGAACCGCCGAACTGTTGAACTGTCGAACCGCCCGCCGAGGGTACCGAACCGCCTGCCGAGGGCACCGCCGAACCGTCTGTCGAGGACACCGTTGATCGAACCGCCGCCGTTGCTGGAGATGTTGAAGAGTTGCCGGATTTGGACGAGGATCGCGCCGCCGTACGTGTACGCCTTACCTTCGCACCTAAGGGTCGCCCGTCGGAGCTCGCATGAGCATGGACTATCGGCCGAATGTCGGAGTGTTGGAATGGGTGCCGGAGCTGGATGACTGCGCCGAGAGGATGAAGACTTGAGCTTGGGGGAGTGCCGGATGTTGAACTGTGGGAGTGCACACAACGCGCTCGCTTGCTTCGCTCGGGGGAGTGTGTTGGAACACGAGGTCAGGGACGAGCTCGCAAGCTCGGCCGCGATAGTACCTGGCCGAAAATGGATAAGGGAAGGGTATATATACAGGGGTTTTCGATGTACATACCTCACGCGATTGCCCTTCGGGCATCGTCCGCGCCCGGGACACTCGCGCCCGTCGACCGTCGTTCCGCTTGTTCTCACAAGGGGAGTGCATTGAGTGGATTTGTGAGGTCATCTTGCAGGGCCATGGAGTGGTCGGATTCACTCTGCACCGCACCCTACGCACTTGTGACTCAGTGAGTAGTCCGAGTAGCTCAACTTCGTACTCACCTGCACCTGCATCATAGCAGGATCATAACCGTAGTCATAACCGTAGTCATAACCTATTGCTGGTGCTGCGTGATCCCCTTCGAGTCCAAGTTGAGTCGATTGTGGGTTTCCCGCTGGATTGAGTTCCGCCATGCGATTTGCGCGTACGTTCTGCGAATTTTCAGTGATCCTGTGTGATTAAGTAGAATATCTTTACAAACCCGAGGCTCCGTTGGCCTCACAGGGCCCCTAGCCCGACGATTTTGTGAGGATGTCGGGGCGCTATGCTCTGACATGGCGGTGACAGAGCTGGTGACTGGTGAGAGACAACGTGCAGTCGTGGGTATTCACGACTGCTTCCTGTGATGAGACGAGACAAGACGAGACGAGACAGGATGAAAATAGCTCATACTAAAGTTACATTCACACAGCAAATACGTACAACGGAGAGCTTACAACACGACACGTGGGCAGAAAGGGCAAGGTGCAAATGTCAATGAAAGGATGGCAGGCCAGCTCTAAGCGCAAGCCCAGCGAGGAAGGTCGGCTGACACGGATGTCGAGGCGTCGACAGGAGAGGGCACAAGGATGATGTTACAACAAAACATAGGGAATGGCACGCTAGGGGAATTCAAATAGTCGTGATATGAAAAAAGCCTGTACTGTGGCTAGACCGTAATAGGATGAGTATGTGAGTACGAATTTAAGGCATAGACGTACCATTGCATGCTCGTCTACACAACTCCCTCTCAGCCTCCAGCCACTGTAGGCTTGGCGTTCACGATAGCGAGCAGGTCTTCACGAACCTCGCCAAAAGAACTGTATATGTCACTGTCGTCGTCCTCATCCTCGGACGACACCGAGAGATCGGCGACTTCGGCTTTGAAGGCCTTGCGCCATTTACGGTGCTCGGCTTTCAGTGTGGCTTGGATGGTCGGTTCGATATCGATCCCATGCTCGTGCGCAATAGTGCAGAGCACGGGTCGTGGGAACCCGCGCGGGTAGCGGGTACGGGTATGCCCGGGTACGGGTACGGGTCACGTTTTTGTGACCCGGACCGAACCCGTACCCGTGACCATACCCGTCACTTGCGCAAGCGCCAGACGCCGCCCGCCGTGTCGAACAACACAGCGACGCGCCATAGGCTGTTTGCGCACCCCACCGCGTCAACACCTGCGCGTCGGTCGTCCTCTCACGGGCCTCTCATGCCCGGCCTCTTTCACCCGCTCGCTCTCGCCCGTCTCGCCCTCGCCTGTCTCGCCTGTCTCACCCACGAGTCGCCCGCTCGCATACGCCAGCCCCGCCCCACGCGCTCGTACCATCCCACTGCCCGAACACAACATCCTCGAACGCGCAACTTTGCAGCCAACGAACGGACAGCGGGCACATAAGCGAAGGGCGGGAAAGGCGAGTGCAAACACGGGCAGGCAGGTTCGCTGATAACGAGCGCAGGGTGCAGCGACTCTGCGCAGCACCAGTCTGCTGCGCGACGCGTACGACGATCGCGAGCACACGGGGATTTGTCCTGCGTGGGGACACGCCTGACGAACGGGCGGGCGGGCAGACGAGCGAGCAGGTTACCAGGCATGCGGGCGGGCTGGCGAGTAAGCGCGTGTGCGGGGGAGCTGGCAGGCGGACGAGCTGGCGAGACAACGAATGAGGGCCGCGAGATGGCATGTATAGGTGAGCCATCATCACCAGCTCCCCTACCGGCTTCGTAGCCCACCCTCGCCCTCCTACCTCGTCTCGGACGCACCAAAAGCGTTCCGAGGTCGTATACTGCACGTCAGACGCCCCGCATAAGAGCGGGCTCGTCACCTCGTGCTCTACGCCCGCCACCACGTCACCACCTTCCTTATCAACCACACCCCCGCCCTCACGCCCTCGCGCCCTCTACGCCTTGCGGATGCACCAAACGCATGCCGAGCACGAACCCAACACACAAGACGACCCCGCATCACAGCGGGGTCGTCTATTCGCATCGCACCGCCTTCCCCACTACCGCATCTCCCTCCCCGCTTACCACCGCCCTCCGGCTGCCCGCGTCTCGCACGCATCGAACGCGTGCCGCGGTCTTGGCACAGACGACAGGCAACCCCGCAGAAGAATGGGGCTGTCTGTCCGTTTGCCCCCGCCGTCTCAGCGACCCTCGGACGCGTGCAATGCGCACCGAGGATGTATAGCGCATCCCAGGCGTCCCGGCGCGACGGCGGGACATCTGATCGCAAACTCGGGCCCTCCCCGCCACGTCGCTGCTTTATCGCCATGCCCTAGCCCTCCTACCTCGCCACCCCACGCTCTGCAGCTCTCGGACGCGCCAAACGCATGCCGAGCACGCAGCACGTACCCCGCGGAAGAGCGAGGTCGTCTATTCGTGCGCCGCCGCCTTCCCAGTCCTCCCCCGTCGTCCTACCATCTCTCGGACGCGTGCGATGCGTGCCGAGGATTAACTGCGCATGCCAGGCGTCCCCGCACAATGACGGGTTGTCTAGTGGCGAGCTTGGGCCCTCCACGACACGCCACCGCCTTCTCGCCCTGCCACAGCCACGTCGCCGCGCTGCCCTCTAACATACGGTCGGCGAACGTGTGGACGAGCAAGCAGACGGCGGGAAAGCGGGCTGGCGAGTGGGCGTGCGATCGAGTGGGTGAGCGGGCGAGCGGGCAGGTGAGTGAGTGGACGAGCACTGCTGACGAATGGAAGGAGGCACGGAACGATCATGGGTGGCTGCGACGGTGGGCAGGACCCGTTCACTTACCCGTGGACCCGCGAACCCGCCTGCACCCGTGCAAAACCCGTACCCGCTGTCACGGGTCGGTACCCGGGGCGGGTACGGGTACGGGTACACCTCGGGACACCCGCGGGTGTACCCGTGCTCTGCACTAGCACTGCGCAAGGTCCTCCAGCCTGTGGAGACTCTCCTCGGTAACGTGGATACAGTTCGTCTGCGTTGCCCTAATGGACTTGAGGAGCCGAATCTGTCGTTCCTTCTCGTGAATCTTGGAGTCGAGCGCATTGCATTCTTGGACACGAGCGACAAGGGCAGACCTCTGCGCGTCGATCATGAGGGCAATCGCATCTTCAGACATCTCGTCGGGCTCAGGAAGACTTGTGTCGCTAGATGTCTAATAAACGGCATCAGTGGTATTCGGCTTTGAGACGTAGGCAGACATACTAAGATTGCAAACGGAAGTTCGCAGCCAAGACTATCAACGATGTCGCCGAACTTGATTCCTCGAGACTGATGATGCAGTGCTCCAGGGTAAGGACTGTATCGAGCACGTCCCTTGCCAGGGCTACGCAAGGTGCGGCGGCTGGAGTCCTGGGATGTAATGCTGGTGGAACGACCACGGGCCTCCCTAGGAGTTGCTGGATCCAGATTTCAGTCACAAAGATCGAGTCACTGGTTGTAGCACGTACCAGGAGCCACTGAACTTGAGCAGTCAGGGGATGATGTCGCCGATCCACCATCTGGCTGCGACGAGGGATAAGATGACTCCAGTGTGACTGGAGGATTGTCTTTCTGGAGTTCGATGTTGGAGTGGACAGAAGTCATTGTGCGATGAGCGTGAAAGTGTTGCTGTATGGTGGAAGGACGAGACAAGACAAGACGGCTGTGCTCACAGCGCAGGCAATAGCTGACAGAGACCGTGTGAACGGACTAGTGTTGGAATTCGTAACGGACCGTACTATACGCACGGACTTTTGTAGTATACAATAGGATACCAGCCTTAGGCTGCCGTCTGGGTCACCAGACGGGCGCTTTTTTCGTGTTTACGTAATCTACTCTGCCAATTGAGCAGCTCACGCCGAGTCTCCTGAGCGGTGCGACTGCCACTGGCAAGCTAGGACCCATGGATGCCAGTCTGCATGGCGACCTCTACCAGAACGGCTTCCCTATCGTCTGTGTTGACTGTTTTCGTCAATTTGATTCCTACGACGTACTAGTGCAACACATCAGCCTCCACCATCCACTCGACTCGCATCTACGGGACTTCGCGTCACGACCTGGTTCAGAGACTGAGCCAGTCAAGCACCCAAACTGCCAGTACCGGGTCAGAAACGAGGCGCTCCCAACGTTCTTCGACACCTTCAGCACGGATAAACATGCAAAGGATCGTCTCAAAAATCCGTGCTACCCATTCACCGATTACGCAGAGCTACAGTTGGCACGATGGATGAACGAGCGGATGAACTCCACCATGATAGATGAGTTTCTCAAATTGGACTGGGTAAGCGAGTCGTCCATTAACATGATGTCGACTCATGCGTTTTCTACCATTTCCGTAGGTTCGCCGCCATACGCCTTCCTTCCATTCGTGCCACACACTGCGTTCGTGGATCGAAGTCCAGCCGTCTGGTCCAGCCTGGCAAACAGCAACGATCAAGGTCGAAGGTTATCCACCTATCGCTCGTTACGGTGAACCGAAGGTGATCTTCCGTGACGCACTGGAGTGCGTGGAGTTCTTATACGGGCATCCGCTGTTCGGACCGTATGTCAGCACGGGACCCGAGGTTGTGCATACGCAAATGGGCCAGCGCGTTATCACTGACTTCAGTACAGCTACACTGGCTTGGAATATGCAGGTAAAGCCATAATCTTCGATGACGTCCATCGTGTGCTGACAATATTCATAACTATACTCACCAGAGCAAGCTCCCGACTGGCGCAGAGGTAGTTGGCGTGCATCTGGGCTCGGACAAACTGGCAGTTTCCAGTCACTCCGGAGACTACGAGATGCACCCTCTCTTGCTGACCTTAGCGGGTCTCCCCGCCACGATTCGCTCAAAACTTTCCAACGATGCATGGATGTGCATTGCGTACCTCCCAGTGCCGAAGTTCGCCGTACATACAAGCTACCAGGGTATCCTGGCTAACCGTGTCCTGCACGAAGCCATGGACCTCGTGACAGCAAAACTCAAGACTGCCGCTCGTTTTGGGTATCCAATGGCTGATGCATACGGGAATGTGCGCATCGTTCATCCCCCTGTCGTTGCTCTTTCAGGTGACCTTGTCGAACACCTTTCCATGGCGGCGGTTGGCTCGTCCGTCTCCCCTGTTTCTCTTGCCACGTCTAGCCAGTTCGGTGACGGCAAAGTCTATGCACGGCGCACGAAAGCCCATACCCTGGACCTCATCCACTCTGTCTCGAAGGTCGTCGATCCCTGGAAGTTGCACGACTTCCAGCGAGAATGCAAGAAGGTCGGATTGAACGGCGTACACATGCCGTGGTGGCGCGACTATCTCTTCACCGACCCATCCATCTTCTGTGTTTCCGACCTCTTACACTCCAACTACAAATTTTTCTTCGACCACCTCCTCCCGGCTTGCCAGATCGCTGTCGGCGCCCATGAACTGGATCGTCGCTTCGCCGCACGACACAAGCGCATTGGCTATGCTGCCTTGCGACGAGTGTCTGAGGTGAAGCAGATGACTGGTCGAATGCATCGGGAGATCATGCGCACGACCATTGTCGCCATCGAAGGTGCCGTTTCACCCGGGTTCATGCGCGCTATGCGTGCGATCCTCGACTTCCTCCTTGCTGCACAGAGTCCTCGTCATACGCCTTCATCGCTCGCTAAGATGACAACAGACCTACGTACCTTCCACGAGCATAAGAAGGCGATTATGGCGGCTGGTGGGCGTGGTTCACTGACGCACTGGCGAATCCCCAAACTCGAAATCTTATCTAACTATGTTCCGGTCATCCTTTCCCATGGAGCCCTTCCGCAGTGGAGCTGCGACTCCGTCGAACGCCTGCTCCGTACTGAAGCCAAGAAGCCGTTCACGATGTTTACGAATCATCGGCGTGCCGACTTCGGTGAGCAGTGCGCGCGTCATCTGGATCGCGTCGAGAAGATGCGGAACCTCGAGCTCTACGCGCTCTTCAAGATTCACGGCGCGGACATCAGTAGCGTTCTCCAATCTCGCAACGAGATGAGCGATGTTGAGCTGGAGGATGCAGCCACGCGTGGTCTCGCACGCACTCTCTTGGAGCAAGCGTTGCCAGGAACTGGCGCCGAGCGCTGTATCCGCACGTCGAGGACAACGCGCAATCTGTTCGCTACGGGGTCCCACAGTGCGACCGGATCCAACGTTGCATTTCACCTCAACAAACAGCCAAGTGCGACATACGCTATCGACAAAGTGGCAGATGTATACAAAATCGCTGACTTCCGCGCTGCTCTCGCTGACTACGTGCAAGGCCTCGATCTCGACGCCCGGCAAGGGATGCCTCACCTAGGGTCGAGTTACTATCAGGACATCGGGCTTGATCACTTGTGCGTCTGGGAGACCTACCGGATCCAAGTGCTCTCCGCGTACAATGACGCCGTGCGCATGGATCCTGAGACGCTTCGGGCAATTCCACCGAGTGCGAAGTACCCTTTCGGGATGTGCGATCCGGTCATCGTCGACAGTCTCAGAGCGGATGGACAGTTGCGGCAGGCTGGTAAGTGAATTCTCATCGCGGCGCGCGTGGTGTATGCATCATGCTCAGTGGTCCATGTTCTAGGTTCTCTGATCGCCCAAGTGCGAGTTGTCTTCGAGCTAATCCCTCGCAAAGGCCATGTCCTCCCGAACGCTTGCGTGTACCACTATGCTATATCCAAGACTTCGAGTTCGCTGACGTCGATGAGCGTGGATACCCCGAGAAGACCGCGGACATCCTCATGTACAGGCTCCAGCGAAGGTGCTACCTCGATGCCAGGGGTACAGTTCAGCGTGGAGGTGAGGTTGTTCCACTGACCGGCATAGTACGACCTGTCGACCTCTCGCCTGTGCACGCCGCGCGTGTGATGGATCACTCACTTGACGAATCGTCTGTGCTCGAGCTACCTGGTTATTTCTGGTTGAATGATATGTGGGATGTGGAGGTTTACGAGACACTCGCCACGGCCTAGCAAGTAGCATCACGATGAAATGTAGTATTTCTTAATTGAATATGTTTCACGCAATCGATTCATACTCGCTATTTACAAATTATAATGTGCAATCTCGTGTGGTTTGTCACCGGTGTATTCGGTCCTTGCTGTTTGTTTTCCTGATTTAGTTAGAAGGGTGCGATCTGGTGCGATCTGACGGCCTGTAAGCGGGGCATCTGAGAGCTGCTGTCAGCAGCTGTGAGCGGCTCCCAGCGTTTCAGCTTTCGCGATGTGTCTGCCCACAACCTCAAGAGCCTCTCCTCGCAGTTCCCAGGAGACCTCCACGCACCCTCCTTCTCTTCTCATATACCCTCTGCGTTGCACCCAGTCCTCGACTCCCTCAACCCCCCGTACCACTACTCTCTGAACTATGGTCGCCATCGAGAAAGGCTTCGAGCGGCTCAAGAACTCCCGCAGCGTCCAGAGCTTCAAGGAGCTGCGTTCGCGCCCTCCGCGTCCGCTCAAGAAGTACATCTGGATCTCGCTTACCACCTGCTTCCTCTTCTTCTCCGCATTCCTGCTCTATCTCCTCGTCGCGCTCTCCACGCCCATCATCAAGGACATCTTCATCTTCCGCATCCAGTTCACCCAGGAAGATGGAACCGTCCCCTCTACGACCGCAACGGACCTCCGCTTCGGCGTCTGGGGCGTCTGCGCCTACAGCGAGCTCCCCGGCTTCGTCGAGTGCTACGGCCCGACGCTGGGCTACACCATCCCCGAGAGCATCCTCAACATAACCGGCTACCCCACTCTCGTTGAGGACGTCGACGAGGTGCTTACCGGTATCCTCGTCCTCCACCCGATCACTGCGGGACTCGCGTTCGCGAGCGTGTTCACCTCGCTCTTCCTCGAGTCCCACGCGATGTGCATCATCTCGCTCGTGCTGTCCATCATCACCCTCCTTGTCGGCGCCCTCGTCTTCGCGATCGACCTCGCCCTTGGTATCATCGGACGCATCAAGATCGCGGCGCTCTCGAACTACGTGTACGCCGTCAGCTGGGGCCCGGGCGTGTGGATGATCCTCGCGGCGGTGATATGTCTGTTCGCGGGCATGATCCTGCTCAGCGTGACGGTGTGCGAGTGCTGTGGGGTGCGCGAGTTTGGCGACGAGGATAAGGAGGCGGAGACCCTGAACGAGGCGTAGCGCGGAGGTACGTGCTCGTTGCGCGTCTGGCTGTATGTGTCTCATATCTGCCACGCAGCCCCGCTGCGCCCTTGAGCGACATCTCTGTGTACTCGCCCGTCTGCGAAACTCCCCAGACTCAATCAGGGCTCGCCTCGCGAGTCCGGTGTTCACGACCCTCATGACCGAATCACGACCCGCGACGATTCCTCACGACCCGGTCACGACCTGTCACGACTGTTGTCGGGCCCGCGGCTGCACGCCCGCTGTGCTGTCGCTGATGCGGCGGTCCCGATGATTCCTTAGCTCGATACCATGCTCTATGCTCTGGCTTTCTGTCGCTTTTTTTGGTAGTGTAGGTCGGTGTAGGTGCGGACGTACGTTCCGAGTGCTCGGACCGCTGAAGCGGTGTTGTTCTGACCTCGCGGAGGACACGTGCTCAGTGGTCGGGCTAACGTTTGCAATGCACTGTTGGTTTGGCTGTCCGTCTACGTGTGCGCTGTTCATCCAACGAAGCTCACCGTTTCGGTCGTGCTCTCAGACTGATCTGAGTGGGATGATATCGGCTAGCGATGTGTCTGTACTGAACTCCGGCAGCTTGCAACATCCATCCATGTGACCGAGCCTATTGTAGGTGCGTCCTCGAGTTGATGTAGTACACGATCGACTGACTATCTGCTCTACATGTGCGCAACATCGTCTTCTGAGTGACGCCAGACAGCGGTTGGTCAGTGGACTGGGTCTCGACGATCACGTCACTGACACGCAGGAATCGCTCGTGGACTGCCCTTCCCTCGATGAGACATGACCTTGTCCATCAGCTCTCTGTCGCCAGCGGTCAGCCGGATGCTCCTGAAACGCCGAACACGTCCCAGTGCAGTAGCGATGCGGTGGCTCGGCACTGGCAGTAGCTTGTGAACTTCGAAGCGGATTGCCACTACAAATACATGGTGCTCAAGGACCGGAGTAATAGAACCACATCCAGTCGCCACTGCGCGTGCAGTGGCTTGACAGTCCGAGGCTTTGACATGACCGATCCACATAGACTTGTACTACGCATCTTCGTAGGTCATTCTGTTAGTGGGACACCGTGTTATGCATTTACGTCACAGATAATGTGCAAGTTCTCGCTGTGGTTTAGCGACGCTCGCTATTCTCGCGCCACAGGTGAACCGGTGACATTCGACGTCCGCTCTGGCTTGATCGGCGCCCGGAAACCCTGCGGTCGCAAAGACATCCAGTTGAAAGGTAAGAGCATCTCATAGCATCTCATACTTATACTTCGTCCAATCGGTCTGAGAATACTCACTGATCGGATCCAGTAAACTCTAAGCAAATATGACTGGTCCGGCCCGGCGTCACTCTAAAGTTAAGCTTCTCCAGCGGGAACGGTTCGAAATTCGAAACATGTCACCTGGCATTGACCTGGCACAAATCATGTAGTCTACAATTGCCAGTGAGCGACGCCATCGAAATTGCAGAACTACGAGATCGACCTCTGTGATAGGTTTGTATGTCAATTCCGAGCTAATTTTACGACGCTCAGGCGATAGGGCGATTCACTACAGGTGCAGCGTTTCCGGTGGGTACAAGACGATATCACGGACGGGTCTGAGAATGGCTCGCGAACTGCCGTTCATATCACTCGATGATATTCCTGCGGCTCCCTGCGGGTATCGTGCGTCAGCATCAGCAAATAGCCGAATGTTACTTATACTCCCACCACATTGTACTTAGTGCAGTGAGTACTAGCGATTCCCCGCATCTACACCCACTTGATATCACGTCCAGGTGTCTTTCAAGACTGTTGTCTTCGACGCCCGATCACGCAGCCGCATCATGACAGATGCACTTGAGGTCGCGAGTGCCGTCTTCGCTGTTTTCGTGTTGACCATCCTCATCCATTGGAGGTTTCATCCGGTAAGCTTTATCGGCGCGTGTTTACATGAGTACAACGATACTAATGCTGGCATGGGTGTCGTTCACAGTTATACACTATCCCGACGGTTGGGCCGTCGCTTCCCCTCCTCTCATTCATAGGTGCCTACAGGTACTGTACTAATGCCCGGGAGGTCCTCCAAGAAGGTTACGCGAAGGTCAGATGTCGTACAAGTATGCAGATACTACCGTAACTGACCTGTCCATATCCCTCCTCAGTACAAAGTCTTCAAGGTCGCTATGCTCGACCAGTGGATTGTGATCGTCAGTGGCGCGGACATGAACGAGGAACTGCGCAAGATCCCGGACTCGCATGCGACTTTCGAGAAGGCAGCTGAAGATGTATGTCGACCCAAACCTCTCTCCATCTAGATCAACGGTGTACCTACTCTAATATTTTGACAGCTGATTCAGATACGATACACTCTGTCAGAGAGTGTTGTTACTGGATGCGTTTCCGTAAGGATTTACGGACGTTTGATTGACTCTAATCGGCTTCAGGCGGAGCCTGAATATGGTTAAGAGCCTTCCTCCAGATCCGTAACGCACGTTTAGAAGTATTCTGCACCTGCTAATGTGGCTTCCCTTGCGTACTGGTATGCCGCGCACTACGAAGAGAGGGAGGCTATGTGCGCAATGATACAAGGATCTGTGAATACTTATACAGTCACTTCGAGCCATCGAGGACTTCGCCAACTGTCGCGTAGAGCATGGACGCACGTCACAATCACTGCATGTAAGTGCTGTGCCTATATAATTATTCATCGCACGAGGAATGACCGGTACTCGACTGACAACGATTGAATCAGAGTGATGTCATTTTGAAGTCTTCAAGTTGTCGCCGCTGCCTCTGCACAGGTCAACCAGTGCACAGACTCTAACGTCCGTGTGTGCATGTGAGGCCTCGATGGCTCACGAAAGGTCTGCCGAGGTGCCCGTCGAGCAGCGCGAATCTCGCGCGCGTACAGAGGGGCGATTCCCGTCTTGGAACGGGGAACATCGTCGATCGGACTGGAAAGGCGCGAGGAGGAGAGGGCGTCGCAGTCAGCGGGCAAGCCCGGTGACTGCGGTGGAGGTCGACGCGTCCCTAAAGGGAGCCTACGGCGACCGTCGGAGGCATCAGCGAGAAACAGAGAAGATCAAATGTGCCTCTATATACGAGCCCGGGGGTGGCGAAGCCAGCCGTGGACCGTGGAGGACGCAAGAGAGAGAGAAGAACGGAGACGAATGTGCAGATGAAAGACCTGGTATACATCGATTCGAAGTACGGTACCGTTACGTGCGAGCAGGAATATAGCTTACGTAATCTACCAGGCGGCTACTCTACGATGCATGAAGGTCCAGCTCCCCTTATACGCCTCCCGGAAGGCCTCCGCCAGGCCCCGCTCCGAGCTCTAGCACCGTAAGCATTACTCAAGGTTTTGAGCGCCTGTTGCATGACCTGTGGCGGGAATCCGCGGGATCGATGGTAGGGGTGAAAGCTCTGCTTAGCTGTTTTTGAGCTGTTTGCACTCTGCCAGGCACTGGGCTAGGAGGTATCCCGAGCTCGACCTGCACCCTTACCTGCCCGGATGCACATCGGCCAGCGAGGGTATGGGTTCCGCGCGCGTGAAGGCAGGTCCGCGGGCCCACAGGCAAGTGGGAGAGTATGAGCCCGGGCAAGCAGGTACGCGGGCAGGTGGGCGATCGCGTGGGTGACGGGTGAGGTGGGCGGTGTTGAACGAACGTCGGCGTTGGGCGGTAACGAGCGAATGGAGTGCACGAGCGGCGGGGTATATCGATAAACGAGTGTGCGGTTTGTCTCGTCCTCGGGGCGGGGAGGCAAACGCGCGAGGTAAATACATGCGAACGTCGAGCTAATAAAGTGAATTCCTTATCTAAGTAAGGTACGGATCGGGTGCAGTCATATCGCGCCGCAGCGCGGCGCGTCGGCGAGCCGGGAATCGGGTATGCGCTCGCCCGGTTGTTCCAACACACCCCCTCGAGCCATGAACGATCAGAGGCGAGCCGGAAACAACGAACAAAATGAGAAACAAAACAGAAACAATGGGTGAACATACAGTACACCCCCTCAATCACCAAGCTCCGGTTTCTTCGACAAGATACGCCGTGGAGGCGCTCTGCTTCGCGGGTACAACCGCGGTCGACGTCGTCTCGTTTTGGCAGTTGGCCTGGTAGTGGCCCTTCTGCCCGCACTTGAAGCAGGTGATCTGCTCGATCGGGCGCCTAGGGCGTCCTGGAGTCTCGGTGTGCATGATCGCGGCAGCAACACCGGGGTCCTTCGGCGGGCGGGTCTTCGTCGTCGTGGCCTCGCGCTCAGCGGTCTGGGCCTGGCGCTCGTACTCGTTAATGAGTCGCACAATTGCGTAGTCGAGGGTGAGGTCGTCGGGAGGGGTCGCATCGAGGGAGATGGCGAAGGAAACGTACGAATCCGGTAACCCGTTCATCAGGACCAAGATCTGATCTTCGTCGGTAACGGTGACCTCGGCGGCTTCGAGTCGGAAGGCAGCGGAGGCGACAGCGGCAATCCATGCCTGCATCGAGCCGGTCATCTTCATCGCATAGAACTTGCGGCGGAGCGAGAGGCGAGTCCCCAAGCCTCGGGCCTGGTGCATCGTCTCGAGCCTCGTCCAAACTTCGGCGGCGGTGCCTGCGCGGACGTGCGACAGCTGTGATCGCTCGACGCCAAGCGCAAGCTCGGCACGCGCCTCGTCGGTCTTCTTCACCCACGCTTTCACCGTCTTCGCCGAGTCACTCCCCATTGGCCTCTCCTTGGCCGTACCTCCGGTCACTTCCCACAGTCCCTTCCGGACCAGCAGGGCCTGCATCACTACAGCCCACTCGGCGTAGTTCGTCTCGTCGAGCTTAAAGATGTTGCTCGTCGTCATCGTCGCGTCGATCGTCGGTCACGGGGTCGTCGTCGGTTCGCAGGTACGTCGTTGGGTTCGCGGTGCGTGCGTCGGTAAGCGGGGTCGATCGGGCGCGCGGGTCGGGTTCAGGTCGATCGTCGGTGACGGCTTCGGCCCCGTCAGGCGGTCTCGATTTGTCCGTCGAGAGCGGATGCGCGTTTGTGTTGAACGAACGTCGGCGTTGGGCGGTAACGAGCGAATGGAGTGCACGAGCGGCGGGGTATATCGATAAACGAGTGTGCGGTTTGTCTCGTCCTCGGGGCGGGGAGGCAAACGCGCGAGGTAAATACATGCGAACGTCGAGCTAATAAAGTGAATTCCTTATCTAAGTAAGGTACGGATCGGGTGCAGTCATATCGCGCCGCAGCGCGGCGCGTCGGCGAGCCGGGAATCGGGTATGCGCTCGCCCGGTTGTTCCAACAGGCGGCCGGCCAAGCGGATGGATGGGAGCACGGGCGAGAGCGGTATCTGAGAGGGGCTGTGGGCAAGAGGGCATGCGAGCGTGTGGGCGGGCAAGCGGTAGGCGAGAGCGCCAGGGCGAGCGGGCGAGAAGGCAAGTGGGTGAGAAGGCCAGGCCATCGAACGAGTGGGCGAGCAAGCAGGCAGGCGAGCTGAGTAGCCAGAGAGCAAGGGCGAACGGGTGGGCAGGTGGTAGCGGCCGTACAGGTGAGAGTGGCCACACAGGTGAGGGCGGACGGGCGGTTACGAGCTACCAAGAGCGCTGATATATTCGAGCAAGGTCAATGTGGTGCTCTTCGTGTATCATCAAGGTATTTCAGAGCTACTCACACTTCGTGTTGTACATACTTAATGGAAGCTAACTACACGTTCAGTCTTGGTAGTGTTATGCCACAAGTTGGTACTGCTCAGCGTAGATATCGTGAGGTCAGGCCTTTGTAGGCCCTCTCTCGGCTTGCTAGCTACCCAAAAGATGAGCCATTTGTAATGATCACTCGATATAACTCACTAAATCAGACAATTTTCGATTGATATTCTGACACACATACGAGAAAACGAGCCTAGCACAGTACACTGCGGACAAACCGCGTTGTGCGAAGCGCTCACATGGTACTTACATTGTAAGGGCGTGTATATTTTTACGGCTCTAAGTCGGAGCTCCTAACATAGAGAATGGGATTCCTTTGTTCGGCCTAACATTTTGAATGTTCCTAGAATCGGGAATGTAAGTGTTATGTTCTTCCTATGTTCCGAAATCGTGCCATGTTCTAGGAATGTACTTCCCATGTTAGGGAAGTTCACTTGATGGCTTACTAATATACACGCCCTTGCAATGTTAGGCCTATGTAAGCGCCTCGCACAATCCGGGTTGTCCGCAGTGAGTACGAACCATCCGCCATGACCACCCAGCAACGCCGGAAAAGGTAATCCGGCAAATGCCGACACACAGTGAAGCCTCCTACAACCGACTCTAAATGTCCCATCAAGCAGGGGGGTCCCAACCCCCTTGCTTGATCGTCGTGGTTAGAGCAGCGTTCTCGACGTTTCAGAGCTAGACATTTGCGCGCCTGCGGCAAAATATATTTCCCGTCATCTCGATCTTAACGCCACTGCCGGCACCACGGCCGCCTTCCTATTGTAGTTGTCGGACTTCAGGATATTCATGCTCAACCTGTTTACGGCGGGTCTCACGGGCGCTTCTTCACGCTCATTTGAGGTTTAAGGCCATCAAACCGCGTCCAAATCCTTACGGAAACGCATCCACTCACCCGATTCACATCCCCACCATCCGCGGCCCCTTGACAAAGAATCTGGGAATCCTGTTCGGCGACGTCGTCGATGAGGTCAATGCAGCGTTCGCGGACACCATCGGAAACAAGCTACAGAGTGACGGCGAGTTGAACATTCCCATGCGGTGTCGAACTTACCATTTACATGGGTCGTCCTTTGCAGAATGGATCAGCGTAGACGTGCTGATGACCATGGCAGTGGTTATCTCGCGGGCGAGCAACCGTGTCTTTGTCGGCCTTCCTTTGTGTGAAGTCCATTTTTGAATACAAAGCAATGGCTTGTAGAGCTGATCCGCATTATCAACAGGCCGGAACGAGGTTTATCTTCAAATCGTCCGCCAATTCACATTCGACGTCGCGAAGGGGAGATTCCTCCTCAGCTTGTTTCCGAAGTTTCTGAAGGCAGTGGTTGGTCCGCTCATCCCATGGGCACGCAGGGCCACGCGGGACGCATCGGTGTACCTCACACCCATTATCGAGGAACGTCAGAAAAAGCTAAAGGCTATGGGTGATGACTGGACGGACAAACCTGTAAGCCGCTAGTGACACAGACTGATTATCACTCATTGAGACCCTTCGGATGCAAGAATGACTACATGACGTGGATGATTGACGAAGCCAACCGGGAAGGCCAGCCTACCCAGGTGATACTTGAGGGTCTCATGGTCTCCAACTTCACTGCCATCCACACATCCAGCAATGTGCGTACATTTATTTATAGTACTATGTACATGCCTATGATGGATGTGTTTCGCTGACGATACACGCACCAGAGTATGACACAAGCAGTCTACCACATTGCAGACTCCCCTGAATATGCGGCGATATTACGCGAGGAGGTAGAGAGCGTTGTTAAGGAGCACGGGTGGACTAAAGTCGCATTTGGTAAGATGTGGAAGTTGGACAGCTTTATGCGCGAGTCGCAGCGGATGAACGGCATCACGCACAGTGCGTGGCCACATACACCCTCCTGTTTCTCTTATTGAATAGTTGCCCGTCTGTGTAGTATCCGTCATGCGGAAGACGCTGCAAGACACAACGCTCTCCGACGGGACGTTCCTTCCGGCGGGTACCATCGTCGCGGGTGCATCGAGCGCGACGCACCGGGATGCGCGCAGCTACCACAATCCAGACATCTTCAATCCATTCCGCTTCGCCGACATGCGTACAGAAGACGGCGCTAGTATCAAGCACCAGTTCGTCAGCACCTCGCCGGAGTACGTGCCATTTGGGCACGGAAAACATGCTTGGTACGTAGCGGGTTTTCGGCCTGTCCGTTGGCAACTGGCGTATTCGCTGATTGATTTTTCTCTGCCGTACTAGCCCCGGCCGCTTTTTCGCTGTGAACGAGCTGAAGGTCATGATAGGGTACACCTTGCTCCACTACGATCTCAAATTTGAGAGTGGGCAGCCAAGACCGGATAACTCGTCGCGCTGGCATAGTGTAGTGCCCCCGCGCAAAGATGTACTGTTCCGTAAGCGACAGGTTGTGGCTGCTTGACAGTCTACCAATGTTGGATTGCGGAATCTTTCAAGCCCCCTGGACTGTCGCAGATCGTCGAGTGAGCTGGTGGACGTACTTAGCTAGTCCTGCAATGCATATTATATACCTGGTTCGTTCGGAGTGGGGCGGCGAAAGGGCCCGCCGATTGTATATATCCGACGAACATCGAAGGCTGTCCTCTATGGAAGAGGCACTATTGAGGGGAATCTGTGGTACTCTATACAGTATGTGCCGCTGTGCACGAGAGGCAACTTGGGGAGAATGTACCGAAACAAATGAAGTGAATATGCTACAAAACGGCAGCGTTGACCGCACATAGCGGGTATCGTGATGGGACAGCATGAAAACGAGAGTGGTACGTAGTCGCCGTCCAGGTGCGGCGCAGCTGTAAATAAAGCGAATGTGTGGCAGTGATTCTATAGGACAAGGTCGAGTTTGATCTGTGCACAGCACTCCGTGAGCGTTTCTCCTAGAAAGAGCCGAGCCTACTGACCATCGCCACAGAACGCTGGATCTCTGCCAAGATCTCCGCGTGAAGTTCCCGCACGTCTCTGACGATAGACATGCGGCACGACACACACTTGGTTATCTCCCGCGAGCCGGCCATCAACAACATCGACGAGAGCAAGACCTCGCCTATGTCGGGCACGGGCCCAGGCATACTGCACAGCAGGTCGCGCAGCACGACGCGAAGGTGCTCGACATCCAGTATGACGGCGCCTTCACGCGGCGGCCTGTCGTCGTTGATCGGACGAGGATCGCAGATCCCACAGAGAAAGTGCCGGAATCCGCTCCAGCTCTTCCACACCCGGTCATCCTGTACGAAGCGTTGCACGACGGCCTTGCACTTCTCGCGATACTGCATGAGCGCAAAGAGGATGGTGGCAGGGAGACTGTCCAGTCCTATTGGCGCAGCGGCTGCCAGGAATATCCGGTCGTGGCGTAGGCTGAGCTTGGCTGCCTCGAGAGCGAGGCTGGGCATCCGCATCTGGCACGCAGCGGCGTAGACCGCCAGTGGGTCTTTGGCTGCAACCTTGGGGTCCATGAGCACCCGCTGCGCAAAGGTCATGGCTACTTCCATCTCGTACTTGAGCGATGCGCGCATTACTTCGCAGGCGGTCGTGGGGACATCTAGCACGGGGTCTTGTATTGGGTATATAATCCGGAGTAGTGGGTCAATGATCGAAGAGTGTTCGGTGACTCGCACGACAGGTATCCCGTACGCATCGTCTTCGGACGGTGCGGCGGCGTATCCGAGTCTGAACATCTCTTCGAATATCTCGGACGCCATGCGCATGGTGAGCTTGTGCACGCGGAACTCGACATTGTCGGCGGTGCGTAGAATGAGATCGGCGTCTGCTCTGTCGAAGGGTGGGAATGCAGGAGTTACGAGTGTGGCTGATAGTGGTCCGTCCTGCGGTGCATATCCACATGGATGGGACATTTCGAGGATTCCGCGGCGGTGTCCAGTCGTTACGCTGACCGCAGAACTTGTCCAGGCCCGTGTTGCCTCCGAGTCGCAGTTCGGTGCCAGTCGCAGTTAATCCATACAGCGACTCGCGCCTGTTTAAAGTAAATCGTCAGTGTTTTACTCCATTGCATAGTATGATGTATACTTCGAGATTTTCTTCGCAAGCCTTCACATCGGGTGTCGACTCTACGCAGGAGGAGGGACAGACTCCGGGACACTGACAGTGATGCGGCTCTTAAACGGAACCACGTGATCATTGTCCAAATCGCGTTCTCGTTCTTTTTGAGTCGCTCAATCATGCAGGAGGACCGAACACTGGCTGTGTCGCCGAGTCCACGCACTACTCTCGCTACATCCAGTGTTCTATAAGCATTCAACCAGGACAGAGAGGATTTAATGCTGTCGGCAATCCCGGTAATGTTTTAACGAATTCAATCAAGTATTGCGGCAAGGACCGTGGTTGTTACTCAGTAACAACTCACAACTTCCTGTCGTTAACAGTCCATTCAAGCTCACCATCGCTCTGCGTGGCTCGAACGGCCATGCCTGCTGCTTCCGAGACGTCTCATGTCTCAGCGTGCGAGGAGACACTCGGCTTCGTCGTCACGACGCCGGGTGCCATGAGTGTTCATCCTTTTTCGAAGCCTGGCGAGTGTTCAGCGGTATCTCAGAACAGTGCTGACAGGAGTGTAACAGGGAACCGTGTAAAATCGAACGTGGCAAAATTCAAGAACCAGTTGATACCAGACGATCCAGCTAATACGGTTCTCGCGATGTGCCGTGCTGGCGACAAATTGGTCGGACATGCATTTGCGACAACAAGCATCTACAAATCCTGTGAGTGAATCAAGAACTACTCGCCGTGATAAAATCGCTCGCGCTGTCCGGCACACAAGCTCGGCCATGATGGTTTGCTGGGAACGGCGAAGGCAGGCTGGATCACATAACTTGTTGTCGACAAGTCATATCACAGACGTGGGATTGCTACCGCACTCTTGCAAAGCTTGATGGTGTCGGACCCACTTCAGAACCTCTCCGTTATCGTTGTTGCCTCGTCGCACCCAACTATTCAGGCCGTCAGGTCTCAAGGTGTGCAAGACAACTCGTATCTGTGGCGGATATTCGACGCTAGTCTCCGTTGCAGACCATACAAGACGGCAAGTGTCTTGTGATTCGACGCGGCGCTCTCCCAAATGGTTGCGATCGAAGCTAGCATAAGTCGACCATGCGTTCGGATTGCTCCAATCGAACGAACGATGCGTAAAGGCGCCATTGTGTCATGGCGAACGTGTGCACACGTTCCCCTTCTGGAGCGACTGGACCTGTAATGCAGGAACTGGGATATCGTTCTCAGGGTAGCGAGACTAACCTCTATAGTGCAGGATGCCTGTGCGGATGCCTGTGCGGATATCTGCGCGTTATACGCGTCTCAGGCTGCGAGGCACACATGACACGGCCTGTTCCGAACGGCAGGAGATGCTGCTTGTTCAGGCGAAGATCACGCATGGTAGTCTCAGGGTGCTCTGTATTCTAGCCAGGGCCAGACCTAGAGACGACGAACAATTACTACATGGCGCATCCCGTGGAACTCTATCGACATCCTCGAATAGCTCATAAGCATGAAAAGGACCAAGGAAGGTTCGTGGACTGCATACGAATTCAATCAGCAGGCCGGAGACTGTTCTGGTGAGGTTCCTCGGTCCACGTAAACAGCGGTCACGACTAGCTGGTGCTTAGACAGGTGAAGCTGAACGAAGATCACTTCTTGTAGGAAGGGAATTTCTGTTCGAGCATACGGTGAGACTTGTATAGCAATCTATGCCGCGTTCGCTGTACAGAACGGCTCTTGTGCCCGGGCCCCGAAACTCAAGTCGTGAGAAGGTCAGTACGACACCGCTATGGAAGGATCAAGAAGACTAATGCATGGTTCCTCGTGTGAGGCATTTTTGCACAGACACGCGGAATCATGGATGTCTGGGCGAATACAGCTGACATGTGTACAGCGAAACATGTCAATGGTCGCCGAACGGATATCAAATAAGGTGTGGACACAACTCTAGTAGGATGGATGCCATATGTATTGAATTTTCCTTGTGTCGTATTCGCCCAGTGACAACTTTACTGAGACACCTGTGAGGATCATCGGGAAGCACGAGGGCACATAAGGCAACGAACCTGTCTTGTGGAGGCTGATACGTCTCATGATCAAGATGAGCGGCACATGAGGCCTTGAGGGGCGTCGCAGCAATCCGCCCGACGAACCGAAGATGTTTCTGCAAACGTGGAGAGACGCAGGAGCACCCTTATGCGCATGGCTTATCGACGCCAGCTTGACATCATGTCTCCGACGGAGTGACAAGGCCGTGACTTGGACTAGCCTAGGCAGTACGCAGACTTCACTTATAAGCCCGCTCTCACTCTCCCTTCGTTCTCCATCCCACTCGCAACTGTCATCCCTCTACCACCAACACAGCCACTGAGAACGACATGGCCTGCAACTGCCAGAGCACCTGCGAGTGAGTCAACTTGTTCTTTGTCGAGCATAGTTGGGACTATGGCTGACGACTGCTACGTTATCATGTAGCTCTTGCTCCTCCGCTGCGAGCTGCGCCTGCGCCCAGGGCACCTGCAAGTGCGCGAGCTGCCCGAACGCTGCGAAATAAACGAAGTACAGTGCATCTACTCCTCAATCCCTCGACCAACACACTGAGCCATCTATTCCAGGTCGTACTGTGTTCTTCAAGTTTTGCAATGGTCGGAAACGTGTACGATGTATGAGGGCTTGCCAATGTAACGCTGTGCCATGCAATTAACCTTGTATTGCCACTGAGGCACTTGTGCGGACCGACATGCGGCAATTGCGCCGACACGTGCGAGGCATTTCAGCGACGCTTCTGAGGCCTTTGCGCGTGGAGTATGATGTCTGTGGTGCATCGTTGACGGAGTCGCTGACGCTCATGTAAGTATAGAAGGCTTGAGGCCATAAGTACAACAACTGGGTGGGACGCTGGGGGCGCATGCACAGCCTCAGCCTGCGCAAGCCTTTCGCGTTTGTTCCAGATCACCACGTAGGCAACCAGTACAAGATGTGCCTCCTCGAAGTCACCGGCACATATCTGTCTCAATTGTATCCACACAAGATCGCGGACATCGGTCGCGACATGCTCCCCGTCCTCCGAGGCACTATCGGCCTGCAGCTGCCGAGTCGGGACTTCTATGTGACCAGGGCGTACCTCCGCAGCATCCTCAAGGCTTACCTGACGATCGGAAAGGAGATTTCCTTGGTGGTAAATAACAGCGAGTACATGAAGCTTGACAAATACGTCACGACGAACACGGCTACTTGGAGAAGAAAACATTGGTGGGACAAGTGTGCTGCGGAACTGGACTCCATGCTGGATGAACTGCAAGTACTGCGTTCCATCCCTATGTACGTCGATCCAGATCACACTCCATGCAGTATTGAGGAGCTGATGATTTCTTCGGATACCAGAATTGATGAGCCTGTTCCTTTGGGTGACGTCGATGTCGGGCGTGGCGTTAACCGAAATACGGCAACGACAGAATTCCAGGGCCAGGAGTTGCACGGGGAGAACGGAATTGTCGTGATTGATAAAGGCAGGGACGGAACAACAATTCCTGTGTTTGTTTTGAGCGAGTCTTCGAAATATCCTGAACGATCACCATGGAAATTTCAACGCTGACGGCCCCAGTACTACACCACATTCGTCTAGGAGTGACGACGAGGCAAGATGGTTGATTGATTGTACTGATGATACGACTACGAAGGACCGCTGTAGACCAATTGTTTTTTGTCTTGTAATGAATACCCAGGCCTTGCTCATCCCGTACATCAAATGGTGGCGTCGGTGAGATCGGAATCTTACCAGACGCTCAACCGGTCCTCCTCCTCGCGCATCACGATGATCGTTCCGAGTCGATCGTTCTGTTCGCAGCTCTACTGACGGAACGAGTATCGTCGTTGGAATCGCTTGAAACTCAACACAAAAGAACAAACAGGAAATCGGGTCTGGCACCTCCAACTGGGTCACTTCTGAGTCGAGGCTTCTGCCAGACGCTGTCAAAGTCTGTCCGACGCGAATCTCCAAACCATATACATTTCCGAAGGTCGCGGCTCATGTCGTCAGAAGACTCCTCGCAAGTAGCGAACAAAGGTGAGGTCTTCACGGTGGTACCAATCATCAACATCCAGCCTGACGTGGTTTGTTCGAGGCTCCCAGACAACAGCGCTGACCACGGACCAACTACGGCAGAAAAGGCCGCACCACAGTCTCAGTCGTTGGTCATGCAGATCGTCGTGAGACGGGACTTGCTTGATGTCGGTGCTGTGTGTTTTTTCTTCCCATGCGTCGACACTACTGACATTCTGCATTCATCTTGGATACGCTCGAACCATCCCGTCCCACTTGAACGTCACATCGACACGTACATCCTGATGGCAATGGCGTCCACTAGACTCCAGGATGGGGCGTTGGTCCACTGATGGCCCAGACAGCCCATGCTACGGCTGCCGTGAGTTCGCGACTGTTCTACCCTATCTCTACCGACATGGATGGACATTTGTACAACAGGTGTTACACGAGACGCGCGATCTCCCTGAGACCAGAGCATACCTTGACGATCTGAAGAACATGCGAAAGGTAAGCGAGCCATTCATCGAGCCAGTGGATCGAGGCAGCCCCGTGCCGTCGTCTCCGTGCATACTGAAGTCACGCCGACTTATCATCTGCATCATCTTACAGGCTGTCCTTCAGGTTATTTAGTCGTGACTCGCACACTCTACATTCTCTGACACTCGGTGGTAGGTAGCGGACCGCAAAGGCATCGAGAAGCTCGCCACTCTGCTTTCCTCGGCGGACCCCCCTATTCCACATCACTTATGGATCGAGCAGCCTGAGAACGAACCATCGTGCCTTGCATTGGCCCCAAATCGGCGCGAGAGCAGGGTCAAGAAGGCGTTGGACAAGAGCGGATGTAGGTTGTGGAAAGGGTAGGGTCCAAAGAATGCACGGATGGGGATGGCGAAGATTGTACAACAGAATGACGACGCGATCTTTCTTGCCATTAATACGGAGCGAGCTCACCAGAGTCCATGGAGAACAAAATATCACATTCCTCCTACTCGTACATACATGCGCGGCGGGGCACCGCGCCACATCTTTATGACTTTAGATAGCCTCGAGTTTGCAACGTAAGGGAACGGATCGCGATGCGGATCCAAGGGACGGCGGAACGGGGCGAAGCTAGTACATCTCCAGACTCATGCCGTCGTGAATCTCGTAGTCCGCGAGCGTGATGTGGTCCTTGTAGATCGTGTACCTGCGGTCGCAGGGCATTGTCCATCAGCTTAGAAGTCAATGCAGGGTAGATATAGTACGGTAGGCGCACCATTTCTTGAGCTGGATCTTCGTGTGATCCGTGCCGGTCTGAGCACCGATGAGCTTCTTCAGGTCGCCGACGGTATCGTCTGGACTGCACTTCACACGAACTGGAATACAAACAGTCAATGGGTTTTCAGGATAAAGAAATAAAGTAACACACACACCTTTGCGGCCGAGACGGTCATTAGCAATAACCTAGCGATCCGGGTGCAAGATTCGATTTACGCCACAGACGAGTCGATGAAGAGGCATGCAGAAGCGAAGAGCGATCCAGCCATCAGCACCAAGACTCAACAAGCACAGAAAGCAGATCACATACTTCAATCAAAGCCATGGTTCAAAAGCACTTGATGAAAGCGAAGACGACAGCACGGGCAGCGAGTACGCAGAGAGCAAGGAGTAGATGGGCAGGCGCTTGTGTCTATCTTGCATATCTTTCCGAGAAAGGAAAGTACAAATATCCGAAGACCTGTGGTCAAATGTTCACTGGTTTTACAAGTCTCATCCAGTGGCGGTGCGAAAGAGTCGACCCCCAATGCTGTGTGGTATTGAGCGCAAGCTGTCAATAGAGTCTGATCAGTAGAACCAGCTCTGTAAGCGTGCCAGCGGAGGTCTGCGGTTCGAAGTGCGTTCTGACTCGCCGCCTACACGGAGCTGAATTTGCTCGCGGATATAAATTAATGTCGACGAGTTGTAGTGTCGCGTTTCGTGAGTAGTTCAAGCGTGGAGGAGGATGAGAGGAGTGATGACGGTGTCGAGCAAACCAGATGAGACTTGAAGTGGATTGCAGTTTCCGCGTGATCGTCTCGAGATTGTCTGGAGTTTTGTTGGTTCGTCGTACTCTTCTCGTACACCATACGATTGCACCCATCATAGCAGCACGCAATACACAAACATCATGGTAGCACGAGAACCACGGGATCCACCGGCAGTGGAACTTCCTCCACCCCGCCATCCTCCTGCACCTCCCTTCTCTCGTCCGCACGCACGTCCACAATCCGTATGATCCGCTCCTGCAGCTCACCCTCTGTGCCCGGGTCTGTCCTCCGATCCGATACCTTCATTCGCGGGATCCGCACGAACCCACACTCGACCGGCACGAGCTTCCACAACACCGTCTCCTCCGCACCGGGCAGCAGGATCGGCAACCTGCCATTGCGCAGGCCAGCGAGGACGAACGCGTCGCTATTGTCCGTCTCGAGGTGGACGACGACGTTCGCGGAGCGCGTCGGCTGCCGGTTGCGGATGACGAGGCGGAGCGTGAAGGGCTTGTGCAGCTTCGCGATGGGCGGCACGTCGAGCAGCGCGACAAGGCCGTCTCGCGGCGGGCGCAACGTGGGCAGCGAGAGTTGGGTGGTTGCAGACGTGCTGTAGCCGCCGTCCGGGAGGATTCTGCAAGTCGTGGGTGTTCAGCCGCCACGAACGTAAGGACATGCGTAAGATGTACCTTCTCCATGTGAGTTCGTACGAGCCGGGCGCAGGGATGTCTTGCCCCTCTGAGAGATCGTCTTTCGTAGCCAAGGTTATCCTGCATCGATCGCAGAACTCATCTCCCGCTAGCCATTCTGGGGCACGGCTCAATGTCAGTATAACCACGGCGCATCAGAATGAACCAATACCTGTCAGAAAATCGTCCATGACCTGATCAAGCGAGTTGTCCACAATTTTAGCGTGCCGGCCATCCTAGCACCCAACTGTCAGGCCCGCAATACATACATGTATGGGACAACACACCTGTCTGACGAGCTTGATGGAGTCGACCACGATCCCTGATGGCGCGGCGCAGGCCATGACAGTGGTGACAATCGCCTCACCCATGTCCCCGTCGTCCCAATACCCATCCTCATACGTCATAAGGTCTGCAAGGCCAGGTTTTGTTTTCAACGATCTCCTGTACACCGCGTGCTGCTCAACGCTGATCGGCTGGACCGCAGGCACAGCCAGCGTCCGAATCGTCTCGTCCCGGTCTGTTCTCGACAGGGTGGGGCTCTTGGGCGACTGAGGGCTTTCTGGTTCGTGGCCGCTAGGTGGCACCTCTCGGTGTGACTGAACGGAGATGTCGATGACCCTGTCGTATACAGCGCCTACACTGGAGAGGTAAAGCGTAACGGATGTGCTGACACCGGGAGCGATAGTGCCCAGCGGAACACCCTTGATCAAACTCGTCGACTTCTCGTCGCCCATGCGAATGTAGTTCTCCCCTGCAACACGGATCAGTCTGTGATCTACATGCGAACGCAGCCGCCATACCGAGCTCATCGAATTCGGTGGGCTGCAGTAGAGCATCCACGACCATCTCCATTTCCTTGTCGTCTTGGTTGCTCACGTCAATGGTGATAGGGAACTCTTCACCAATGTATGCAGGTGCATTGTATGTTACAGATACTTGCACCTTATGCGGACGATGTCGGACACTGGCAATCAGTAGTCAGCGCTGCAAGCCGAATCCAGAGCGACAGGAGTGCTTACACGACAGACGAGTGTTGGTCTCTCCGCACCGGGATGTATGTGAGCGGGTCGAAACTGCTAATCCATCGTGGGTAAGGCGCGCCACCGTGTTTGGTGTTCGCAGGGTACAGGGGAATCTGTATGTTCCAATTGCCTTCCTTCAGTGTCAACACGAGTCTCTCGATCTGTTCCCTTGCGTAAGCGTGTATCAAGACATTTTATATGTGTATATCCTCCACCTTGACGGTCGCCGGCACCTCGCATGACACAGTACCACAGAAGACGATCGTGCCCCCGACGCCGAACCTGAGCGGTCCTTCGACATCCCTACTGTCTTCATCCTGGGGAGTGATATGTCCCAAGTCCACCTTCTGTACAGGCAGCAACTCTCCAGAGGGGTCCATAGCCGAGTTGCGCACAATGAGAGTCGGCATCTCTCCCGACATGTGTATGACGAGCGATGTGAACGTTAAAGAACGCAGTGACACCGCCGTTCTCGACATTACTGAGAGCTGGAATGCAACGGGCTCGCCTACTAGAACGTCCGACCGCCAGAAGACCGCGCACGAATCCACTAGCAGGAGCTGTTAACAACAAGGCTCTTTCCCAATCGAAAGACATACATATAGGTTCAGACTCCGAATGATCTATCACCAATGCTTCTGTAGATGACGGAACAGAGCTCTACGATGTCATTTGTCAACGCAGCAATGGACACAGATCACGATAGCAAATACCTTCAAGACCGCCAACAGGTCCTCCTGCGTAGAGTCTTCGTCGTCGTCCTGCGTCTTCAGACCTACCCAGATGGCAGCGCAATAGTCAGCCAGACGAACAGAAGACGTCTCGTAGTCATACCATGCCCAAGCATTTCAAACAGCAGCCGCACACTCAGCTCCATATCACCCATCTGCTGCGTACACGAATACCACGTGGTGAGCAGTGGGCGCAACAATGACTCCCACTGCTCGCGCCGGTACGTCTTCGCGATCCGTTCGAAGAATCTGTGTGGACCTCGTGTGTTAGCTACTGCTGGCGGAAGAGAGTAAGGAGGCAAAAGGAGGAATGCGTACCGCACGGCGAGGTCGAACTTGCCAGACTCATAGTAAGTCTGCGCAATTCGGTATGCGATCCAAAGTGTCAGTCGGCCGTGACCATGCGCGTCTTTTGGTGTGTACGCTTTGAATAGGTCGTATGCCCGGGTGTAGAGCTATTGTAACCTACTTAGTCGATGTTCCCGTGAAGCTCTCGATGTGTCTCACCTCGAGTATGAGCGCGAGATGATCGACCTTCTGTTCATTATTGAACCCAGGAGGGGGCGCCGTCGTTGCCTCTCCCTCCGCCTGCAATCAGAATCCGTGACCCAATGCCGCACCTTCGTGCCGTCCAGACGCACCTCAGATCGGGCAACACCCAGGAAGCGCTCCCTCCTCCTCTCCGTACATCTTGCTGACATATAGTAGTAGAAACCCGGATGCTGCAAAGCCTGACTGGGATTCAGGCCGAGCGCACGCATGGCCTCCACCTCGAGTACCCCACGTTGCCCGCTCTCGAGTGCCTGTACCGCTGCCGCTGCCGCCGCATGCGAGGACGGGGTGGTCGAGAAATGCGTCGGGATCTTGAGTGTGGAGCGTGTCCCATGTTCGAGGAGCTCGGCGAAGGCACGATGTCTGTGGACAGATTCAGTCAGTGGGACTGGGCGGAAGATAGGGCGGCCAGCCATACTGTCGCGCGAGCCAGCTCCAATACTCGAACGTCTCCTCGCCGATGCCCCACCCGCGCGAGAAGTCAGAGAACTTGCGCATGTGGCTGTTGTGATGCCCTAACGCGAGCGAGTGCTCGTTGTTGTAAAGGTAAAGTTTGCAGATCTGCACGGGGCCATGAACTCTGACGGAGATGCGACTTCCCGAATACTGCATACCTTGAGGTTGATACAGTCCGCGAGCACCTTCGCCTCCGCCCAGCGCTTCGTCCTCGGAGGTAGGATAGCAGTCGACCCGAACATGATCGCTAAGCTAGCATAGGCATCCTGGTAATGTCTTTCGTCTCAATCAGACTCTATGACATGCAGGTTGAAGCGGAATATGTACTTGAGCGCAACCTCGTCCTCGCCTCGGAACTCCGCAAAGCACGCCATCTTGTACTCGTACCGCACCGTCCAGCCTTCCGGTCTGAGTGGTCTACTCGGCGCACTTCCAATGGGCTGCGTGACCGGGTAGGAAGAGGCAGCCTGCGAGTGCCGATTGCGTTTCCGGCGTACGCGCTTTGAGTGGTTCGTGTAGTACTCGATCGCGGGTTCATAAAGAGCTTCTTGCAGACTATTGTGCACCCGGTGAAGCAGCCCGTCGTGGTGGAGATGGCAAGGCAAGCGTACCTGTGCACGAAGTCGCCGATCTCGGACTGTGAGACGGGGGAGAGGACAAACAGGGCGGCACGAGGGTCAAGCCCACTTTGTCGGCGGATATAGGTGAGGCGACCGTCCAGGGAAGGGTCATCTACGGCGTAAAATGTGAGGTCAGCAGAGAAACTGAGTGCTCGCTCACGCACCTAGCAGCCGTCTGCTAGCCAGTAGCACCACCGTCAACTTCACGCCTCGTTCACTCACAACCTTCTTTCGCCCAGCGATCTCCGCACATAGCTCCGTGTCCCGTCGTCGCTCCTCTGCGTCTCGCTCGCGATCTTCTTCAGCGGTCTCCAGGGGCGCACGGGACGTCGGTGCATGCTCGAAGAGGCGCATGAATACCACAAACACAGACGGAACGAGTCGCGTGTGTTTGCGGATCCATATGGGCGCGATGAGACCATCAGGGTAGAGCGGTGAAGACGGGGTAAGGGGCGATAGAGGCGAGTGAGCGTTTGCGAAGTCCGCGTGTTCTGGAGGAATAAGTCTGCGAGGAGGAAATCGAACGTCCTGTGCGCAAATCGTTGTAAACAGTCGATACTTCCACCCGTCTACCAAAATGATGACCGAACAACATACGGTCACAGACTGCACGACTGCCTATGTACGACGCAGTTGGCCTTCGCTGATCACACCGTCACGGATATGGGGACAGTGTAGGACGAGCTCACAGCACACTGAATTGAGTGTCGCGTGGAACCCGGCGGTCTCACAAACCAATCACGACACTATAGTGCCCCAGTCGATCGTCTGGCAACAGTGCAGACGCGTAGAGTCGAGCAGGCCAAAGTGAACGCGAGCGAGAAGGCTCCTAGCGATGCGCAAGACAAGCCACGAGAGCAAGAACAGGGCTCAAGCCCTTCCCCGTTGATCACTCCGTCCCAGGGGAGCGGGAGCGGAGCCACAGGCTTGACGGTAAACTGCGCAAGTACGTCCGGGGTCTCACCCGGTAGAGAGATATGACCCAGTGACCCTCATCGACGTACTCCTTTAACTTAATACTCATTCAACAGAGCAAGCGTACCTTGTCGACCAGAACGACCTGGAACGCCTTCTTCTTCTCTGGCTGCCAAACCGCTACCTTTCGCTGGTTTGCCAAAGCCTCTCGTAGGCGATGTGAGAGTACCACGAAGGGGTCCGTCGTCTTGCCCGATGTAGGAGGAGGGTCAAGACCGCCGACGAACATGACGGGCGCAAGCTGCGTGAGGAGTTCTGGGGGATAAGAATTCATTATCCGAGTCACAGCATGTAGAGTGGTATTTTCAAGGTTATATCAACGTGCTCTTGAGAAGACCGAAGTCGAGTATAAAGTCAGAGATGAGGATATGGTGGCAAGCAAGTACTGGCCATGGTCCAGGTCCATGCCATTTCGTAGAGATCACGTGTTTGTGCATGCACATACATTCCTGGTCTGAAGTGATCATCATCGTCGCGGTTCTGCAACTTCTGCTCAGTGCTGCCCTCGTCTCGAGTCACTGCACAGTGTGCGCAATAGCCCAGTCTATTCAATCCCTGGTGCCTCCCAGTCTTCTGCTGACGGTATAACAAGCCGTGCAAGACTCTCAATTTACTGAACTAAATAAATGATTTATTGAGATCGCCGACAAAGTCGTCCGGAGCCGCTCCCTGGTTGACATGTCGTCCCGCACTCGCCTCTCTCGCTCGCACGTCCGTGCGTGCGCATGCTGATGCTCACCCGTACTTTCCTGAACCTTAGGCAAGGTTCGTACTGAATTAATGACGCAATCAACGACGATTATCTGCTAAACTGGCTCAGTCAGCCGCCGGAACTCCAATCATTTAAGGGCATCCTGCTCCTCCACCTCCACCTCCTCCAGAACCATCGTAACAGCAAGACTTCACACCAACAACCAATTGCAGCACCAAAAAAGGTATTCAACCACGATGGGCCACCCCGACGAGAATGTCTACCCGACGGCGACGGGACATGCGCTCGAGACGGTCAAGCAGCATGAGGCTCCGCAGGATCTCGTCTTTTGGGCTGGCTGGGTGCGTCCGAGCGACTATGACGACCACTGCCCCGGCTGACCTGAGCACAGTTCTGTCCGTTCGTCCAGCGCGCGTGGATCGTGCTGGAGGAGCGCGGCATACCGTACCAGTACAAGGAGGTCAACCCGTACAAGAAGGAGAAGCACTTCCTCGGTACGTGCAGTTCGTTGTGTCAACAGCTAATACCCCGCTCACTCACTCTAGACATAAACCCAAAGGGCCTTGTCCCGGCAGTCGAATACAAGGGCCGTGCGCTCTACGAGTCGCTCATCATCTGCGAGTTCCTCGAGGACGCCTACCCCTCGCACACGCCGCACCTCTTCCCGACGGACCCGTTCGAGCGCGCATACGTCCGCCTCTGGGTCGACCACGTCGCGAAGAACGTCGTGCCCGCGTTCCACCGGCTCCTCCAGGGCCAGACGCCCGAGGCGCAGGCGGCCGCGCGCGAGGAGTACTACGAGAGCCTGCGGAGGGTGAGCGAGAAGGCGAAGGGCCCGTACTTCCTCGGCGCCGAGTTCAGCATGGTCGACGTCGTGCTCGCGCCGTGGGTCATCCGCGACTACATCCTGCGGGACCACCGCGGCTACTCTCGCGACGCGGTCGGCAGCGGCTGGAAGGAGTACGCGGAGAAGCTCTCGACGCGGGAAAGCGTACTGAAGACACAGAGCGTAAGTCCTGCCAGTCTAACGCAGCCAGTTGTGCTGACGCGGCGTGTACAGGACCTCGAGCACTATGAGCCGATCTACGGGCGCTACCTGCGCGATGAGGCTCAGAGCGAGGTTGCGAAAGCGACGAGGGCAGGAAAGGGTCTTCCGTGATACATGCCTCGGGGGTCCAAAACCATTACTGCAGGCTTGTATAGTAGCAATTGTCAATGTGCCTGTTGTACTGTCAAGAAAGTCAATATCTCGGAGTATCATACATGCTCAGCAGGTACGTCGGTATGATGTTTGATAAAAACAGCTAATCACTGTATGTAGTTAGGGGAAGTAATATTGAAGGATGAGTAGGCAGACAGACGGCGAGTGACTTTGCAGGACTTCTTGGACAGATCGATGTCCGACCGCAAGAAAGGTCTGTGCGCATACACTGAACTTATATGACGACTCCTCGGAAGACTTTGCAGTAAGTTCGCTGTCACTGAGGAAATGTGTAAGTACCCACATCATGATCGAAGCACGACGACGGCTTATGAGAGGAGCACTGGTACCAACGTAGCAGTACGCCCCGTTCCGGAACGCCTACAGGAGTTATTAAGACGAGACAAATCCCTCAACATATCCGCGGGCCAAGCCACCAACGAGCGAACGATCTCGCCGAGCTACACAAACACCTAATCGTCGGCTACCGCGCATCCTCCCGAATGCGCCTGACCGGTGTCCATCCATTTAGGTCTGTATACGCCGTACTGGTACATCGAGCTGTTCGGGTTGTCGAACGGACTGAGCGCCATACAGATCACCCCCGACCCAACTCAGATCGGTGCACGCATCGGGATGAGTCCAATGAGTGTTTGCTTGCTGCGGTTCATAACAGCTGGATTTGTTGCTTCTTGATGTACGATGTTTTGGATTGAGCAGTGGCTAGGCCCTGAATGAACTAGGGTGCTCTTCCTGAATCATCTAGCCCGCCTGAGGTCGGGTATATGTTCCAGAACTACCATCTCCCGAAGCTCACTCGCTGTTTTGTATTAGACAAGATGTCACAAATACAGTTGACAACACTATTTCATTAGGTAGCCACAACCTGCCGCCTCCGGACTAATACATTCCTGTGCCCAGGCAGGACGTTATGCCAGCGCGACCAGTTCTCCGGCCTCCGCTGCTCACCCTCGAATTTCAGATCGTAGTGGAGCAAGATGTACGCCATCATGAGCTTCAGTTCGTTCACGGCGAAGAAACGGCCGGGGCTAGCACGGCGCAGAACCTGCGGTCAGCGACTACGCCAGTTATGAGCGGAGGAGCCACTGCATACCACGCGTGTTTCCCATGCCCGAACGGCACGTACTCTGGCGAGGTGCTGACGAACTGGTGCTTGATGCTGGCGCCGTCTGCCTCGCGCATGTCTGCGAAACGAAACGGTTCGAAAACTTCGGGATTTTCGTAGTTGCGCGGATCACGGTGCGTCGCGTTGGACGCACCGGCGACGAGCGTATCGGCCGGGATGAACGTCCCGTCGGAGAGCGTCGTGTCTTGCAGCGTCTTCCGCATGATGGAGACTGCGGTGGAGCGCGAGTTAGTATGTAGGGTAGAGAGATGTTGATGTGGATACTGACTGTACGTGATACCGTTGATGCGCTGCGACTCGCGCATGAAGCTGTCTAGCTTCCACATCTTGCCCGTCGCGACCTTGGTCCAGCCATGCTCCTTGACCACGCTGTCGACCTCCTCGCGCAACCCCTTGACGTACTCGGCAGATTCCGCGAGGTGATAGAGTGCCTGGGTCATACTCTGTGAGTCGTAGTCAGCTGAATGTCTTCGCCTGAGCAAGTTGTAGGAAGAAAGAGACGCACATTGCTGGATGTGTGAATGGCAGCGAAGTTGGAGACCATGAGACCTTCAATCGTCGTCTGTACAGACCCGCCTTCTCGCCTGGCTTCGTCAATAATCCACATCATGTAGTCGTTCTTGCATTCGGAGGGTCAAGGTAAGCGGAGACCAATATCTGCATGGGGGATGACTCACAGGTTTATCTGTCCAATCCTTGCCCATCTCCTCCAGCTTCCTGAAGCGATCCTCAATTATGGGCCTGAGGTGCACCGACGCCTTCTGAGTGGCTCTGCGTGCCCAAGGGATAAATGGGCCAACGATCTTCTTCAATGACTTCGGAAACCAGGAGAGTATGAAGCGCGCCCTCGATACGTCGAAAGTGAATTGGCGGACAATCTGCAGGTAGTCCTCATTCCGGCCTAGTGACATGGCAGCATCAGCTCGCAAGCCATTTTGCTGCGCATCCGGACGTATACGTACACAGGGGAAGGCCAACGAAGACGCGGTTGCTTACACGTGAGATGATCACTGCCATAGTCATCAGCGTATTGACACTGATCCACTCTGTGGAGGACCGTTGAATGATAAATTTCCGCCTCAACACGGCACGGGAAGATCTGACTGACCGTCACCGTGCAACTTGCTCCCGATGGTATCAGCGAATGCTGCGTTGATCTCGTCCACGACGTCGCCGAACACTACGCCCAAGTTTTTTGTTAAGGGACCGCGGATGGTGGGGATGTGAATTGGGTGGTCAACGACACTGTTTGACACAGTGTATCGCATCTGGAGGAACTGCCAGATCAATAGAATAAGTATATCATCACATCAAATAGAGTGAGGCAAGGGAAAGCGTACGTCTTCAGCAGCCTTGTGGAATGTCGCATGTGAGTCCGGGATCTTTCGCAGCTCCTCGTTCATGTCGGCGCCACTGACGATCACAACCCATTGGTCGAGCATGGCGACCTTGAAGATCTTGTACTATGACCATGGAAAGAAGTTGGGTAAATGAGAGGAAGCATCACGATTCGCTTCGCACTGACCTTGGCATAACCTTCCTGAAGAACTTCACGGGCATTCTTGCTATATCGGTAGGCACCGATGTAAGAGAGGAGAGGAAGAGATGGCCCAATCGTCGGGATGGAATAAAGCTGCGAGTATCTTGAAGGTTAGCATTCCTGTCTAAGGCATGCACCGATAATGCTTACTGGATCAAACCTCCACGTAAGGAGGGTCGTCACCGCGAAGATACAAATAATCGCACCCGCGACCTGAATCGCATCTGCCATGATAGGTTCCCTGGGAGTTCACCGCAGTCTTGGAGAGTATTCGTACGGGGCACTGCGCGGGTGTAGGGCCTGGTGTCCGCTGCTGCACTACGTGGTGGGAGGAAGTATAGTAAGTGATACCCGACTGCCTAGTCGAGTGTGATGAATATAATAAAGGGCTCCTTCAAGGCAAGCCGCATCTTCGAGTGTCAGCGATTGATATTGATATTGAGCGGCCAGTGGCATTACGTGCGATAGAACACCCCGAGATACAACCGTGGTTGGCATTGGGTGGCATCGGCGCGGTTCTACATACAGTGACGCGTCACGTGGCTCGAGTAGTCCCAGCTGGGATCAACCTTCTAGTGGATCGAGCCGTACCGGAGACTCATGAGGAGGAGGACATGAGAACGCTCAGCCGCGCTGTAGTCTCCGTTGCAGACCACCGGCGCTGTTATGTACCACAGAAGCAGGGAAGTCGTCCTCATCAATTCGCCGGCTGAATGTTGAAACGTTGAACCTTGGATAGGTCTCGACGGAGCGCCGCAGCAGGCAGTACCTATGTGCTGCATGCTAACTCTGTCACAACGTCTGCCATTTGCCAGTGGTATCGAGTCGGAGTCGCCGCGGCGACTTGATTCATTTAGAGGCTGAGGTAATCTACATACATAACCACTTGGAATCACACCAGAATCACGCCGTCTCCTGCGGACGCCCGACAAGCTTCACGTTGCTGACCCCCTGCTTGAGCTTCTCAAGTCCAGCAATAATGCCATGCAGCCCGTTGGGTAGCACCTCCACGGGGTTCGGCTGCGGGTGGGCAAGTCGTCAGCGGTGAATACAGCACATTGCAGTCGCTTGGCAACACCCACCTTGATCACACCCTCTTCCAGCAGAACGGTCACTTTCGAATACAGACTCGCCCCCAGCTCGCGGTTCTTCGGGACGTTCGTGTTTCCGTGTGTCTGGGCAATCCGCTTATCGTCCGTCTTGTTCTCCACAGCGCTGGGCAAGACGATGACGAGCGTCCCGCCGGAAGCGAGGATTGCATAGCCGACATTCTGCGTCTGGGACTCGGCGACGGCGTCGAACACAACCTTGATAGGTGCGGAAGTGATTTTCCTGACCTCCGCGATGAGGGCGGCGTCGGGGAGGTTGCGATCGAGGACGTGCGTCGCGCCCAGGCTCTTCAGATGCTCAGCGTTGCGGAGGGAGGCCGTAGTGATGATGGGGCCGAAGCCAGCGAGTTTCGTGAGCTGGATGACTGGAAGGGTATCAAAATGGAGCGAGTGCTAGTACTTTCAATCTGCGTACCGTATTGACCGACGGAGCTGGCACCGCCGATGACGAGTATGGGCTCTCCAGCGTACTTCGCGCGTCCGCCGTCTTCCCAAGGCGGGAAGAGACCTGCACTACTGGTCGGTGCTCCCTCGTGAAAGAGTCCTGTAGCTGCGGTCGCCAAGCCGAGCGGGATCGTTGAAGCTTGGTCGAAAGAGAGATTGTCTGGGATCTGCAAGCCAGCTGGTGAGCGTAATTTACTGTGCTGCGTGAGGCTCCGCACCTTTCCAGTCACATCGGCGTATCCGAGCGTGTATTGCTGGAAGGTTGCATGTTCATAGACCCCGTACAGGCCATTCGTAAATCTACAGACGAGCGCTCAGCGCGAGTCACCATAGAAGTGACGCCAAGGAGAACTGCGCACACTCTGTCTCCTTTCTTAAGGTTTGTGACGCCTTCGCCGACCTCCTCGACAACGCCTGCTGCGTCACCGCCGAGGATCGCAGGGAACTTCTCGAGGAAGAGGCCAAATGCTTGGATCTTCCAGTCTACGGGGTTGAGTGCCGTCGACTGGACCTTGATGAGGACCTCTCCCGGGCCAGGCTTGGGCACCGGGGCTGACGCGACTGCGAAGGGCCCGTTTTTGGACTGCAGGTAGAGCACTTTCTGCTGCGACATCACTGATGAGTCTTATAAGGGATCTGTGGTGAAGTGATAGTGGGGTCTGCTGAGGAAACGTAGTCCATGCTGGGTGGTATATATAGCGAGAGGGTGGGAGAACAGATCTACAGCCCGATGAAAGCGATTCTCGTGCTGACGCCATCTCATATCAGCTTTAGGTTGTCGACATATTAGGTCGACGAAGACTCGACAACAGCCGCTCGAACTCTGGGCTGACCAAGCAGTGATACCATGGGACTTTGTGACCCCTTCATCCCCGCTCCGGAGAATGGTATCGATGACAAAGCATTGTTCCGCGCCCCTTTCTACAGACTACCTAGCTCGACGCAGGAGTGTGCTCCAGTCTCAAGGCTACTCATAAGGTCCCTTGAGGTTGCTACGTCTAGAACCAAGTTATTTGACTGACGCTAGTATTCCTACAAATCACGGCTTCTCTCGTAGCCACATGCCCGCTCCAGTTTGGCCTAGCCTGAGTGTGAGTGCATATTAGTGCGGATTTGTGGCATGCGCCATCTGATGGGAGAATCTTATTTAGCCAACTTGTTCTCTGTCAAGTACCGTAATCTTCAAACCAACGCACTCGTTGAGCGATATTCAGAGGCTGCGAACCCCAATCGGGCCTCTCGTCAGCTGGCGCAGCGAAGCTCATGGAGTCCGGCGTTGAAGTTGAAATGGGGTGAGTACACTCGATACTACGCAAGATATGCGCTAGGTATCGTCATTTCAATGCATTCACTCCAGGCTGGCGACTCTGCACATCTCGCCATCCTGCGCTTCTGTTGCAATCGCAGTGTGAACTCAATTGGAACATCGCTGAACCACACGCCGCATACAAAGGTAGTGAATTGGTCGATCTTCCCGATAATCACATCATGTACGCAGGTCGTTCACAATCTCAGGATGTAAACCCGGTGTAGTACCGTCGGCCAAACTTGAAGACACCTGCGTACTCAAGTCCATTGATAGCGCATTCACGCTGGGTTGTCCCTGTTCAGTGCGTTTGTTCATTATCAACACATACACCGGTCAACAGAGGTTATGAATTGTAGAAATTTTCATGGCATGCTTAGAAGTCTTGTAGCTCAGATAGCTCAGATAGCGTTGAAGTGATTACACATCGCCTCAGACTCGCCGAGGTAAGTTACTTACTTAGTACTAGTAGAGCGCCCACGCCACGATTTCGCCTAAAAAGGAATTTGCTGTCGTCCACCACCACCACCTCCTCGTCCCTCGACCGTCGCCGCGGACTTCACCCCTCGCAGCACATGGTTACCCAACTTTCCTCAAATTCCCCTGTCACGCGTGCTCCTAGTCTACAAATTATCCTACAACTTTCAACTCGGACCCGCTCTAACTCGTCGACCCCGGGCCTCTGCAGTGAAAACCTCCTGAAACCACAGGAGCTCCGTGACTACGAGCTAGCAGGAGCAGAGAAGGTGAAAGGATCTGCAGCCTGAGGGCTCGGGAATCACTGGGAGCGTTCTCGATCTCATGATATACCCAAATGCATCCTTACTCAGAAAATACACACCCGCATCAAGCTCAAGCTTGCACCTTATACCATGCTCAGTACGTAAACCTGCTACAACCCAGAATTGATTTCGATCGTACTCGCTATGTAACTAACGACTTGGAATCACACCGTCTCCTGCGGATGCCCAACGAGCTTCACGTTGCTGACGCCCTGCTTGAGCTTCTCAAGTCCAGCAATAATGCCCTCTAACCCGTTTGGCAGCACCTCCACGGGGTTCGGCTGCGGGTAGTAAGTCGTCCGCGTCAGCACTGAATACAGCACGTCGCAATCGCTTGGCAACACCCACCTTGATCACACCCTCTTCCAGCAGAACGGTCACTTTCGAATACAGACTCGCCCCACCTTGCGGTTGTTCGGGGCGTTCGTGTTCCCGTATGTTGGATAATTCGCTTATCGTCCGTCTTGTTCTCCACAGCGCTGATCAAGACGATGGCGAGCGTCCCGCCGGAAGCAAGGATTGTGTAGGCGACATTTTGCGTCTGGGCTCGGACACAGCGTCGAACACAACCTTGATAGGTGCGGAAGTGATCTTCTTGACCTCCGCGATGAGGCCAGCGTCCGGGAGGTTGCGATCGAGAATGTGCGTCGCGCCCAGGCCCTTCAGATACCCAGCGTTGCGGAGGGAGGCTGTCGTGATGATGGGGCCGAAGCCAGCGAGTTTCGTGAGCTGGATGACTAGAAGGGTATCAAAATGGAGCGAGTGCTAGCACCTTCAATCTGCGTACCGTATTGACCAACGGAACTAGCACCGCCGATGACGAGGATGGGCTCTCCAGCGTACTTCGCGCGTCCGCCGTTTTCCCAAGGCGGGAAGAGGCCTACACTGCCGGTCTCCGCTCCCTCGTTAAACAGTCCCGTGGCTGCGGTCGCCAAGCCGAGCGGGATCGTTGAAGCTTGGTCGAAAGAGAGATCGTCTGGGATCTGCAAGCCAGCTGGTGAGCGTAATCTACTGCGCTGCGTGAGGCTCCGCACCTTTCCAGTCACGTCGGCGTAACCGAGCGCGTATTGCTGGAAGGTTGCGTGTTCATTGACACCGTACACGCCATTAGTGAATCTACAGACGCGCGCTCAGCGCCAGTGACCATAGAAGTGACACCAAGGGGAACCACGCACACTCTGTCTCCCTTCTTGAGGTTTGTGACGCCTTCGCCGACCTCCACGACGACGCCTGCAGCATCACCGCCGATGATCGAGGGGAACTTCTCGACAAAGATGCCAAATGCTTGAATCTTCCAGTCGACGGGGTTGAGCGCAGTCGACTGGACCTTGATGAGAACTTCTCCTGGGCCAGGCTTGGGCACCGGGGCTGACGCGACTGCGAAGGACCCGTTCTTGGACTGCAGGTAGAGCACTTTCTGCTGCGACATTGTTGGTGAGTCTTACGTGTAAGGGTTGGTGGTAAAGTGATAGTAGGATCTGCTGAGGAAACGGAGTCCACGCTAGGTCATATATATAGCGAGAGGGTGGGAGAACACTACACAGTAATACTTTCACCAGCCCGGCGAAAGCTGTCTCATGCTGACGCCATCTCATCTCAGCTCTAGGTTAACATTGTGTCGACGAAGACTCGACAACAGCCGCTCGATGTCTGGGCTGACTGAGCAGCACCGATGGCGTATGCGTACCATGTGCTATGACATTGGTATTTCGTGGTATCCTCCTTCACAGCTCCGGAAAATAGTGTTCGATGGCAAAGCGCGGCTCAGTGCCTCTTCCCACAGACTACTTGAGTTAGCTGAGAGCGGGAGTGTGCTCTAGTCTCAAGGTTGCTCATAATAGCCCTTGAGGCTGCTACGTCTAGATCCGGGTTACCTGACTAAGTGCGGCCAACACTAGTATTTCTATATACTGCCTTTTGCGTCGCCACATGCCCGCTACATTTTGGTCTAGCCTGAATGTGAGTACGTAGTGCGGATTTAAGGATTTCGCCGTCTGACGCCAGTGGGGAATCTTATTCAGCCAATTTGTCCTCTGTGATTGTAATCAGCGCACTCGTTGAGCGAAACTCGTAGAGACGGCGAACTCAAACCTCTGGTCAGCTGGCGCATTGAGGCGCAGGAAGGCCTGCGTTAAAGATGAAATGCAGTGAGTGCACACGCTACTTCGCAAGATACGCGCTAGGTATCGCCATCTCAATGCATTCACTCCAGGCTGGTGACTCTGCGCATCTCGCCATTCTGCGCTTCTGTTGCAATCACAGTCAAGTATATGAACTCAATTGGAACGTGGCCGACCCACACAAGGTGACGCCGCATACAAAGATAGTGAATTGGTGAAATCTCCTTCTAATCACATCATGTATGCAGATCGTTCACAATCGTGTAGTCTACCCCGAAACCGAAGCCTGTACGCGGCCAAAGATAGCTTCCACAGGCTTCCACACGCAGAATGTACGACCTTGATTGCTTGATCAATGACAGTAACACACAGGATGGCTGCCCGGGTCACAGAGTAGAGCGCCCACGCCACATTGTCCCCTAAAAAGAGAATTTATCGTCGCCCCCTGTCCCTCCGAACCGTCGCCGTGGATTGTGCATCTCTCAGCACATGGACCCCCTCTTCCCTGTGTCTCGCACTCCCTATCCACAAACCAGCTAGTATATACTAACTTTGGGCCCTCTCGAGCTCGGAGGCGCCTTCGGACATGCGATGTGCTACAGCAGACGGGTCTCAAAACGAATGGTGAGCCTCAAGAAGTCATTTGTCTCATCAATAGTTGCGCTATGGTATGTGTACAGAAGACTCAGACCAGGCTAATGGCAGAACAATGGTTCCAGTCGGTCTCTTGCACAGACTGACAGACAGACATCTGACTTCGATCAGTATTACAGTGCTGTGGGACTGTACGAGCAGCTGATCGAGCCGGTTTTCCAGACCTCTGTGAAGGTTCAGTAGTCCCCGAAGTATGCCTCTCCTAGACACACAGAGTACAGGCAGACGCAGGACGCTACCTCTGTACCCTGACAAACCGGAGTGGAAGCAATACTGGAGGGAGACGGACGAGGGTCATTGTTCGAGGGTGCACGCGCCACGGACAAAGGCGAGGTCTCCTTAACGGGTCCCATGATTATCGACGACCACACGTTAGGCGGCGCAATCAAAGCCTGGATCACTATGCTGGGTCTCACCGCCGACGACTCGGAGGCACAACCGTCGTCGATCGAGGAATGTGTGGATGCCGGCTTGGCTTCGGTAGGCCCAATTGGTGATACATGACTGTGCTTCGTGCTGACATTTTAATGTGACTTGACAGCCCATACTGGACAAGTACGAAGGCGACGACACCCGGAAGCGAAATTCATTCGTGGAACGATGGAACTCCATCATCGGGCGGTTCCAGTTCAGTGTCTGGACGAGGTCGAATGCAGCCTGGAAGCAGTACGTGGAAACCGAGGAGCGGGACGACAACGGACCGCCTGAGATACGTACACATCGTTGAACGATGTCTACAAGTCTCAGGCGGTCGTCAACGCCTACGCCGACTTCCACAGCGTGACAGACTCGTCAGGGCATGATCTGGACCTACCGTATCTCGTCAAGCTGGTGTGACGCGGGGCGATCAAACTTGCACGGCCGGTTCCGTGCTTTCAGGGCTAGTCTCGGCGTTAGGCTCCTCAGGGAGGTCCACCCGGTGGTGGAAACCTCACGCAGGCTCGCGAGGGATCGTGGAAGAAATTATTGAAGGCCAACCCGGACTCGTCAGGATGAGCCCGATCAAACGTCGCCGCGACCTTGATGCAAATGCTCGCACAACGTGAGCGACAAGGCGACCCACGTTTTCACCTACTCGTCCGAGTTCGTCATGGGATGATCACCATTCGATGTGCAAACTTTACGTCTACTGTGTTCTCCTTCCTGAAACCCGCCGGCGAATGACTGGGCCTTCGCGAGTTCTCCGGCAACTTACATCAGAGAGATCCCTCGTTATCGGTACGTATAAAACCGCAATCGACGTGAGGCGGGAGGTTAGTGCAGTCCCACAACCATCCCAGGATCTCGTTCACTCCCCGCTGTTCCGTTCTCAGACGATTTTGCGATGCAGAACGGGGATGCCATCTACAGTCTCTTCGACGACACCTGCAAACAAGTTGTATCATACTGGGACAGATACCGTTTACTCTACAAGAGGGGCCCCACTCAGGCCCAGTTATGTGAACATTTCGTGGTCACCCTTGCCGAGACGGCGTCATCGTGTTCGGAATTCGCATGGGGAACTGGCTCAGACAATCTCGGCTTCGTTAGTATCCTTTGGTCCAGGTCTTTCTCGCTCCTCCTTACATGCTGATGTTGATGTCAATGTATTCTATGTATTCTGTGCCACATTGCAGCGATTGACCCCTGATCAATGGTATCACTTTTGGCTTCTACGTTGGCCTGCGCACTTCTGCTTCCGCGGTGGGTTCACTAGTCACTGCCCGTTATATCGTTGGTGTGATGTCTGACAGGCAGAAGACAGTTCAAGTAGTGGAACAAGTGTCTGAGTCAGCGGGCGAATCTGTAGCACTCGGTTATGTGGATTGCTTAACGACGTAAGCACCATAATAATCTCTCTCCGTGCCGCGCTGGATTACTTGACTGGAAGAGGCGTTGAACTGACTATCTAGTCGTGAGTGCTTCCAGTGTTCGAGTGATTCGCATCATCTAATCCACAATACTTGACTAGTTGCGAGGGGTAATGAACACGCTTCTCAATGTGAGATAGTAAGAGAGAAGAGTCAATTTACTGTTAATTCTGGTTGGAAGTGCACAACAATGTAAGGGCCACGACCTCCTCCTCTGAACACAGCTAACATATACATTTATGTTTGCGTTTAGCTACCTTGTGTACGCCTACGATGCCGTCTACTGCCTCGACACCTCAAGCATCCAGTCCGAGGTTGATAGACAGACCAAGGACAATCTGCGGGGTTGGGAGTCCACGACACATCGCGACAAGTGCATGTATCTGTTCAACAAGTTCGCGAGACCTGGAGGAAAGGGTCTACGCCAGATCGTCGAACCGCTCATGTACTGAGACATGGCCTTCCGTGTCTGTTGGCGAGGAAGGGGGTCGTTCCGTACGATACTGTCACGTCTAGCACTATCACAGATATCTACTCTTATGTGATTTGAGTCTGCTTGGACCGGGGGAGCGATCCGATAAGTACAACTGTATCACGTCGTTCAGCGCACCATACACGTACTAGGCCGTGCCTCTGCTACCAAGGTACTCGGTGCAGCATACATGCACTGCAGCAGCACTCTGACCACCCCAAATAGAACCCTTCATTGAGTGTGACGGGTTTTCTCATGAGCCTGAGAGGTCTCTCCGTTACCTAGAAGCATGAGGTGTTCACTATCCGGTTGGCACATGAGGCCGAGATGGTCGTAACTGGGGCTCTACCCACGACGCCTGGAGAGTACGACGGCGAGTCAGCAACCCTCTAGGCAAAGGCTTAAGGCCAAGCACGACTCACCTTCATCTTTGTCTGCTCAACACCATCTTTATCTACCTCTCTCCTCACCGAACCCTCATCCACGCTCGGGCTGTTTACAAACCGCGCAACGTTCTCCAGCCTGTCCACATCAATCTCATAGCGAACGGCGAGCTTCTCGAGTTCCTCCCGCGTCGTGACAGACTTGCGCTCCTCGAGGAGCTCGTAGAGCGTGCCCGCGAGCATCCGGTTCCGCGTAGGCGTCAGCGAGCGCGCGTCCTCTTCAGACCGCTGCCGGGCTTGGAAGACGCGTTGCACCTGATCTGCTGCCTGCACTACTAGTCAGTAGTTGGCGGTAGGCTATATACGCGGATACGCACCGGCCTGACCGTCTGCATGTGGTGGTCGACCTTGACCGGCCCCAGCTTGCTCAACATCGCCGCGAACTGAGGGTCTCTCGCGTCCCGGTCAATGGCTTGCGCAACCGAGTTAGTCACATAGAGAACAGTTATAAATGTCTGAGCTACCTTCATCCTTCGTCTCGCTCGCGCGCGGTGGTGCAGATCTACTGGGACCCGCCGATGCGCCCGGGTCGTCCGGACGCGGTGTCCTTGCGCCAGCCCATGTCGGCGGTGGCTTGAGTGTCTTTGGGAACTGACGAACGGGCTTTGACGAGGCTCCGCCCATTCTGCAACTCGACGGCGAAGATTCGAAGTCGACTTGGAGGATGGTACAGTCCAAGTGTGCGCGGCAGTCAACAGGTCGAGTCCGAACCTTACGGAGCGCCCGTGCAATCCCAGTAGGGCCTGTTACAACAAGCGCCTCTCCAGCTTCTCACAGACACTCACCGCCAGGGCCCAGCTCGGAATCAGGACTATAGTGTTTGTGTCGCTGAAGGGTCAGAGTGTAAAAGCTGACTGTGTGAATAGCTGGCATAATAGGTGAGTCGATATGGGATTGACTAGTTGCGTACCAACCATCTAACTGGTGTCCAGTTCCTGTACAGTCTCGCTTGAGTCTCGCTCGAAATCGCTACGACACTATATAGCTGTTTCGCTTCGTGGCAACAAGCGAACTCACTGACAATCACGAAACCTTCAAGAGACTCTACTACCTCTGCAAATGAAAAACACTGAGGAAGCGAGGATATGGTATGACAGTAAGTCGTACGGTTCATGCATTCCGACCGAAACTGACTTCCATGTAATGCGCAGTCGCACGAAAGGGGTTTGCAATTCTTCCGCCCCTCATCGCTCCGGTGACCTTCGTCATCAACGCGCCGTTCGGGAGATTTTCGCTCAAGAAGGACAGCATATTCCTGGTGGACGGTGAGCAGTGAATCCGAGAGTCTGTGTCCGTGCTCAGCCAGCACTCCAGGGATCAAGGCATGGATAGCGATGGAGCTCGTCTTCCCGTTCACCTTTTCCTACATCTTCCTCAAAAGCCCGCTCTCGCCAGGCGCGCACCCGCCCCTCGCGCTCTCGCACCCGCCCGCGTTCCTCGCCGCGCTCCTCCTGCTGCACTACCTCAACCGCGCGCTCGTCTCGCCGCTGCGCACGCCCTCCCGCTCCAAGTCGCACTTCATCGTGCCCCTCTTCGCGCTCTGCTTCAACCTCACGAACGGCAGCCTCCTCGGCGCGTACCTCTCCTCGCCCGCCGCGCAAGCGTACCTCGCTGGCGCCTTCGCGCGCCCGGCGTTCTGGGCGGGCGTCGCCCTATGGGCTGCCGGCCTCGCGGGGAACATCCTCCACGACGAGGTCCTCCTCAACATCCGGCGCACCGCCAAGGCGAAGGGCAAGGCGCGCGCGTCGCCCCCGCCCGGGTCGCGCGACGCGCGCCGGAAGCAGGAGCACTACGCCATCCCGCACGGCTACCTCTACCGCCTCCTCTCGTACCCGAACTACTTCTGCGAGTGGTGCGAGTGGCTCGGGTTCGCGCTTGCGGCGGCCCCACCGCCGTCGCTCGCGTCGGGCGCGGACTTCCTCGCGACGGTCGCCCCGCCGTGGGTATTCCTGATGGCCGAGGTGTGCTTGATGCTCCCGAGGGCGTGGAAGGGCCACAAGTGGTACCACGCCCGTTTCCCGGACTATCCGAAGGAGCGCAAGGCGGTCATTCCGTTCTTGTTCTGAGTCTTGGGCTCTGGAGTTGAACGCGAACGGACTCGGATCTTTGAAATCACTTTGCTGTCTTTGCTATCGAGGCTGTTGGTCACGGATGTAAACTATTACCCTTGCTCGTCTTCGTATGATGCCTTGCATCCACTTGCTGTTCACTTAGCACACAGAGGTATACAAGCTTCCCGCGTTCATATCTCTCGAAATGACATGTGCGCAGGAAGCAAAAAGCCGACCCACAGCCCGCCGCCTCGGCCCCATCCATCGCTCGCCATCCAATAAGCCCATATACTAGTGGCTGCCATAGCGTACTTTCCGACCGATGTCGAAGGGGATGTACTTGTACTTGATCATATGTCTGCGAAAATGCCAGCTGAGCCACGAGGATAAATCGGGCGGACGCGGGGCGACTCACTGTATTTGCCTGCGCATGGTGAGCGCGAAGAGGACGAAGAAGTATATGACGAGGATCGGCCAGTAGACCGGCACGTCGAACGCCTCCGAGAACGTGCAGAACAGCGCGATCACCGTCGCGCGCGTCGAGGACAGCCTGTCGCCCGGAATTCCGTTGTATCACACTGACATGGAGCAGGCCCGGGAACACGCACCAGAACTGCCACTCTGGCAGCCGCCGCACGAACGGCCGGAACTCGTCGTCGCGCTGGGAGGGCAGCGACTCGCCCGAGTCCTCGCCACCCCCCTCGATCTCGTCCGCGAGCAGGTCGTCTTGTAGAGACGGGTCGAATTTTGGCTGCAGGAAGGCGAGGAGGAGGTTGAGAATGTATATTGCGTGTGCGTCTGTTCGCGGAGTGAGCGGGGCGCGCGAGGGCCTATCTCATAAGATGGACGTACAGCATACTGCAGAACAAGCAAGCCCATAGTTAGTGCCCGGACGTCGCTCTACCATCTCAATACAACGCACCAATATACCACTGGACACGAGCGCCACGCCCGCACTAAATCAGCGACGCCCTTCGCTGAACACGAACAGGCTACTCACCCCTTGAGAAAACACAATTCGCAGCAGAAATACCGAGAGAAGTCCTGCAGAACCGAGCCATCTGTAGAGGACGAACGGCGTGATGCGGTCGAGGAGCTGCTGGTACTGCCGCTGCGCGTCGTTGAGCTTCATCGAGACGTTCGCGACACCGGGGGTGCTTGGTTCGTTAGAGTTCATCATTGCGCTGCCGTGTGTTTCCTGTCACAGAAGACGGTGGGCGGGAAGGAGGAGGAGCTGGCAGGGGAAGAGAGTTGTACGCGGTCTGCCAAAGTGAAGCACTACAGGATTCGTGGCACTGCGCTGCCGCGGGGGGCGGAGTATGTAGGGTACGACCTCTTGCTTGCGGGATTCGAATACCGCTGTTTGATTTGTTCATTATCTTCGAGCTCCGATGTAGTCCAAACAAACTACTATCACTAATTGTATATGCTCACTTACTTACTTTCATTGACCGTACAGCCAACTTACTACTGAACACCTTTCTTCCCCTTCTTCGACCTCGACGTCGAAGTCTTGGGCACTATGTATCGCGACGACTGGCAATGTATATCGCTTCTCGGGCTCTAAGATTCTTCAGGATGAGTCTAACATCTACTGTATCCTTCATTTCCCGAGCGGGCTCCCTGTGTTGTCGGTGTACACATTCGGTGCGCATATACCATACACTGCCAGGCTCGCCCAGCAACGTGCAACATCGTGACTCATCCGACCCGCTCGATAATGTTCGGTGAGCAAAGCTAGCTCGCACCAAAAACAGCATACATCGCACGTCTCTCCTGGGCGACGGACGGTGGCACTGACAGTCATCTGAGCAGGCCTCGGCACGGGGGCGGAACGACGGAATCGACGACCCGGTTCTCTGCAGCCCTCTCACCTGGACGGCCAGTCTATATATGCTACCCGCGTCAATCGTCGTAGGCATCCGGAGTCGACAACGTTGATCTCTCACACCCACACGCGCCGTGCTAAGGATGTCAAATGTGCGTACAATCACCGCAGAGAGCTTGTAGCACTGACGGACAACAGCCAAGCAACGATTCGGAGCCGCCAGCGGTCGAGCTCATGCGACAGCATGTCCTCTCGCAGCTCACCCACTTCCGAGCACGCTTCGCCGACGGACAGAGGGTCCCACCATTGATGGTCGGGGTGCAAGGTCCTCAGGGGAGCGGAAAGACGTTCCTTACCATGCGCCTGCGTGATGCGCTCGCCGCCTCACCTCACTCCCTCTCTGTCTCGGTGCTCTCGATCGATGACCTCTATCTCCCGCACGCCGGCCTCACAGCCCTTGCTGCTGCGAATCCGGGTAACGGCCTCCTCCGCGGGCGCGGCCAGCCCGGCACGCATGACGTCCCGCTGGGCAGCGACATCCTCCACAAGCTGAAGCGAATCAACGGCGGCGCATACGGAGATGAAGTGGTGCTCCCGCGATTCGACAAGAGCCTCCACGGCGGAGAGGGCGATCGCGAGCCAGAGGGGACCACCGTCCGCGCCCCGCTCGACATCGTCATCTTCGAGGGTTGGTGTACTGGGTTCTACCCGGTAAGCGCAGACGAAATCGATCGGCGGTGGACGCGGCCCGTGCCCGACCTCGATGCGGACTTCCTCCGGCGGCGGGGCTTCAGGAAGGAGGACATCGCAGACGTGAATGAGCGCCTGCAGGCGTACATCGAGTGGTGGGATCACTTCGACGCCTTCATCCAGGTACGTCACGTCCGCGCACGTCTCTGTGGGGTGCCGCCGCCGACCCTCACGCCAGATCAAGCCGGAGACGGCGCACCCGTACTCGCACATATACAAGTGGCGCCTGCAGCAGGAGCATCACATGAAGGAGCTCAACGGCGGGCGGGGCATGGCGGACGAGCAGGTGGAAGCGTGAGTTGGTCTTCTCTCGGATGTGGGGGCATGCTCAGCGCGAGTCGATTGCTAGGTTCGTGGATCGCTACATCCCTGGCTACGTCTTCTTCGGGGACGGCATCACGGAGGGAGGCGTTGACGCCTTGGGAGTGCAAAGACGGCCGCCATGGTTAGGGCGTGGGCTCGCCGTGGAGATCAATGCAGATAGGGAGATCGTACGCTCAAGCACATTCTAGAGCGAGTCTGATCGTCTTCTCCGTCGTTGTGAGCAACGTCGCTGCAATCGAACTTGCTAGAGCGAAGTTATGTGTGGTGGGACCGCTCTCGCTGTGATCTGCAACAAATCCTGAAACATTGCACTCCGTAGTATCGTACATAATCACACGATCCATCTTCGACAAACGCGATACCGTCACGTCCACTGGTACTGGTGTGGGTTGAGGATCTGATGCAAACCCTTCGCCCAGGGTCGTGCATGCTTGGTGAACATGTGCATGCACTTGTCGCGGTGTGTCAAATTTAAAGCCTCCCAGCCCTGCTTATCTCGTTTGCTCTGCTCGTTAATCTCGGCCTGGATGGTGTCGATGGCGTCGAGGAAGTAGATGGCATCGTGGGCGTACACGAGATAGCTGCAAGGATACGAGGTTGCATAAGCCGTACATCACGGGAGGTATATATGGTACGTGCATCATCTTCCCGTCCGCTACGGCTTCCGGAACTGTACAGAACGTTCACAAATCGCTCACTGCGGATTCGAACGAGCAGGGAAGATACTTACGGCTAGGAATGTCAACTGTTCAGGGTCGTCAAGTGGTAATTCCGTTAGGACTTACCTCGATATGCAATCAACAAATCCTGACGTCGAGTACTGTCCCGAAACCGGTTGCGTCGTCTGGACTGTACCCGTCTAGACGTCAGGCCGAGATATCCGCATAACGTCAAGGAACCCACCTTGAAAGCATATAACATGTACCAATCCTGGAGTCGTCCATCTCAAAATGATATCATGCCAGCGGTCTCCGTTGTCCGAGTCGCGATCGACCCAGGGCTATATTACCACAGACACGCACTGTCGTCAGTAAACCAGCAGTTGCTTTATCAGAGTTACGGACCAGAATGAAGTGTCTCCAATCGATTCCTAGCCGCGACAGAGCCACCTGGACTAGTGTGACCGCGAATTGCTCACGAAGCTGTGTTGGCGTGGGGCTTTTCTGGTAGAGCATCTTGTGCGTGTCCCAGTGGGATACGACTTGCTTGCATGTCTCATCCAGCAGACCGTAAAACTCATTGGGCGCCAACGTCCGCATCGTTGACGTTGTAATGACGACGGAAAAGCGAGAGATAGATTGTAGCAAGGTGCTGCTCAACGCGTTCAGGGAATTCGCAGACCGGCAGCCTCACATCGATTGCCATTTTATACGTGCTGATAACGCGGAGTGTCTCCGACATAAACTTGAGGAGGTTACCGAAGAAGCTGCGACTCTCCGGAAGCATGTGCGTACGAATCTTTCCATCCGGCCGGCAGTGTCTTCCATTGGATAAACGTGACGTTCCAGGTGCAAGGGATTGATACCTGCCAGTATAGAACAACTCAGCGGGTGGAGTTGGGTCTTCAGTAGCTTCAGTCTGATAGGGGGAGCGACAGAGTCGGTCGTGTCACTGATGCTATCACAGCTCAGCAAGAGAAAGAACGAGCGGGAGAGCACGGTGGCGTACGATGATGTCCTAATATGCGGTATTTCTTGAAGGATGCGCTCACGTTGCCGACGTTGAGGGAGGGCTTGCATCAAGGTCGCGGAGATGTTTAATCCTGACGTTCGGGTGGGCCTTCAAGAATTCCTTCCACACCAATCTCCCTGGAATTACACCCTGCGGGACCGCCAGTTCAATGTAGATAGGGGTATGGGAGACAGGGTGAATATGAGAAGTGTTGCGAAGGGTAGACTCCGCGGCGACTGCGAGGGACGAGGAGGTGGTGGTGGCGCGCGGCGTTCAAGTTGGCGAACGACGATGAATTGCCTTTTTAGGCGACAGCGTGGCTGGGCGCTCTACCCCCGGAGAAGCCATCGGCGTTGTACACTGGACCAACATTCTGCGTGTGCAAGCTGGGTTCCAGACTCGAAGGCAAGTATGAGTATCACTATGTCATAGAAAAGCATCGACAAGGAGTCATCGTGGACGCTCATCCCTGAGCCCTGGCACCAATACTTGATACCCGACGTATACTTAGGCCCGTACAGTCACCTCGCGAGTCTCGACGGCGGGCGAACAACTGCCAGTGTAGGATCAGAATGCTCAGGTCTTGAGGCTGTTCCCCGCCCTTTTTCATGACAATGCTCTGCAGATTGCGTCTAGGCCAGACGACTCATCTCGTTGACTAGCAAGTTGGTCGGACGACTTTGACGCCGGCGGAGGATTTCCTTTGTTAACTGGCAAAAGTCCTCTCGTGACGGTGAATGAGACATCGAATGGCAGGATCCTTTATCTGTCACGCAATTCGTAGAAGTCTGAGCCGTGCTGTCGTCGTCTTCAAACCTTTGAAACGGCGCTTTCCCTGTCGCAAGAGCTGCGAGTCTGACCAGCGAACAGGCGACACTTCCCCGCTATCCCTATTCAAGTTGTGTTGAACCAGGAGACTTCTGGGCATGTCATGGCAGCCTCGCTACGACTCATAACCTCTATCAACCGGTATACGTGTCAAGAATGAACGAACGTACTGAACAGGGACAACACCAACGTGAATGCGCATATCAGCGGACTTGAGTGCCTAGATATGCTTGGTCGCGTGCACCGGATTCGAAGGTGGATCTGTTGCAGCATATTACTAACAATGATGTTTCCGCGATCCTTGAGTAGATTCCATGATTGTGAGCGACCTGCATGCATGATGAGTCATTCTACAGGAAGGCTTACCAATTCACCAACTTCACATATGACGTTGAGTCCACGCCCTTGACTGCAACTGCAACAGAAGCGCAGAATGGTGAGCCTGAATGCACAGAGTCACCAGCTGAGGGAGTGAATGCATTGAGGTGACCGTGACGGTACCTAGCGCGTATCTTGCGAGATACCGAGTGCATGTCAGAAGTTCAACGCAGACCTTCACTGCGCGCACTGACCAGAGGTTGGAGTTCGCCGTCCATACGAGTTTCACTCACTGGCGACCAGTGCGCTGACTAAAGTGACAGAGGACAAATTGGCTGAATAAGATTCCCCATCAGATGGCGATCGCCAGTGGTTATTTCACACTGTGTGCTCACCTTCAGGCTAGGCCAAAATGAGCGGGCATGTCGCTGCGAGAGAGGCAGTAGGAAATCTAGCGTCGGCCGCACCTGGTCAGATAACCTGGATCTAAACGTAGCAACTTAAGGGCTATGAGCAGCCTTGAGTATCGCTCCCAGCTAAGTAGTCTGTGGATAGAGGCACGGAGCCATTCTTACCTTGTTACTATCAAACACCATTATTCGGAGCGCCTGGGGCGAAGAATACCACGAAACCCATGGTGTCCGGTATGCATCATGACACTGGGAGGGAGGGGCAAGGGCTTCGATCAAGAGGGGTGCGGCATTTGGCAATGGCTTCGCCTCCTCGATACGCCATCGATGCTGCTTGGTCAGCCCAGACTTCGAGCAGCTGCGTCACTGCGGTCGACTCTCCATCAACCTTAGTATGTCGACACAGCCTAGGGCTGAGATGAGATGGCGTCAGCATGAGGATCGCTTTGGCCGGGGCCGGAGTATTATTGTGTAGATCTGTTCTCCCTCCCAACCTCTCGCTCGCTCTATATATGACCCAGCGTGAATTCCGTTTCCTCACGGCCCCACTATCACTTTACCACCAACCGTTACACATAGGACACACCAACGATGTCGCAGCAGAAAGTGGTTCACCTGCTGTCCAAGCACGGGCCATTCGCAGTCGCGTCAGCCCCCGTGCCCAAGCCTGGTCCGGGAGAAGTTCTCATCAAGGTCCAGTCGACGGCACTTAACCCCGTCGACTGGAAGATCCCAGCATGGGGCATCTTCATCGAGCACTTCCCCGCAATCCTCGGTGGTGACGCCGCAGGCAACGTCGAGGAGGTGGGCGAGGGCGTCACAAACCTCAAGAAGGGAGACCGAGTGTGCGCAGTTCTCTTTGATATCACTTCCTTGCTCACTTGAACTAACCACTCGTCTGCAGGCTGACAAACGGTCTGTAAATGAGCATTCAACCTTCCAGCAATACAAGCTCGGATACGCCAATGCGACTGGAAAGGTGCAGAGCCTCACGACGAACAGTGGATTGTGCTCACCAATTGGCCCACAGATTCCGGACAACCTCTCTTTCGACCAAGCTGCAACGATCCCGCTCGGCTTGGCGACCGCAGCCATAGGACTGTTTCACGAGGGAGCAGTTACCGGTAGCGTAGGCCTCTTCCCGCCTTGGGAAGACGGCGGACGCGCGTTGTACGCTGGAGAGCCTATAGTCGTCGTCGGCGGTGCTAGTTCCGTCGGCCAATACGGTACGAAGATTGAACATGCCCTCACTCGCTTGCTTCTAACACTCTTCCAGTCATCCAGCTCGCGAAACTCGCTGGCTTCCGCCCCATCATCGCGACGGCTTCCCTCCACAACGCTGAGTATCTGAAGAACCTGGGCGCGACGCACGTCCTCGATCGTAACCTCCCGGATGCCACCCTGATCGCGGAGGTCAAGAAGATCACTTTGGCACCTATCAGGGTTGTGTTCGACGCCATCTCCGAGTCCGAGACGCAGAACGTCGCCTATGCAATCGTCGCTTCCGGCGGGACGCTCGTCCTCGTCTTGCCCAGCGCTATAGAGAACAAGACGGACGATAAGCGAATTGTCTATCCATACGGGAACACGAACGTCCCGGGAAACCGAAGGCTAGGGGCGAGTCTGTATTCGAAGATAACCGTTCTGCTGGAAGAGGGTGTGGTCAAGGTGGGTGTTGCCAAGCGATTGCGACGTGCTGTATTCAGTGCTGCCGACTTACCTTCCCGCAGCCGAACCCCGTGGAGGTGCTGCCGAACGGGTTAGAGGGTATTATTGCTGGACTAGAGAAGCTCAAGCAGGGGGTCAGCAACGTGAAGCTCGTCGGGCATCCGCAGGAGACGGTGTAATTCGAAGTCGTCAATGTGCTGTACTAATAGTAGTTACATAGCGAATCTGTAGCGATACGATCAAGATCAATTCCGACTTACGTAAGCATAGTGGCTCAGCCACTTTGGAAACCGTGGCTTGAACGTTGACAACGTTGAACGTTTGAACATTGAACATCGCCTCGATCCTCACCTTCATTCCTCAAAAAATATCCTCCAGATATATCGCACTTGTGGCTTGAAGTCGCAAGAAGATTCCCACTTTGATGTCCAGTGCGCTTGAAGTCTCAAGATTCCGAGTCACTGGTAAGTTTAAGTCTCACCTGGCAGTCGCCGTGACGATTATCATTCACCTACTACCTGACGCTGTTGACAACACCTTTGGTCGAGCAGGCTCCATCGCATGTGTTGTAGGCATGGCTGATTGAACACTGGACAGCGACATGCCACCTCAACATACCAGTATCGGCTCGTGTGCGACCGCCCGGACATGTGCATGTCTCTGCAATTCAATGCGCTTTCTGCCTACGCCGGACTCGTTCAGGAGGGGAAGATACTCGACCAAAACATCACCGATTCATCGTTTTTACCGCACCAATGAGCTGTGATGCGAGGATTTTCCCGTACTTCAGTAGGTTTGAAACTCGAACGACATCATGGGTGGTGGCGCGACTGGCTCGCAGAAGCCATGCGTCGAAACATCTGGTACGCCTGAGCCTCAATGTGTGCTTCATCCGGCTTAACAAACGAACTTATCAGCACAGTCGCTGACGGCAGTCCCATGATCCGCACTGATTGTGCGTACGTGAACATTCTGCTTGCCTTCAATCAACCGGATGTGCAGTCGTCACGCAGTCGTTGAGCAGGGCGTGCTGCGGACTCGGATCGTCGCGCAGCCAACCGCCTGTATATTGCTAGTATACTACCCCATCTTCGTCGCCAACTCGCCAATGCCGCAACACATCGCAGCGTGGAACGCGTAGCGCACGGCATAGTCGACGCAACGCTTCCTGGTTAATTAGTCACACAGCTAGTTGCGGAAGGAAGAAACGAAGCTCTGGAGAGTGTATACCAGTGAGTAGCCAGCGCAGACGTGCGTGGAATAATAACAAGATGCAGATCATTGCAGGCACGAACCATGAATGGAGCGGAAAACGGACTGTTGGATGCTAGCAGGCTAATCAACGTATCACCGTCTATAGACTCGCTCGCAAGCCGGGTCCGTCGCTCCTCGTCAAGCTGTCCGCCTTCTTCATGTCCGCCATCAGGTCGAGTGCCTTCGGCGCCTCAATGGAAATAGCGTCAAGGATCTCCACGGTCGGTATGTAACCCTTCTCAAACGTCTCTGGTGAATATATTCTTCGACACCGCCCAGTCGGCAACGAGCCACGCGTCGCTCTCCTTCCACTCGATAGCAGAAGTTACGAGCTTGTCGACAAGCCGCCATCGGTGCTCTGAAGGGAGCTCGATGATGTACACCTCAGGACCACGACTGCCTGAAGACCTCTTTCGAGTCTTCACCAACGCGGGTCTTTGCCTGCGGTAGACTCTTCGCCGTCCGAGTGGCCAGCCTCCGACTGTGCCAGCGTTGAGTCCGTCCGAGCCCCGTCGGGCTTAGACATGCATTGTGGAAGAAAAAGATTGAGGTTCCTACGCTGTAACGGAGCCTCAGGTGCACCAGCGGAGCCCAAGTCGACACCTGCAGCCTCTGCAGCGAGCTCGGGGTTCTTCATCAACTTCGAGGACAAATCTGAGACCCGTGACAACGACGAGGATTCGCGCTTGCGCTTGTCCTTTGCAAACACGCCCGTAGGACCAAAGGACATCGAGTTGGTTTCGCTGATCTTGCCGAAGTTAGACAAGCCACCCGCCTTTGGAGACAGACGGAGAGGCGCATTGCCAGCAATGGCCCAGCCGTCAGGACCTTGCATCATTTCACCAGGGTCACTGCCACGCTTGGAGCCACCGCGCAACATGCTAAGTGTACGCTGGTAGTCTTTCTGGTTTGCGGCGGTCTCCTTCGCAGCTTGCGCATGGACAGCAGCAATCGTGGTGGGAGCGGCAGCCAGGTTACGCGGTACCCACTTGCGTTCGCGGAACTCAAGAAGGTCCTATAAGAAATGTTAGGCGCAAGCAATGGAACTGACTCAGGAAATACGCACGAGAAGCATAAACTGCATACGTGGCTTAACGTTCGGATCCTTTGTCAACTCCTTCATACGCGCAAAGTAGACATCCATGTGCGCACGGGCCTTCGGCGTGTCAAGTGATTGTCCAACGGTAGTGAGGTGCATGCACAGACTCTCGATCTCCTCCTCCTCGGATTCTCAACATTACCCAGGAGCTTTTGACACATTCATGCATGATACGCTCCGTGAGCATCTGGAGCTTGAACAGCTCACCGATGAACTTGATAAGACCGAGACCTTGCCGCTTAGCCTTCTGCGCAGCATAGTATTCTTCTGAATACAGTGCAGTCTCGCCATCCTCGTCCTTGTCAGCGGCGTCCCTGGCTGCCCGGTCCGCGGTGGCCTTGTGGCTGCGGCCGCGGCAGTGCTTTCCTTCGCAGCCCATCCGTGCTCGAAGTCTTCCTGGCACCCGTTGAGGAGATATTTACGGAAGAGCTGACCACCCGCAATGGGTTTACCCTCTGCGTTCTTGATACCCTCGTCCTGAACCTTCGGGCTAATCTGCTCCATCATCTTGCGGCACAACCGCGCGTACATCTCCGACCACCTTGCCTCATCTGTTGCATTCCCTAACACGAGCCGGATAACCTGGATGAGCGTCCGCCCATCGTGCTCGTATTCTGACTTATTCGCCCATGCGATGATTTGGTCAGAGATCGAGTCAAAGCGCTCCATCGTAAGCTTGTTGAGCAGCGCGCGGACCTTACGATCGACGACGTCCGGCGAGTCTGGTTCGACCTGCTGCGGCTTCTTGCTATGGCTCGTAGGTTGCCAACGATTTGTGGAGTGCTCGAGCGGCGCCACCGGCTCGAGAGACATCATACCAGGCTGCGAGAGCGACAAACTACCAAAGGACGGATCCGGACCACCCTTGTTCGCCTCTCCACGGTCGACATCCCGCTTGCTCCTGGTACGCTTGCTGACAATCGCGCTGGACCGTCTTGACTGGACGAGCGGACCATGGGAGATGGTCGTGCGCCGAACTGCGTGCCAACGCCCGGAGGACCACCGGCCATCGAGGCTGGAAGGCCCATGCTCGCCTCCTTGAAACAGTCCTCGCTGGTCTTTATGCCCGGCGTCGCGAACTTGCCCATGGTGAAGCTGCCAGTCGGACCATTGAGATTTGGAAGACCAAGGCCCTGCAGCTGGCGCGCAAAGTTCGGAGGCGGCGGGCCCATGGCGGACGACGAGTGCCGTTGCGAACCACCGCGACTCACCGGAACACCAGCGGATTGTTCAGAGGGCTCGAGACCGATGGCATCGAGTGACAGGAGGTTGTCAGGCTTATCCTGGCAGATCTCCATGAACTGCATGAGGAATTCGCGGTCGTATCTGAGACCCAGGATCAGTGATGCGTAGATGCGTGCTGCAGGAGAGGGCTCTTACCTGAACTTGCCACGCTTGGCGTTCACGTTGAGCTCGACCTCGGGGCTCTTGATTCCTTCGGGTACGATATGCTGCCAAGATCTTCGATAATACGTGCGGTAGCCATGGCGGAAGGCATCGAAGCTGTAGTGGAATCTGGTACGCAGTCAGCGTCGCGCCCGCTGGCGAATATGGCCGTACCTTGCATTTGGGGTGATGCTGGAAGCGAGATCGCTGAGCCAGACCAACAGACTAGCGTTACAGAGTAGACCGTCCGAGAAAATCAATGGGGCCACGGATGGATGAGACTGAGTGTGTGCCGGGCTGGGGCGTCGTCGCCATGCCCTTGAAGTACGATAGGCGGGCGCATGGCAGAAGTGAACCTTATAACCTGCAGGCAGTCATGGGATAGCCCAGAGTTGGCCCAGGGCGAAGGGTAACTGAGGCTTCTAAACTCGAGCTGACCAGCTGGCAGTCGAGCACCCAACGAGCAAAACCCCGGGCCGAATCGTTCGTCCTACGCGTCTTTGAAATTCGGTGCGGTTTGGTCTGCACATGAGTGACAGACCGATGTTGTACTTAGATAAAAGATGAAGATTGAACATACAGGCATGGCTCACATCAGTTAGCAACGTTCATAGGCTCGTGTCAGGCTTCGTACTGAGTCTCGCTGAAGACCTCAACCCCGCGCCCTTCTTCATCATCGACATCATGTTGAACGCTCTCCAGGCACACGCTGCAATGTCATCAAGAACCTCAGCGGTGGGGTTGAAGCCTTTCTCGAGGGATTCCCGCGAGCAGAGATTCTTCGACACTGCCCGGGAGAGGAAGTCGGCGACGAGCTGTGCATCGGCGTCATTCGACTCAAAAGCGGAGGCAACAAGCTTGTCGACCAATAACCATCGGTGCTCCGAAGGAAGCTTGCCGAAGTACACCTCAGCCTCGTCCAAGTCGCGGGTGCTGAAGAACTCCCGCGAGTCTTCACTAACCTGACTCTTCGCCTCATCCTCGGTCATCGGGGGCACGGAATAGTCTTCATCATCCGAGTAAACAGCATCCGACTGGGCCGGCGTCGAAGCTGTCTCATGTTCGTTGGGCTCGGGAGCGGTTCGCTGAAGTGGATCGAGCTCCCTACGCCGCCATGGATCTCTGGAAGTGCTCACGGAGTCGAAGTCGATGCTAGCTTTGCGCACTGGTCGAATGCTCGACTGCGCCGCCTCAGGCTCCGCCGAGCGCTCCGGATTCTTCATCAGCTGGGAGAACATATTCGGGTCTCGTGCTGACGTGGGACCCCCTTTGCTCCTGTCCTTCGCAAAGACACCTGAGGGCCCGGAGGTCATGTAATTGGTTTTGCTGCCCTTGCCAAAGTGAGACAGGTCACTCGTGTTTAAGCCACCATTCGATACTTTGAATGGAGGCAAAACTTCTGTAAGCTTGCAACGGTCGTTGTTGTATACTGCGCGCCGACCTGAGCCCAAGCGGGGATCGAGCAAGGCGCTGCGTCCTGGTCGCGGGACGCCCACCCGCGAGCGCGCAGCTCAATGATGTTCTGTACGATGATCAGCCGCCAGAGCCATGCTAGTCTAGACGTAGAAAGCTTTACCTGCAGCATGGCTTGCATACGAGGTTTACATTTGAGTTGTTCGCCCACCCTGTTAGATGCGTGAAGTAGACATCCACCTGTGCGCGGGCCTCCGGCGTGTCGAGCTGCTGACCGACGGTGGTCAGGACCTCGCATAGACATTCAATTCCTCCTCCTCCGGGTCTCGACATTCGTCAGCAGCTTCTTGACGCACTCGTGCATTACGTGCTCCGTCACTATCCACACTCTGAACAACTCGCCAATGAACTTGCTGAGACCGAGAGCCCGTCGTTTTGCATCATGCAAAGCTCCCCAGGATCGTCATCTTCAGTTACTGCGGCTGCGCTCTCCCTCGTAGCCATTCGCGCTCGAAGTCCTCTTGACACTGGTTGAGGAGGTACCAGCGGAAGAGCTGGCCACCGGTGGCGGACATGCCCTCCTCACCCCGACCTCGTCACCGTGACGGACGTTTAGACTGAGCTGGTCCATCATCCTCCGGCATAGACGGGCATACAACTCCGACAACGTAGGTTCGTCCACCGCTGTCTTGAGCACTGAACGTGTGATGTCGACGAGCGTCCGCTCGTCCTCTGATTCATTCATCTGCATGATGATCTGGTTTGAGACCGAATCAAACGTCTCCTCGGTGAGCTCGGTGAGCTCGGTGAGCAATGCGGGGGCCATACGGCCAACGCCATCCGGCGAATGGGTCGGTGAACTCGCCGTATCCAATGAAGACAGAGGCCGTGGGACAGGGCGATTGCCAGCGGGGGAAAGAGCAAGAGGGCGAGAAGGCGACTTCGGCGCATCCCCCGCCACTGCAACTTTGTCTGGCCTCACCTCCTTGTTATTATGCTTGTTCCCTGTCTCCTGTTCGATCTTCGGCTCTAGTCGCACCCACTCCAGTTGTTTAATCAGCCTCTCGAGTTCGCGTTGCGCTTGGTATGACGTCTGGTCTCCCGACAAGCTCTTAGTGCGAACCCCCTTATTCCATGACTTGACGCCCGAGGGTGACACAGTGGGCGACAACGGACCAGTCGTGCGCCCCATGCGCTCGTCGAGATGCACCTGCCTTCCATCCGTCGACGACATCATCACCTTCGAGGTGCGCGGCTGAATTGAAGGACGATACAAGCGGCTGGCAGACTGTTCTGGCGCGAACGCAGGCGAAATGGGTGCCGGTGAGGACGGGAAGGACGGAGATGGACGCGTGTGGGGCGATGGCGTAGTATACGCCGAGCGGTGCCCCGTACTCAGAATAGCGCTGGTGACAATGGTGGGCGAGATGCATTCACTCGGGGCGAATTGGGTAGCATCGGCGTGCTAGACTCGGGCGTACCAGGCAGACCTGGGGCTTCACAGCGGACCCGCTGACGGTGTTCGACATGCCAGGGTTCGGCGTGCCGGACACAGACGCAACGCTGCTCGGATCTTGGAACAGCCTTTTGACATCGAACTTTTGATGGGTCGCGCCAGTGAGAACGCGCGGATGAGACGCGTCCAGTGGGAGCAGATTGCCGCGGGGTAGCATCGGTGTGCCAGACTGGGGCATACTGTGCAGGCCCTGCGGTTTCACGGCGGACCTGCTGACAATCTTTGGCTGCATCGACGGTAAAGGGGGCATGTATTGCTCAAGCGACATGCCAGGTTTTGGTGCACTGGCGCCGGGTACGGATGGAACACTGCTCGGATCTTGGAATAGCCTTTTAGCATCGAACTTCTCAGCCCGAGGCTGATGATTCGTGCCAGTCACGAGAGGTTGCGTAGACGAGTTGCGTGTCCCCTTCCACATGGATGGGGTGGTCCCATGTCTGACCGCCGGAGCCGACGGTAAACGCAACGCGGTTGTAGCGGAGAACTCGTTGAGCGAGCCGAAGTTAAAGCAGAGGCTGGTACCATATCAATACCGCCGCAGGAAACGACAGAGGCCATCGTACCTGGTTTCGCTATGTCCATTGAGTTTCGTACTCCTGCTATGCCATCCTTCAAAGCGACGCTCTGGCCGACTGTGCTCGGTTTTCCGTAGCGGGCCGATGACTGCGATGTCGACGATGCGGAACGTGATGGAAAGGCTGAGTGCTGTGGATTCATTGTGCAATGCACTTCGTGTGATTCTTCAAGAGGAACTGGCGATCAGATTTCTGGCCAGAATATGTATGAGATATCAATCTGTCAGGGAGGGGCACTTACAGTGATAGCCGGGCTATGTACGACCCAAAACCTATGGTGCCTTCGCTCGGGGACTGGACTCGAGCGACGCTCTGGCAAAAGACGGGAGACTAGTTATGGCGCACACCCAAGAGTAGGATGGCAGCCAGAATTTGGTGGCTCCTAAGAGAGGCCAGACAGGGTCAACATCACTGGGCCACATCCTGAAATTTACGGACTGACCTTTCGGTGGTATTATCGTATGGGTGGGTGGCAATGGAGATGGAACGATGCACGCAGTGCTGGAGCTTGAATATAAGCTCTGCGCACGTCTTTGACGCTCTAACAGCAACGTGCCGGAAGTAAACCTTAACACCTGCATGCATGACCACGGAACATCAAGACGATGTTTCTCCACGTCCCTGAGCAGACTGGGCAATTCAAATTCCACCGAACAGAACCTGAAGCTCTGGAGTACACCCTGTAATATTGGAGTACGAGCACGGTCAAGATTTGCATCTTGCACAGGTCTAATGACGCTCGATTTGACTATGTCGCGCGAAGTCCACGATGTATGTATGAAGCCATGCCTCAAGGCTTCATGCTCAAGCATCGCCGTCAAGTAGAGTTCGTGGCAACTGCCCTGGGACACGAGGGACACCTCCAGGATTGCGGGTGGGGATGGCCAGCGTCCGAACCTTGCATGTTCTACGAGGATCATTTGAACTAGACATTAAAGCCTGGAATGCGTGAAGATGAGAACCATGGCATGCATCCAAGACAGTGGTTACTTACCGAGTTGTGCTCGAACATCAGAACAAAGCATGCCAGTTTACATTAGCACGCCGATATGGCAAGACCATCTCCTCAAGTGTCACTGTATCGACTAAGTAGCCTCAATCCAAGACCGAGAAAGCAGTGCTGACGTGGGCTGTCTTGTCGCAATACTTCAGAAAGGTGTGGCAGGAAGCGGTATGAACTCTGATGAATCAGAGAGCATCATTTGCGCGTTGACTTCTCAGCTTGCGTAAAGGGCACCATCAAATGATACAACAACAAAAGGTTAACCTGGCCCCTTGAACTGTGCACAGTCAGGATCCCAAAAGATAACAATACTTCGACACTCACCAGTGCGTACAGTACTACTGCGGCATCAATATACACCCTGCACAGGTAGTCCCTCGACCCTACTGCTGAACACAACACCGCCCTTGATCACAGCGAGTAAGTGGTCTTCCGGATAGTCGAGGATGCGGACGTCCTCAAGAGGGTTCGCGTCGAGGATGAGCATGTCGGCGTAGCTCCCCGGGGACACGGTGCCCAGTCTGGAGTCCCGCAGCAGTTTCGCTGTGAAACCAGTGTTAGCTGGAACGTGGTCCTACTAGAGTCATCATAGGAGACGACGTACAGGCGTTGGTCGTGGCGTGCTGAAGGACTTTGGCTGCAGGAAGCGCAGCCGCACGAACTGTGAACTAATTGTCCATGTGGTATGAGCATAGATCGCAGACGCAGCCCCCATCCTTCGAACGAACCTCTTCTGTCTGCAGTGCCTGTAAGTTGTTGAGCAGGTCTGAGCCACTACAAAAGGGGAAAGTCAATGATTAGACTCCTTGTGCTCTACATCGAACAGATTAGGCGTACTAGCAGATCACAACGCCCGCCTTGTCTGCGACTTTCAAGGCATCCAGCCCTTTCGCCATGACCTGCTCGTTCTTGGCTTTCCCCTCCGGAGGAAGGTAGTCTTCAAACGGCGGACGAACCATGATGCCGTAGCAGGACAGTGTCGGCGTCAGGAAGATTCCTTTCTCGGCCATCCTATAAGATATCAGTGAGCATCGGAGACTTGCGCAGGAGCCTGTGCGTCGAGCACGACTTGCATTTGAGCAGTGCTTTCACTGATGAGATTCCCGTGCTCGATCGCGGTGACTCCGTTGTTGATTGCGTGAAGGACCGCCGTATCGGTGTACGCGTGCGCCGTTGCTGCATGACGTTAACACGCTTCTCATGATCAGAGCCCGGACACGCACTCAATTTTTTCCCATCTGCTTGCAAGTGGTGGTGATCGCTCGTAATTCCTCAGCGGTGAACTGTACAGTCTCAATGGCATCCTACCACAGAGGACGTATCAATGCAAGGAGCGACGAACGTGTAGCCTGATGAAGGAAGGAGAGCACTCACCGTCGGAGACGCGACGCCGCCGCCGCAATGGATTTTGATGAAGTCAGCGCCACCTCTGAGTTCTTCGCGCACGGCCTTGAGTACGTCGGGTACGCCGTCGCAGACGCGGCCAATCATGTGTCCATGTCCGCCTCCACAGCATGTGCTGCCGATGTCGCCATGTCCGCCTACAGGAGCACAATAAAGAGATCGAATTGAGCTGCACCAGCAAAAGACGTACCTGTCTGCGAGAGCCCTCGTCCGCACTGGACAACCCTGGGTCCGACGATTAGACCTTCGGAGACGGCATCTGCTAATGTCTTCGTGGCACCGCCTAAGCGACAGTCGTTAAACCAGTCCAGACATGAAAAGGGAAAGACATACCTGTATCCCTCACGGTGGTGAAGCCACGTAATAACATCTCTGCAATCACATTGACGTTAGCAAAGGGCCGAGCGTCTGCGCAGGGCGCTGACCTCGCAAGGCGTACGTGGACCGGAACCAGACAGCTTCCTGCCGTTCTCTAGCCAATTCAGCTAGTGACTTCGATCCAGGCGTTGCTGTGATGTGGACGTGACAATCCACCAATCCCCTGCGCCGTGGTGAGTGCACGTCATCCTAGCCTTAGGTTCGCATTACGCACGGGCAGACAAATTTCCCCGCGAGGTCAACCTCGATAGGAGGAACAGTCTCCTCCTCCTGACTGAATTCATAGGCGTACTCGTCAGGAACGACGGCAGAGACATGACCATCCTTGGTGACTACGGTGTGCAAGCCAGGCAAGAGGGTCGACGTTGCTGGGTCAACAACCTTGGCATTCTTCAGGATGAGCCACGGGGCGGGGGATGTTCTAATCCACGGCTTGGATGCCGCCAGCTTGGGTAGACTATCACCAGAGTGTATGGTTAGAACAACCGCATAATGAGACAACTACTCAACACTTACTAGCGCTCCCTCGTTCTCTCCGGTGAGCCAGGATACTTGTCTCCGTGCGACATTGTGGTTGCACACTGAGATTTCAGAGGGTCAGAGTCAAGGCTTTGAATAGAGAGATGAGGTCGGAGGACCTGAACGTTGAACTCTTATCGCGGCCCACTCTCTCAGGCCGACGATAATACGGCGGCAGCTTTAAGAGGTGCCGTGCACATCAGCTTGTCTCACTGACCTCCTACGCTCATGTTGGCTCGTGGGGAATGCTGTTTTGTCAGAGCCAGGTATGCGCGACCTATGCAACTGAGTTGTTATTGTGAAGAGTGGTTTCGATTGAATGATGGTTGACTTGGACAAGCCACCTCTCAAATTCAAGCGCCGAGCGGTTGGTCCGACTGCGAGCCCAGAATGGCAACTCTTGTAGTTCGAGTGTATCCCTGCCTATCCCTGCATTACAGATAAACGTTGAAACGTTGAACGTTGAACGTTGAACCCCGACGTGTATCTCAAAGGTGTCCTCAACGTGCGAACAGGGTCATCGGCGTTGCGTCGAATAAACCGCCGTTCTGAACGCGAAAGTATGCCTAAGGACAGCCTAGAGCAGCAGGAGATCTTAGGCAAGTATCGCGGAGACTACAGTCGGTGCAGTCCAAGATGCCACTGGAACAAGAACGACAAATATCACACTAGCATACAGTGACGCAGACAAAGGCTGACCACAGAATCGCAGCAGGGTATACACCGCATATCGTGAATCGAATCAGCCCGACTGGACGTACTCATTCAAGGTCACACCAGTGGAAAAGGCTCGGCATGCAATGTATCTTTGGAGCGCCTAGAAAGGTGGAATTGGCGGAGGGCAGATACGCCAAGCGATGTAAGTACAACAAAGCGCGTGACCAGACTGTACTGCCCAACTTGGATACAGAATAACATGGTACGCGCTTCATAATCGCGAAGTTGGACCTTCCTGTGTGGCTAGCCACGCCAAGTGTCCGATGAGCGGGAACACGGATGCGTATAAGTGGGCCTTCTCGGAGCTCGCCTGGCGACGTGCAAAACGCGCCGCGATGCCTTGGGTGATGACCGCGAGCTATTCCACACAACGAACGTCAGTCATGCAAGACGGAGAGTGTAGCACACGTACCCGGAACAACATCCAGCTTCGCGCAAACACCATCTCCTTGATGGGATATGGCTGCGCCGCGAGTCGGCAGTACTCCCGTTCCAAGACTTCGAGAGAGATAGGCCCGTCGTTAACGTTCTTGAAGCCGATCAGCGCACTCTCGCTGGCCGGAAGCAGCGCAGGGTCCACGGCCCACGGCTGCGTCAAGTTCGCGAGGTCGGCCAGCTGCAGTACCACGCTCAGCTACTCATCACCCCAGCTAGTCCCGACGAGGATACGCACCGGACTGCCCAGCGTGCACAGCTCCCAGTCAAGGATCCCGATCACCCGGTTCTCCGTCGGGTGAAAGACGAGGTTGTCGAGCTTGTAATCCCCGTGGGCGACCCGCAGGCCGGTCTTGCGCTCGTCGGGCAGGTTCTGCTGGTACCACGCGATCAGCTCGCCGAAGTGCGGGATCTCGCCGACGGGCTTGTGCGTGTCGACGTCCGTCACGGCGGCCTGCGCGGCGGAGACGCGGCTGAGCGACTTGATTTGCCGCGGGAAGTACGCGGAGGAGGGGCCGAAGGAGGAGAGTCCGAGGTCGGCGGGGGAGAGGGAGGAGAGAGCAGCGAGGGCGCGGACAGCAGACAACCAGCTGAAGTACCAGAGCATACGTAGTCGAACGTACAGACATAACAGAGCACATACCATTCCCACCTCGTCTGCGGTGAGACCTCCGGCATCCTCACGTCCGTGAATATCCGCCCATCGAGGAATTCCATGACGTAGAACGGCGTCCCGATGATCTGTACGTCTTCACAGAGGATAATAGGCTCTGGGATGGGCACTCTCTGCTCAGGGGATGTCGACGGGTTCGTGTTGTGCTTGTGAAGTGCTCGCAGCATGGTGTACTCTCGCTCGATCTGGTGCGCGGTCGAGGAGACGAGCTGACCTGCTGGTTTCTTCCGCAGCACAAATCGCTTCGAACTGCGTGAATCGTCAGCGAGGTCAGTGGCAGCATAGAGCTGGGACGTACGTCGCATCAGTCAGGAAGTACGTCGGATTCGACTGTGCAACCGGTCTGTCTCAGTCACTGCGTAGCTGCCTACCCACTGGCAGCAAGGAACCCACCTGCCCAAACTGCAGACTACTTCAGCATCGCTTCATGTCTTCAACAATAACAGCACTCACCTTGAACTGCTTGACGTCCACCGGCGTCCTGATGGCCTTCACATGCGCCGCCAAGTACGACTCTAGCCTCTCCACGTCGATATTCGCCCGTACGGGCCCATATTCGCCACCAATCTTTCCTGTCGGCGCACTCATGTCGTCGTAGATGTTGGTCGTACCAGCCGTAGCGGCGTTGGTCAATTCAGGGGACGAGCATGATGATGGGTCTGTGATGGGTACCTGCTCACGCGCTCACGACTCGGAGTTTCGTTTCCCGGACCTCCTCCCCGCGGGGTAGAAATCAGCTGCCTTGCTAGCGCACCAGACATAGGACTCCATGTGCTCATGAAAGATGGACGAAAGATGGACACGGTAGTCAGGAAAGTTCATGAAGGATCGCAATGTACAACAGCGGTGTAGGTCACCCCTAGACTACAGTACATACGGATATCATGTATGATCTGTGAGGGTAATTACACGGAATGGAGACGTGAGTCCCGTCTCACAGGACACTCCAGTAATGAGACTCTCAGCATGTGCATTCCCGACGCTACAATCATCCTGAATGTCGTCGAGACTTGACACTACATGCGATCGTCTGCGAGCGCCGGAAGTTCTCGCGTCCAACAAAGTAAGGTCTAGATATCGAATTGTCAGCAAACCTCGCCGACAATGTGAACACGACGAGTACGAGAAAGAAAGAAAAGTCAGAGGGTGGTGATGAATTCTCCTCACCATGGCCCGTTAAATGGACACATGTCGGTGCTTGACTTCTAAATCGCTCGATCCTTCGGCAAGGCAGAATTGACTCAGACACTCACCTAGGTGCGGCCAGGTTGTGGTATCTCCAAATATGGGTATACGACTGTGTCACGAAAGGGAGACACAGTGGGCTTATCGTTCTGTGGTCGCAGGTTGAAAGCGGGTGTAGAAGCCCTTCGTATGTGCTTCTACCATCTCTTGTCTAGACTCAGGAAGGTCTTCAATGAATCGGCCTAAGCGAATGGTAGTTCATCAGAACATGACGGAAGTAGTGTAGGACGTGCGCACGGACCTGGCGAACCCGCAAACAACGCCAGCGCAGGGACGACCGTATTTGGCGGAATGACAGTGTTATCCGCGATCTTTGCGCAGTCCTTTATGATCGTGAACTTGCCCTGCCGACGCAAATCGTCAGAGTCACCGCTGTGCGCACCCAGAACGACCACGTACGATTATGCAGTTCTTGCCGATCTCGACGTGGTTCCCAATGGTGGCTGCTTCTACGATCGACCCGTTTCCTACGTGCACATGGTCACCAATCTTCATCGGGTAGTAATTGAAGTTGCCGCGGTACGTCTTGTACGGTGGCCTGCCGCAGAGTGCTTAACATCCATATGTGACGCGTCATCATCATTGTACTCACCGCATAACACAGCCCTCACCGATGAGACAGTATCTTCCCAACGAAATGACTACCGCATGTCCAGGCCCCGTTCTACGTAAATCTCCCCGGATGATAGCACCGCTCGCTATGATGGTCTTTCCGCCAAGGATGATGTTCTGCGGCCCAGCGATGGTCGCGCGACGCGATACTTTGTTCCCCGTGTCCTGGCAAGAAACGAGTCATTTCACGGCGCATATGCGCGCGTTGAACACAATTACGCTACCGTCTCGATGTACTCTGCTCTGGAGTAGTAGATGGGAGCGTCCATGGCGGCTTGACGGTGATGGATGAGGACAACATGCAAGGCGCGCAAGCGCCGGAGCAAACACGACCTGGCAGACGCGCTAGACGTCCCCCAACCATGTTCTCCACGTCGTGCCGACTACTCTCGCGGACACGCCTCCCAGCGACTAGTCTACTTCAAATAACATCACGGCGATACCTCCCGGGTGTCTCAAGAGTAACATGGACTTATAGGAACAACAGCGGTCGGATTCCTGTCAGCCAGCGGAGTCTCACTACCAATGTTCCGCCAGAGGCGACGCCCGCGTCGGCCAGCAGCGACTCTCAAGGCAATGCGGAACCCTCTCTCAAGGTTTCCACCGGCGCGACCGCGGAGGATGTTGTATATTACGGGCCTCTCACCAACACCTTCCGCCGGCTCAAGATCTTCTCCTTATCCTCCCTCGCGCTCACCGTCTCTCTTGCGCCGTTCATCTTCGTGATCGAAACCACGTCCAATCTCCCGCTGTCTGGCCGTTTCGCGCTCGCCGGAGTGGCAGTAGCGACGAGCGGAGTGTCCACCGGGCTTGTATCGTGGGCCGGCGGACCATATGTCACCAAGCTACGCTGGCTCGAAGGCGGGCGCGGGGTTGAGATGACGACCCTCACGCTCCGGCTGCGCGAGCGTATCACGAGGGTGTACGACACCGCGTTTTTGGTGCCAGCTACGAGGCCGCTCGCGACCTTCGACTTAGCAGAGGCATTCCAACTACAGGCGGAGGAGGTCGACCAGGGCAAGAAAGAAGGTACCTTGCCGCGGGAAGAGACGATCGCTGAAACACTTTCGCCGCAAGGAACCGTTGTCGGGCGGTGGATAGTACGGTGGGATGAGAACGGGAAAGGAGCATGTAGGCCAGTAGGGAAAGTTGTCAGGTACGTCCAATTTGTCCTCACGAAATGCTTCACCGGAGCGAGCTGATGTTGCTGTCTGAAGGCATTTCAACGTACACCAGGAGTTGCTTGATAGACCCATCCGATAAAATGGGCAGAGGTTGTTTTGTCGGGACCCGACGACATGCAGTACTGTGTTGATCTCCATTACGCTACGCCTCATCGTTCTCATCAAACTACTCAGGTCTGCATCGCACTTGAGTCGCGGAGGCTGATTACTGGATCTCAGTCTTCAATCCTAGCGGGCCGACCATCGCTCAAGAAGCCGACTCAATCATAATGCACCGAGCACGGTCGTCTGGCCAGAAGAACTCGACAACTTAGCCTTCAGTGCTCGAGCACCCTGACAATGTATCGAGGTCTCGGTATAAGACGAAGTTTCACTTCGTGGTGATTCACTGGAGGTAGTAACATCTCGTCCAAAAAGTTGTTCGCTCGGGGTTAGAAGCCGAGGAACAATATCTCACATAGTCACAGTGGTGGGATGAAGATGAGGTCGTACCTAGCGCAGTGCCAGCCGGTAACGTCTGCTGTACATGTCATCCGCCGGCCACACGCTGATAAGAATACGCTTGCATCTGCGCAGGTAGATGTCAGGTCTCTGGCCGCAGTCGTGCCCTCAGCATGTGGTCTGGCTCGCACGAACTTGGCCTGAGATTGACCGAACCTGACGGTGTTGGTGTTACGTATCTATCGATGCCCATGTGGACCGTGGCGTTATTCTCCTCGGTGTCCATGGTGTGGGACATGCTTGTGGGGTACTCTCCCGTGGGCGACTCACCTGGACGGTATGACCACGGTGTCTTGCATTCATAGATGTTCGGCTGAATCGCTCGCAGTCCAGATTTCGTGTTGCCTCAGCTTGGGCCGACGTAAGTACAAGGAAGCTCGTCGGGCCTTCAGGGCTCTTCGTTGGACACAGCTTTCTCGCATGTAGCTGTGATCGTGAGCTCGAGGGCAATCAGCGCCCAAATATAGATCTCAGACCTGTCTCACACATATAGATTGACAGAATCTGTTGATCCACAGAACACATTGGTCTGGCACACTGATCCGTTACCAACCACTGATCCTCGACCGCCACCAGGGTCCGGATGTCCAATCTAGGAATCCATAGAAGCCGCATAGACCACTGGTGTTTGGAGAAAGAGTTGAAGCGGACGCCGGACTCTTTGGTCGCTTGACTTGCAAGTTGCGCTTCACCTTCACACTGCTTCACCAGATTTCGCTTTCCATGTGCTTGGTGCGCGCCCTGCAAGTGATCCGCGGTCCCCGCCTTGATCGATGGTCAGTGACCGTCGGTAGACTTTGAGACAAGGAACAGTCATCTAGGCGTTTGCCAGTTGTATAAAAGCCAGGCGAGTACGGGATGCACCTCCAGCGTGGCCGGTTCCACCTCTTTCTCCTTCTAGCCTATTCATTTCGTTTCTCTCATAATGCATTTGCCTCTACTCCTCTCCCTCTTGTCATGTCTTACACTGTTTGTCTATAGTGCACCTGCGCGCTATCAGGTGAGTCTCGAGGGACTGTCTAGCTAAGAGTTGACTTACCTACCACTTGTGTTCTCAGGGAGAACTAGACCTCGCGCTGCGTGATTTCAGCGACATTGTCCAGCGGTCGCCAGATCTCCAAGATGACTTTATGTCTTTATGGAAGCGCGCAGGGCGTACGTACATTAATTCCTTCGCAAGCCGTTCTCATCAGAAGCTCATCTGTGTCCCAGAGGTGTTGGTAATCCACCTGCAGGGCCACGAACTTCATCTGGAGAGGTTCGCAAACCAGGGAAACTCGCACAGTATAGTCTACACCGTAGCAACACCCGGACCTATGCACGGTGACTTCGCAAAGACGAACGTCGCGGAGAACGAACTGCATGCCACGACTGCCGTGAGTTTTCCCTTGCTGCCCGAACCTCTCCTTTTGACTATTGTGCAGGCTGGTGCTGTAAAGTTCAGCGGACTGGACTCTACGGGCAGGCGGTGGATGATCGTCCAGAGGTCGCCCGGCATGCACATCACACAGACGGGCGCGTTCAGGCACGTAGCGCATGACCCGGTGCACTGCGATGCCATGCTTCGTCATGCTGCGCAGTTGGCGGCGGCGACGATGGTGCACTACTGGCAACATACACATGGCTGGCTGCAGAACGATCCCAACCCGCAGAACGTCCTCTTCGACGACCACATGTCAGTTGCCCATCTGATTGACTGGGGGCAGGCAAGGTACTCGCATACACCGGTAAGCTCGTTAACTCGAAGTCGGTGCGACGTCGTTGTCCTGATGGGACACTTGTCCAGCCTAACCAAGCACATATTGAGGCGGAGGCGTACCACATGTTCTCGTCGCATGGCTTCTGTAGGACCGCGCCTCCTCCGAAGGGGGGACCGAGGGTTGGCGGTACCTCGAAGCCGGCGAAGGGATCGTCCAAGAGGGTTACAATGCATTTTTGAGACAGCGTTATATGGGTTAATATCATTGGACAACGAATTTTTTGACACTCATTACATTGTGAGCTTGCAGATCCGCCGGCTTCATGAGGCAAGTTGGCTGCGATCTAAGCACCCAGAGCATACTACTACTTAGTGTGTGCCGCAGTGCAAGTCAGTTCGTTTCGTTGTACAGTAAGTTATGTGAGTTCCGAGTCACGGTGGCGGTTTTGCGGCAGGCCCGCATTGGCTGAGGCGGTATGCTTATGTAATTGCATCATCCGGCCGTTTCGGCGCTGTACATGTGCACGCTCCTCCTCAAGTCAGTTGGAACCAGCGGTTGTCGACTCGTCGTGCTTGATAGACTCTGCCGCAACGCTCTCTCCATCTTGTCAGGCATCATAACATCTTCGCCGCTGGCCTGTACTGAATATGTCTTGGGATGGCAACCGCTATCCGGCGCGGCGGCGCTGGCCTCAAGCTGTCATGAACTCTAACTCAGTACTTGCAGCGCTGGAGGCTTCTTGGACATGCCGCTCTTGATTTGGGCCTTGCGTCCTAGATTCCGGTACCTGGTGCCAATATTGATGCGGCAAGCTCGAATCCTCATTCAACTTTATGCAGCCTAAACTGCACCGAGCTTCTGAGAGGTGTGGGACGAACGACTCATAAATTACGGATGCTCGACTAAGTACCCAGCTGGTCAGCTCGCTTTGAAATCTCAGTTACGTGTTGCACTGGGTTGCCCCATGACTGCCTGCAGGTGATAAGGTTTATCTCTGTCATGCGCTATCGTACTTCATAGGGACTGGTGACGAGGAACAGGTTAGCTGAACACGCCGGCTTGCGACGAGGTCCCAGTCCCGCACACACTCAGTCCCATTCACCGTCGTCCTATCGGTTTTCTCGGAAGGTATGTTTTCCAAAGCTTTATCCGTTTGGCTCAGTGATCTCAATTCCAATCCAGTTTCGCCCCAAACACCCTTGCTCCAGGGTCCAGACTGGCTACTTCGTCATCGTCTAGGTGTTAACCTTCCACGTGGCCTTGCGTAACTTCGCATTCATCTGTACTACGTACGTATCCGACTTCTGCTTCTCATATGTTGTCGGAATAATGCTCACTGGTCGTCGCAACAAATCTTTAGTCCAGTGAATACTTCTCAGCAAGGCAAACAATGAGTTATACGGACCATAGGCCCTCGGTGTGTCTATCTGCCTCACACTCGCCAGACCAATTTTGCTTGCAAGGAAATTGTGTGGGTGCAGGGTGCAAGCCGTTTCGTGGCGGAACGTGTGAGCGTGCACAATGCTCGAGGAGCACTGCAGTGCTAGGTACGGCCATATTCATCACTGGGCGCTGCACTAACCGGGTCTCAGATTTTGCTGCTTCAACGTCGCCATTCACGGGTGACGTCCCTGCGCGCACTTCCGCGTCGATTTCAACGACCATGTCAGACTCGGAGATGCTCTCTGCGTCGGAACCCGTCCAGGTCACGCTGAAGGGCCACTCACCTGTCTCGTCCACACAATCTCCCAAATCCGCCACGTCCCAGAACAAGTTCGATGTTAGAACCCTTTTTCAAATCCCGAGTGGGGAACCACCCATCTTGAACAGATCTTACCCTTGCGTGCCGCACGGTCGCCATGCGCTCCCGTCACTCTCATCCTCCCCGTACATCTCCCCAATGTTGAACCAGCCTAGAAGCACGACGGAGAGTGCGACCGCTTCGAGCACCACACTCGGCAACTCTGTAGACCGTTCGCAGCGGGCGGGCATCCGGGAGATACAGGAGCACGCAGGTCCTAGCCAGAACTCGCCGGACGTCGTCGACCGCAAGGTCCGCGCGCTGCTCAACAAGCTTACGATGGAGCGCTTTGACTCGATCTCTGACCAAATCATCGCATGGGCGAATAAGTCAGAATACGAGCACGATGGGCGGACGCTCATCCAGGTTTTCCGGCTCGTGTTAGGGAATGCAACAGATGGGGCAAGGTGGTCGGAGATGTACGCGCGGTTGTGCCGCAAGATGATGGAGCAGATTAGCCCGAAGGTCCAGGACGAGGGTATCAAGAACGTGGAGGGTAAACCCATTGCGGGTGGTCAGCTCTTCCGTAAATATCTCCTCAACGGGTGCCAGGAAGACTTCGAGCACGGATGGGCTGCGAAGGAAAGCACTGCCGCGGCCGCAGCCACCAAGGCCACCGCGGACCGGGCAGCCAGGGACGCCGCTGACAAGGACGAGGATGGCGAGACTGCACTGTATTCAGAAGAATACTATGCTGCGCAGAAGGCTAAGCGGCAAGGTCTCGGTCTTATCAAGTTCCTCGGTGAGCTGTTCAAGCTCCAGATGCTCACGGAGCGTATCATGCACGAATGTGTCAAGAAGCTCCTGGGTAACGTCGAGAATCCCGAGGAGGAGGAGATCGAGAGTCTGTGCATGCTCCTCACGACCGTCGGCAAGACGCTTGACACGCCGAAGGCCCGTGCGCACATGGATGTCTACTTCGCGCGCATGAAGGAATTGACGAGGCATCCGAACGTCAACTCGCGTATGCAGTCCATACTTCTCGTATGTATTGCTAAAGCCAGTTAATTGCTCGTGTCTAACATCCCTTACAGAATCTCCTCGAGTTCCGCGAACGCAAGTGGTCACCGCGTAACCTGGCTGCCACCCCCACTACGATTGCTGCTGTCCATGCACGAGCCGCGAGGGAGACCGCTGCGAACCGGGCGCATAGCATGTCGTACAGTGGCAGCAAGCGTGACGGTGACCATTGTGAGCTGGCGCAAGCCGAGTTTGATGACTGGTCCTCTGTTGACAACGCCTCTCGGCGTGTGCCCGTAAAGGCGGGTGCCTTGGACAACCTCTGCGAGATCAGAAATACAAACTCCACAACCTTTGATTCTACGGGTGTGTTTGCGAAGGAGAAGAACAAGCACGAATCCTCGCCATCGTCATGGGGCTCGCATTTGTTCTCGAAGGTGATGGGGAAGCCTGAGCTCGAGGCAGAGGCTGCGATTGCTACGCATTCGCAGGTCGGCCTAGATCCCGATGGCAGGTCCGTCGCCGAAAGTACCCCTCGTCGTATGCCCGCAAAGGCAGGCGACGTATCTAACTTAGACAAAACCAACTCTATGACCTGTGGTCATACGGGTGTTCTTGTGAAGAACATGCATGAGACCGCATCGCCATCATTTCGGGAGCTCTCGGACATGATGGAGGACCCAGAGCCCGCTGCAGACACTGCGAGCGCACGGACTTGGACACCCAGCCGCGATGCCAGTGTCGACTTCGGCTCCGCTGGCGTGCCCGATGTTCCGCCACAGCGCAGGAAGCCGAATCTACTTCCATGTACCTTGCCTCGGCGCGACGAGACGCTGGACTGCTCGACGCCGGATCGACTAATAGGCTCCAATGCACTATCGATGTCTGAGGAGGCGAAGACCCGCGTTGGCGAGGACTCGAAGGAGTTCTTCAGCATCCGCGATCTGGACGAGGCTGAAGTGTACTTCAGCAAGCTTCCTTCAGAGCACCGATGGCTGCTCGTGGACAAGCTTGTTACCTCTGCGATCGAGTCAAATGACAGCGACGCGCGGCTCGTAGGCGACTTGTTCTCTCGGGCGGTGTCGAAGGATCTCTGTTCACCAGAGGCCTTCGAGAAGGGTTTCGCACCGACCGCCGAGATCCTTGACGACATTGTCATTGACGCGCGCGGCGCCGAAGGCACTCGACCTGATGGCTGACATGATAAAGGGCGCGCAGCTTGACGAGGAGCGATGGACCCGGCTTGTGAGCAAGTCTATGGTCTGTGCCAAGTCATTTGAAAGGCTTGCGAACGGCGATTCGTGCAGGCAGTCCACACGTCGTGTAAGTATCACGAATGCTGAAGCCGCTCTCGTCTGATTCTTCGTAGGACGACATCCGGTTGTGTGGACGCCGGTTGGTTCCGTGTCCCATCATCGCACATGTACAAGCCGCGAAGGACGACCCCATGGAGGACCAGGCTGCCCAACACACGCATGATATCGGACCGCTCGGGCCAGCTTCCGCCGATGAGCAGCGCGAGCAGCACCCAGTCCATAGCACTGGTGAACCCTTTCTTCATCTGGGCCCGACTCACTTCAGCCAGCTATACAGAAAGGACGTGACGGCCCAGCCCAAACAACTCGATGAACCCACGCTCCTTCCTAGCCCTCCACACTGCGCCTGGTCCTCGTACACGACTTCGCTCAGTCCATCATCGGTGTCTTCAATCTCATTGTCTTCGTCTTCAGGTGACTTCAGCGGTTTCCACCGTCACAGACAGGAAGAGAATGCTTTCGCTGCCGATAAACATGTAGATCACTACTCGTCGTGCAGTGCGCGAGGGCCCAGTGGTCCGGCGGCGACGGACTGGTCGCAAATGCCACAGCCAGCAAGCGTGGGAATCACCTCTACAGCAGTACCACCAGTACCGCAAGGTTCACGATCGCCAGTGTATTCCCCTCCACAGCCCCTTCAAGAATCCGTCGAGAACAAGGGGATGCCTGCAAGACAAGCTGCAGACTATGACGAAGAAGCCTGCGCGCCTTTGAGCGAGGAACTGGTAAAACTGCATCTGAGCGCGCATGCGAAGCAGTTCTTCGGTTCCCGCAGCTTGGACGAAGGCGAGGCATATCTGCGCAAGCTTCCTCTTGAACATCGGTGGCGCTTGGTCAACAGGCTGGTGTCGTTCGCAGCCGTCTCTGGTGTAGCGGATTCACGGCTCGTCGGAGACTTCTTCTCCCGCGTCGCGTCAAAGGGGCTCTGCTCACCAGATGTTTTCGATGCTGGATTCTCCCCGATTATGGAGATTCTTGATGTCATCGTGTTGCATTCATCGAACGCTCTAATCTTGGTCACGATTATGTTGAAGGGCACGCAGCTTAATGGAGAGCAGCTGAACAGGTTGGTATGTAAGGCTATGGGTGATGCCTCCGAGTTGCTCCTTGCTCTGCTACTGTAGTAGACATAGAAGTAAGTACTGACGTCTCGATCTGACCTACGCTTTGCGGTGCATGTTCGTGTAACTTTAGTGTATGTACAGAACTCAAATGGTCGATGCTGATATGCCACTCAACGTGCAGACAACTCGAAGTTTTGAAGGCTATCTGCGGGAGACTGCAGCCCAATCCCAATCAATGCAATCACGCTGTACTAAATATCTTCTTCTCCAGAGACCGTCAATAGCGCAAAGAAATTATCCGGCCTCACGATCACGGCAGACCTGTCCTTCCAGCACGCGATATCCCTTGTATGCACTGCTGTCAAGTTGTAAACCCGGAGACTCTCTTTCCTGCTCGGTAGTACCTCACTATTTTGGACCCTCCTCGGCGTCCGAGTCATGAGCCAGGTAAGTAGCTCTATCTCGAAGCGACTATCGGGTCAGGGATGACTCGGTAAATCCATTAGATATCCTCGTACGCCACGCCCCTGCAATTCTGGACCCGGGCCTTGGCAACGTGTACGGCTTGGGAAAGCTCAACTCACGGTCAACATCGGAGAGCAAGATAGGCAGACGTTGGGCAGACGGGAGGTGGACTGCCAGCGCGTAAGTAATGCATCCAGCTCTCATCACTTCGCCCCTTCCAATTCATGCTTCTGCGCAGATTGGGTGACCTGCGAACAGGACAACCGGAAGCAACGATGGCTTCAAAGCGCCCACAACAAGCGGTACACCTTACATGTGTATGGTCTGCGCGAGTCGTTTCGCAGGCGGTCGAGCGTGGAGCCTTCCCATATCTGGTCCGCCACCTGTGATACCGAACTGGTAGGAGCACTAGCAAACACGTTGGATGACGTTTCGGATGAAGAGTCGTAGCAGGGATCGAACCGAGCATACGGCAAGGCGGAGAGCATTCGTACGTAACGTATAACATAGGATCACGATGATGGTATTCTGGCGCTTCATAGCTGGAAACCATCCGGCCAGGCGCAGTCAAAGTTCGAGCGCTCTGATGGATACTTCAAGCAGCAGATGCGTATGGACCGAGACCGGATACGAATGGCAAGTCACGGTGTGTCTCGCAGGAGCGCAGAGCTCGGGAGGCTCCGAGTCGGTTGCTCTGTCGGTTCACGTCATATTGACGGAAATCCGAACTCCACTAATGCGAATTCAACCTAGGAGCAGCGCCTGTGGGGTGACAGTCGCCAATCTCGCAGCAAGATCGGCGTATAAATACCCTTGACCGCCATCACCTCGCCTGCGGCCCCGCTGCCACCAGTCCTACGTGAGTCGCTCTGACGAAAACCATAGCTGCTTACATATAGAAAAGACATCATCTTCTTCATAGCTTCGTCATCACAGCAATATGGCATTGCCCGCGGACGTCATACATTGTACTGTATACTTTTAAATGGTTCGTCACCCAAGTGTGACTGTGACCGGCCTGACGAAAATTTGTGTTCGTCAAATTACCCGATTAGGTATACTGCCTACCTAATTGGGCGCGTAGCGCCGGCGCCGCAGGTCTAGCGCCCGTCTCAAAGGCCCTGTGACACGTTATTCACACCGGATTTTCGTTTCGTCGGGGCCGCCTGTGACACGTGACCGACGAATCATTTAAAAGTATACAGTATCCTTCCTCATGTACGTGAGGGTCGGTTTCTTTCCAACTCGAGAGCTGACTCCGCATTCAGGTCAATCGACGCGATCTTGAGTCTGCATCGCTAGTCAACCGCGAGTTTGCGAACATATCACGGCCCCTCGTGTTTCGTCGGATCTCCATATGGATTCATGGCACCGAAAGCTTTCGTGGCCGACTCGAGTTCCTACGCTCGAGGCCGGATGTGTGCGGTTACGTCCAGGAGCTCGTCGTCACTGGCATCAACGCGCCGTTCCTACAACTCATGCTAAACCAACACCAGGGAGAAGGTCCTATAGTCATCAGTCACATGAATGCCCTGGAGAACGCGCTGAAAGACGGCCTATTGACAAACCTTCAGAAGCTGGAGTAGGCAAATCTAGCATTGATTGATTGATGTGAGGCTGACAGGCAATCCAGGTGGGACAACGAAGAAATCATAACCACGACCTTCGCGAACACTATTCATAATGCATTCCCTCGATGTGTTTGGGTCATCTCTACGTATTCCGGGAACCCGTTGCCCCCACTGCCCAACCTCGTCTCCTTGTCATCTACCGCCTATTACAACGTTGAGGCGTTGCTGTACTACCAGCCAATCTTGCTTCGCGCTCCACGACTCCGCACTCTGGATATCGTGTCGTTCCGGCCTACGGGTCGTTCCTTACCGACGCATGGTGCGCCGCCCTTCATGGCGCACGACCCGATCCTAGCGGTCTCCAGAGAAGCCTATCCAGCAATCGAAGAACTCACCATGCGTTGGTTGCTATGGTCCCTTGAGGGTGCCCGCCAGTGTCTTCAGATGATGCGCTGGTCACAGCTGCGTTGTCTTACGCTGATGCACAGCAACTCCGCCCCGTTCTTAGAAGGCTGTATACCTACCCGTGAAACGTTTCCCGCACTTAAGGAAGTCAAGCTAGTGGAGCCTCACCCCTTCAATCCAGGAGCTTTCCAGGACGCCCTCAAACAATTCCTGGCGACCATGACTTCAGGGCTCCGTGACCTGCATGTCGAAGCGTCTTGGCAGACGTTGGTGTCTACTATCGCGGAGCGCCACGGGGTGACCCTGCGCTCACTAGTTCTGCACGAGAGCGAGCACGCCCGGGCACCGCAGAGGAGCACGCTCAACCTCGCCGACCTAATCGTGCTGGGGAACGCATGTGCATCCCTCAGAAATTTAGGCGTCGATGTAGAGGCCGATTACTCTCTCCCGGGGCCCGGTGTTCCTGAAGTAAGTTGACATTGACTGTCACTTTGTGTGACATTCGCTGATCATCTGCGTGCACAGGGCGAGTCTTTCGCGGCAGTTGTCAACTCGACGGCCTACTTCCCTTCTCTGCGGCACATCACGCTTTGGGCTCCTCTCGGCCTCATGGACAGAGCGAATGTATCAGCACAAGGCAACATCTTGGAGGGAGGAGACCCTTTGTATGTCCTCGAAGAACACGCATCGAAAATTCTGGATCCCAGTCTGTGCGACACGGACAACACTGAGCAGCGAGACAGAGGCAAGCTCGAGTCACTGACCGTCAATCTTGGCGAACAAGAAAGGGAATTCGGGGCACGGCACCCAGACCGTGAGTCTGTCCTTCATGTTGATTCCTTCATCCAACTCACTTAGCATTTCTATCCAGCCTGGGAGATCTGGGAGATGGACAACCGGACGCAGAGATATCTCGAGAAGGTCTATGACGCGGATATTGCTATCCGTATGTACGGTGAATACGATGACTCATACGAGCAGTCAAGCGCACGGCGTCCTCGTCTGTGGTCCGTCACGCACGATAACGAGTGGGTAGAAGGGCCCGACCTCGAGGACGACGGGGACGAGGAAGCAGAGGCTGAGCCGGGCAGTCAATGATGGCGATAGGTGCCAAGACTCACGCAGCTCCTGCGAGTGGCCTCAGCCTCAGGTGCTGGTAATAGTGGCCTGCCAGTGGAGGATTTGCCTCAGTGACGTTTGCGGTCGGCTGTATTGAACAGGTTCGAATAAAAGCTACTCATGATTGACACATTTGCAAACACGTGGTCTCGGAACCTTGGTCAGAGTTGCTGTCAGCGACGAGGTTCACGGTGCGCAGGTGCGTAATCCATTCAGTTGACTGGCCGTCGTGTGTCGGGCCCCATGAGACGAGAATGCTGACATATGAGTACTACTATATGTAGAGCAAGTTGTTGTCATGATGGCGGACTGAAGATGCAATGTACTATTACTCGTTATACATGACGCAACTTATTTTCGAGTCGCCTACGCACACAGATTCACGCATCGATACAAATGACAGTTATGTACAACTTGTTGGCATTGATTTGGGAACTATGTGATGGGTCTCTGCCAGTATGAGTTACGCCCTCAGGATCCCAGACAATGCATACGCCTCGTCCATCGCCTTCTCATATCCAATCACTATAGGAATACCAGCTTTGCCATCCTCGCATCGCCAAATGGTCCACCCGCCGCCTGAACTTCGCCCTGCGGTCCGTGTAGAGCGCCGCCAACTGTGGATCAAATCGTTGCACGGTGTCCCTGAATCTCTTCCGCAGCTGCATATCCTCAATTGCTATCCGCCACGAAGACATATCCTCAGACAAGACCTCAGGTGGTATAGCGAACACGTCGTCTGGGTCAGGACGCCAGCTTCTGACGTGGGTTAGCTCCTCGGGATACCGAGCCGCGAGATCTCGGGGAACGACTACGGAGTCATCCCAGTCGATTATGCCTTCGAGGCGCATGCGATCCGCCGAAAAAAGCACATTACGCCAGCAAGCGAAGTCGGCGTGTATCAACGCAAGGTTAGGCGCAGCGGAGCGCGCGGCGGGGTTGGTCAATGGGTCAAGAGAGACGGCGAGATTGACGAGGTCCCGCAGAATATCAGCGCACCGTATAAGCGTACGCCTGGCATCGTCGTCCAGCTGTGGAAACATCTCCATCATATCGCGACGTGTGGCGTCAAGGTGGTAGTGCCAGTGCTCGGCTAGGGTAGTGGGCCCGCGCTGAACGTTGAACCTCGATCGACGGCTCGAGCATCTTGGTAGAGTCGTCAGGATATTGTGGAATCATGGGTATGACGCGGAAGCCGCACTGCGATACGTCGTGTCTGTGCCACAGCGGATGCGAAGTGTTCGCACTGATATCGGTCACGATGCTTCCTATCGCACTAAAAGGGGCCGGCGCAGTTATTTTGGCCCATTGTTCAGCCAAGAGATCCACTACAACGCTTTTGTTCGCATTCGACATGTTGCGCCATTCATGATGGGCAATCGGCGTGCCTTCGCAGAATTTGATGAGCGTGTAAGGTACGCCAGCCGGGTTGGCGCTGCTGAGCTGCGCAGAGAAGAGTCGCGGAATGGGGACGTCCGGCCTGTATACATTCATGAATGCTATTGTCGCGATCTGAGACTTGAGCCGAAGGGGGTCTCGAGTCGCTGGGGGTTGGGGGAGTGGAACCCTCGCCACAAGGGCAATCGAGTCAAACTGAAGGAGGAAGACCTTGTTATACGCTCCATGAGCGAGAACGCGGAGGTCAGTGGGACAGCACGGGCGGCGTCGAGGAGGTGCTCGATGTTGACGCCACATATCCCAGTGTATCTTTGGTGGAAAGCAGAGTTGAGGGCCTCTTCCGAGGGCGCAGCGTAGGTCAATGCTGCAAGATATGTGTGAGCTCTCGGTCACCGCCATGCGTCAATGTATGACACACACCTTGAGTGGACATGAATTAGGACATGGGAATCTCTCGACAGGGAGGAGGTGGTCTCGCCGGAGCGGTGGTGGGGTGCGTCCACACGGATGGGTACGAGACCAGGAGGAGGGGGATCCAGTACGGTGGAGGCTGCTATTGATTCCACCAATTGAGGGTGAGAGCAACAAATGTTGTTGTACGCTCGATTTGGATAGGTCAAACTGTCGTATCATAGCTTCGATCCACGGGCGTCTCTTGTGCCAAACAAATCACCTCGGACGTATTGTCACGGCCGGCGTTGTCCTGGCATACCCGCAGCGCTGATGCGTACGAACCCCGCGCCATTAGGAGCTCGTCAAACCGCCTGCAGCGTATCGCCAGCCTCCACACCATACGCATCCAACGCGTCGCGAATGTTTTGGCCATATAAACGCTGGGCCTATCGCATCGAGGGTTGGACTGGGACAATCGTTGCGCCTCTCACTAGACAACAACATAGTGATACAAGGTAAATTAATAAACGGCCACCACATACCCCTCAATGAACCCATCTATGTCGCGACAGCAGAAAAGATTGCGTCGAAGTATTTCCTTACCCCTTCCTCCCCAGATGTACCGGCGCCCACGAATCCGTCCGGCCTTACGATCACAACGAAAGGTTGTCCTTCCGACATGCCGTACTCAGCGTATGCGACGCCATCACGGTCCTGCAGGACTACGTCCGCACCGCCCGCCGCCTCCAGAACAATGGAACTTGCACCCGGGTGCACGGTGGCAGAGAACACCGTGCCCGGCGGGTATGTTTTCAGTCTCTGGACGACGGGACCTGTCGCTGCAGCATCCGCACCGAAGATGAGCACGGTGTGATGGGTTGGACTGAACGTGGCGAAGAGCGACGTTGGTTGAGGACCAGTCTCCTTGCCGCCGATGCGCACGACCCCTGTCGCGTCCGGCGCACGGTCGCCCGCCCGCAGTGCGTCGCCGTCACTGCCATACGCATTGAGCGCCCCCGCTTCCGCGCCGGCGGAGTCGATTGATTTGAACCGCTCGTCGAAGATGATCGAGCTCCATCTGTAGTTGATGCCAAACTGCTTCAGGTGCGTGCCGCGCTGCCACGCGGACTTGAGCGACTCCGGGTCGCGCATTTGGGTGAAGACGTCCTTCGTCATGTTTACGGTCTCTTGCAGCATCTGTGTGATGACGGGGAATCGTTCCTCAGAGTAGGTGTCGAGGAGCGAAGGTGAGGCGAGGCCTTTCTCCACTAAGGCGATCTTCCACCCGAGGTTGAACTGCACGACGGCAGGTGAGTATAGCTGGGCCTGTGCAAGGTTTGACTGGACTTACCGCGTCCTGTACACTCGAGTTTACGCCCTATGTAGTGCATGCCGTTGTCAATATATCCAGGGAATGCAGTCGCTGATACGCACCTGTCCTCCCCGGGGTGTATGCACGTGGGCTGCGTCTCCGGCAACGAACACACGCCCCTCCCTGAACTTGTTGACCATACGGACACTGGGCCTGTTATATCGTCGTAGGTCGCATCCAGGTGAATCAAACAGTTGAAGCATACTCACCTGTAGTCGGTCTTGTGGACGATCTCGCCCAAGGGCAGGTCGTCACGTTCGCTCGCCAGCCGCAGAGCCTCCTTCACGGATTCGTCGCTTTCCAGGATCTTTTCCGGGTCGACATTGCCGGACAGCATGAACCAGAACTTCCCCTTGACTTCCGTCGCACGAATGAGTAGGCTGAGTAAAACGATAATCAGTTTCATCGACGCGCGCGGATGGGTGACCTACTTCGTCGGCGGGCCATCTGTATACTTGAGCCACATGTGCCAGTGCTAGGGATCGGCGCCGATCAGTATTCGATATGGCCTAATAGATGTAAAGCCAGCCTCACATAGGGATCCAGTTCATCCAAGTACACCTCTCCTAGTACCGCTTTCTCCGGACTGGACTCTCCCTCGAACGAGAGCCCGCTCTGCTTACGCACCACACCTATCGAGTCGTCAACAGCAGAACATCCCGGGGACGCGTATACCCTTACTTCTGCCCCCATCCGCGCCGATGAGCCATCGGTAACTCTTCGTCTCGAGTACCTCCTCGCCGTCCACGGTTTTCTTGACAGTGACCTCGACGTGATCGTCGAACCGCTCAAGCGCGATGAGCTCCGTGTTCAGCTCCACCGAGCAGCCGTACTTCGCAAGATGCGATCGCAGCACAGCCTCGGTATGATGCTGCGGCACCTGAATGGGGTTGTTCTGTCGCATGCACACAACATCGATTTAGCTTCGCCAGTGGCTATGAGCATCCAGCCGCGAACGACGTACAAACGGCCGACTGGGCGTGGGGTCCTCCGGCATGACAAGATGCAGCGTCGTCAGCACCTCTTTCCCGCCCGGAAACTTGTAGAACTTGAGCGGCTGCAGGTCGATTCCCAAGGTCCGCATCTCCGGCAAGACACCCAGGAAGTGGAAGATCTCCTGTGTCCGGGGCTATCCAAAGATCTCAGTGACGGCGGAAGTGCAGCATGATGGTCGCCACAAATACCTGCAGGCCGAGACCACGCTGCTCCTTATGGAAGCTTGAGGCTTTGTTGATGATACGGACGGGGACGCCGCTCTTCGCGAGGATGAGAGCAAGGGTCAATCCCGCGGGGCCTGCTCCGGCCTGAAAAACAAAAATGAGGATATGGAGACGATGATCATGTTCAATGGCTTACAACAAGGACTGGGGCGACTTCTTCCTGAGACATCGTGTCGATCTATTCCTATTCGAGTACGTAGCAAAGGTAATGACGATTGTGGGAGGTGGGTTGTCGAAGACAGCACACCCCAGACGCACTTCGTTTTATACGGCGCACAGCGGCGTACAGCTCGACAACGCAACGTCTTGAAGTGTTAGCCCCTATAGGCCCGGATCGCACATGTCAGATATGTCAATTCCCTGATAGCTCCGCAGTAATAAAATCGCTACTCACTGACACCTGCTCTGACTTGGCTCTGACAGCGAGCGATCGGCGCTCAGCGGTACCGCTGATATCACTTACACCCTCCAGGCTGTTCCCCGTTTGGTTCGCCGTCACAAACGTTGGCGGTCGCGCTCCAAACTTCTGATCATGCATGGTGTGCCCCGAAGGAGCAATCCACAGTTGCCAAGGACTTAGCAATGATATTCCATGGCAGAGATCTGTCACGGTCTCTCGAGTTCATCGCCGAATCAACACTTCCTGAGTCACCTCAAGGCGTCAACAGCGGTCAATTTAAATCGCGAAGGCATCAGCAGCTTCTCTAGTACGTCCTTGAGTCAGTACTCACCAATGCAATCGACACGTCGCGTGAGTGTGAGAACCGTGCTGCCCATCACTGGCAATCAGCGACAACGCATCTCGAATCCCGAGTCGACGTCCAATACGATAGCCAACGTCCATGCTCCGCAGATGAATCACACGCGCTGTTGCAGAGCAGTTAGATGTTGCTCCGGTGTAAGTGGCAGGCACTAGCTCACGGCATCGCCGAACGAATTCGAGACGCTAGAGCAAGATCTGTTCCAGAGTGGTCTTGATGAAAGATCAATGTCACTGCTAAGTTACACGCCACTCACTATAGGCATCGATGACTCGACCTGAACTCTTCACGAACCTATCACGGTGGCCTTGGGGTGCTTGCTTGTACACCGTGGTGTTCTTCCTGTTTCACCGTGACAATCTTGACGTTGCCGGCAGAGATTGACGTGAGGGACTCGGGCTGAGGAGTAGGTCCGCCCCCACAACTTCGGAAGTTAAAGGGTGGGCATTGCAATCGAGGTGACTTGAAAGACGGAACTGACGTCGCTGTGCAATGCCGCACAGACTCGTCAGCCTTATGCCGGGAAAGAAGGCTGCCTTCTGTCTGATGCTGTGAACTAAGGGCGGCGCGCCGTAAACACGACGCAAGCAAGGGCACGGCACGACGAACCTGAGCCTGCACCCACATTCGCAACGCATCAGCGCCCAGCACCCTAATTGGCCTGCAACACCAAAAGTCCGAATAATGATACAAGCTTGCGATATGATACACCCAATAGATCACAACGTCTAAACCTACAAGCCGTGAGTAGTCCATCGTGGGCGCAATAGCAGCACAACGCGCGGCGTACCTCTATCCGTCAATACTCTGTCGAGTCCTGCAGTCGCCACCGGCGGAACGGGCCCCACCACCACATTGACCGCGGCCGCCCCGGATCCTGCGCTCCCCCCCTCCCCGGCTCACGCGCACCATCCACATCTCGCGGCCTACCTCTCCTGCGCACCCTTCTCCGTCCGTCCCTCCCCTCACCCTCGTCCTCGCCCTCACCACCTTTCCCCGCGCCGTCCATCTCGACCACGACGTGCTCCCGCCCGTCCATCTCCTCCATCTCGTACTCTTCCTCCGCCACGATCGTCTCCACGTCCGCATCCGCGTCGCGTGCGTCCACACGCCGCGCACCCGCGCCAAACTGGCCGAACCCCCACCCGCGGTCCCCGCCGGGCCCGTACACCTCGTTCACGCGCTCGACCCACTCCTCCGCCTGCGCCCGCGCCGCGGTGAGGTGCTCGTGGCGGAGGAACATCCAGAACGCCTTCGTATGCCGCAGGATCCACCCGCCCCTCGCCCCGCCCAACGCAGTTTGCGGCTGCACCTCCGGCGGCGGGGGCGGCGGCGTGCGGTCCGACGCCGTGTTCCTACGCGTGAGCCCCATCGCATGTGCCACCCCGCCGAGCAGCGTCCCCTCGCGCTCGCCGCGTGCACGCTTCTTCGCCCTCCCCGCGCGCTTGCGCTGCCGCTTCTCCTGCCTGCTCAGCAGTTCGTCCAGCTCCCCAACGCCCATGCCCGCGCCGACCCACCACCACCACCCAAAAAAGCTCTGCCAGAGGATCACGCTCCACATGAGCGGCTTCATCCACGAGAACTCGAACCGGGTGGGGATGTACACGAGCGAGATGACGGTCGAGATGGCCGCGAGGATGAGCGCGCCCACGCCGAACGCGGCCGTGCCGCCGTCCATGCGCCACGCGTTCTTGCGGTTCACGAGGAGCCCCCAGAGCGCGAGGGAGACGGTGAAAAGGAGCGAGAGCGTCGCGTTGCACACGTTTTGGATCGCGATCGCGGTGCGCGCGACCGCGAAGGTGTCGATGACGCGGATGAGCTGCATGACCGCGGATGTCGCGGCCAGGGGCCCGAGGAGCCAGAAGATGAGGCGCTTCTCGAGCTTGGAGGGGAAGAGCAGACCGAGGAACTGAATATGCGTGGCCTGGATGAGCAGCCCCGTAGCGGCCATCATGAAGAGCCACCCCATGAGCATTGCGGTCGACCAGCCCTCGCTCCCCGACGGTGGGAGGTCGACGGCGACGTAGTTGAGCATGTACGGCCAGGTCTTGCTCTCGTCGGAGACGGTCGACATGATGACGTGCAGCGAGGCAATGGCATTGGTGAGGAGCATGCACACGCCGGCAAACTGGAATGCGTAGTTGACCGGTGCGAGGCGGAAGTGGTACTGCGCGGTGAAGATGAGTTGCAGGAGGAGGACGGCCATGAGCGTGAGCACTATCCCGTTCACGAGGAGCTGGACAGGGAGCGAACGGGCGAAGACAGGTCGATACTGGAGTATGGGATCTATCTCGGACCTACGAGCAGTCAGGATGGCGTGTAGCAGCGGCAGACACTGAGGCGTACCCTCTGGTGACATTCGACGCCAGAACATATTTGGAGACCGATAGCAAGAGGACGAGGCGCCGCGAGCGTCCCATTGCTCGGGATGAGGGATCTGAGCTGAAGCCAAGCGCCGCTGGTATGTTTACAAGTCGTGTGGGGGCCGTGAGCAGAACGGGCAGAGCCTCGCGAAGGCCAGAGGGATGGGCGACGAGAGTGGGTGTCCGCTCGAGGAGCCAGCTAGGCGCTCGCTCATCCGTAGCGGCCAAGCCTGCCAAGACCTTCCAGAAATGGAGCGAGGCCACGATTACTAAGCATTCACGACTGAGTCAAGTTGCTGGATGTACAGTAAGTGTACAGTACTTACCTCCTACGAAAATTGAGGCCCCCTATGAGACCCGGGGGCCTGAGAGCCTGAAGGGTGTATACTGGAGCCACGAGCTACAGCGCATGAGGTGGAAGGGGGTGCGTCTTGATTCGAGCTCGAGGGGCACGCGCCAGTCTCTTGCCGTTCGACAGCCTGAGTGAGAGGATGAGGGAAGGGAAGAGGGGGATAATGTTGTCATGCACGAGAGCAGTTCAGCCTCGCCTTATATACAGCGGACAGAGTGGAGCTGCTCAGAAGCCGCGGCGGTGTTTCAATACGTGACAGGAAGAGCAAGGAGCGCAGAGTGAAGTACAGGACCTTCCTCATTCGGAAGGGCACCTTCCAGATCCGTCAAATACTTATCCGCCATTCAAAGTCATGTGGACAAGTACATGGGTAACGGCGTTGGAACGCTGTATATCAGGCCTCGGCACTGAGCGCTGAGCAGGCAATCGGGATCGCGGGCAAGAATCTCTCCAGTTTGCGACCTGGCAAAGTCCCACCAGTGGTCGAGTGATCCCAAGAGCCAGCTCAGGCTGCGTACTATGCATGTCAGTGATCAATCGAGCTATTTTCGTTGTCGCAAGGTTACTCATGTTAGTAGACCCGTGCGCCGAAGGACTCAGCCAGTCTCGTCCCAGTGCGCGAGCTATTCGCGCCTCACAGCATCAGTGGGAGAACACTGGGCTCAAGCCAGTGATTGTGGCTGCGTGCTCTAAGTGTTGCTGGTACGCTTGAAGGCCAGATCCACTGTCCTGAAAATGCGTGTCTAGCGATATGGTGATGGCTGTCAGCTGAGCCTATCCTGCATAAAATATTGTTGCTTACAATGTTGTTCCAGGATATGCAGACGGAGTCGCCGTGCCTCTGTATGTATGTGCTGCCACAGAGGTCAGTGCATTCCGGGTCTACGACGAGCCTGGCGGGGTGAGAAGGTGCGACAATGTGTTCTCTCTCGGACCGTCCGACTCTGACTTGGCTCGATCACTGCCTACTCAGGCACTGCATGGTATGGCTCTCGATTAACGATCGCTCTGTCTGCCCAAAGACTTTCTCTACAGTACAGATGCACATCACTATATGATGTCACGGTGCTTGCGAGATAGATGTGCAATCGCCGAAGGCCAAGTCCGCGGGCGCGGTGACATCGGCACAGGCTCCGAGACGATGCCGCGTATCATCCACCCATGGGCCATAGAAACAGAGCAGGGTGACTCACACTACCTCTGGCTTCCTGGTCGTTGCGGCGTTCGTCATCACTCTAGTCGCCCCGCGGGATGCGGGAGGTCATCGTTCCGAGCCAGCGCTGGCTGCGGTCGTGGCGCGGTCGGAAGGCCTCCAGCACTGAGGGGGGTCTCTCGAGATGGGGGCGTAATGACGCGGTCTCCGAGACGAGTAGACAGATAGTATGTGGGAGGGCAGCTCAGCACACAGGAGGAAGCAAGTTAGATGTTGGCGGGGGATGAACGGCTCGTCGTCGAAATGGACGGCGTTGGCAAAACTGTGGTGGCCGGGTCGAGTGGCTGGGCTCAAGGAGGAGGTGCCCGATACGAGGTGGATAACAATGGGGCCGACTCGACTCTGTCTTGACAAGTCAACGGTACAGCGCCGGAATCGCTGGTGAGGGGGCTGCAGGCAGATCCCTAAGGACCGAGCACCGCAAGTGTTCAAGCTAGCTGTTCCCCAGGAGGTGACTGCAGGACGCGGCAGAGTGGGGATTGTAGAGGTGCGCGGCATGCTGTCACGTTCGTGCGCCTTTCCGCCTTCGCTCAGACTCCATCGACTCAGGTGGTCCCGAGCCATTCGGCGTTGAAAATCGGGGTGCTGGAGGGCAGGACGTAGAACGAGCGCAGCATACGCCATAGATTATGGTGAAGGCTCGTCGTTCGTGCCATATGCCAGTGCCCTAGTCAGCCGTCATGCTTACGGCCCAAAGCCTCGCTCGTTCACAGGTTCAAAGGGGAATTGCCCTTCTTACTCTCCGCATGACTCTCGGCACGCGTACGACCCTACTAGTTAGTACGTCTTTGGCACGCCTCATGCTCGTAGGCCGACAGAATCTCCCGCTTCGTCTGGCGGTGTTCTGAAGGCCATCATGGCGAGTCACGCGAAGCGTCTTTACTTCATTCCCAACAACACCACTCACGCGGCCTAGGAGTCATCGGCGTCGCAACGCTATCCAGCTATATCGCAGTGCTGTTGATCACCCCAGGCTATATAGAACATTTTGTGGTGCCGGGTGACCAATTGGTAGGCTAAAGGCCCTAGTCCAATTGGCGATGGCTCGGCATGTACCTGTCTATCGTTATGGTACTTCAATGTATTCTAAATCTTCCATTGCGTGCTACTTGAGTTCGGGGATAAGTAGAAGTGAAGGTCAGGGTCAACTTCGTCCGACGCCGCCGGAGGAGGAAAGGCGTCTTATGATCGGCTTTGGCTGCGGCACCGAAGGGACGTTCCCGAGGTATGACACGGCTCCGCTGAGAGGTTGCTAACTTTAAACAGCATATTCTGAGACGAAGCAACTGTTGACAATGACAGTGTCAGGGAAATGGCCTCGCTCATGACACACCAGCTATGCCACGATATGCGTCGTATGAGCTGTTGAAATCCTTCCGCCAATGGACTTCCGAGTTGGGAACTAGAGCGAGGGTGTTGCGAGCCGTGAATTGTTATGATTCAATTAATTTCCGGCCTCGCTATGGAACGTTTTCACAACCTCATGTACTATATACATCGAACTGAACCTCACAAATTATGTTGCTTGCCGATGCACGCCGGACCGTGACGTTGAGTGTCTTGAACACGAGCAAGAACCCCGAGAACCAACGGTGCTCCTGGCCGCTCGCGGAACCGTTCGCTTGCTAGAGCAAGTCATCGTCTACTTCCGCCGATCCAGGAGTCAGCTGCGGATCTGCCGGGCCTACAACCTCTGCGCCGCGAAGCCTGTGACGCCCGCCCGAGCCGTCGCATATATAGAGGTATTGTACAGTCGCTCTACTCGACAACCGGCATCGAGTCGGGGCTCATGCTACCGTCCGCAACTTGGACGCGCTCTATTTCTACACAATGCGACAAAAATCAACGACCCATACCTGAGTGAGCGACCGTTCTTCCTGTCTATCTCTGGTCATATGCTCACTTTGCCCAGGCTACAGCAGACCCTTGGGGAGCTGGCCTTCCGCAGCATATCCAAAGCACCGAATTCCGTGCCTGCGCCCCCGTAACCAACCTATGACTGGGTTGCGGTCCACGCATCACCGTCGCATCGACCGTCTGATTTAGTCTTTTCCCCGGTGTACGGTTAACGCGGTCTTCTAGGTGCCCACTTTTACTGCCTTCGGTCAGTCCTACGAGAATATCATAGCTTGGAGACTCAGCTGATCTATCACCAGGAGTCTGTGTTCTTGGTCACTGCGCCAGACCTTAAGCCTTCAGTTCCATGTGGCTTAGGGCAGACGACACCCGTAGAGTACGGATCCCCTCGTATGGAGTCACACATTCAAATTCTACGTTGCAAGGTGAGTCGCTACAGCACCTTGATCATTACACTCGTGATGGAAAACGAACCGACATCATCCGATGGGAGACCGCAGTGTTTCTGTGAACGCCTGGGGTGCCCGAATGACCATGTTGCCTGCTTAAGCAGGGACGTGAAACTCTCTCTGATATGAATATTTGTGGTATTTCGTGTTGTAATCATACAATCACTCACCTCCTTTCAATCACAGGGTCATTTTGTCATACAGACTCTCCTTGAGTTACGCATCTGTTCGCATATACCACAGTACCTACCCCTTCTGTTCCGTTGTCTTTCCGACTGTACGCAGTAGAAACCTGAAAAGATCTGGAAAGTATGCCACTCCGTTAGTCAACCTGAGGATACCAAATGAAGTACCAACTGTAAACGGATTCATCCAGCTTCTGCTGCAGTGACCAATACTAAGTTACTAAAGAAGTTACTGTGCTCGGAGCCGCGACGTCGACAGTTCCGAGTCGGAACCGATCAAGAGCCGATCATACATTCCGGCTATTGCCGATCACTCTGGAACGTCGAGCGCTTCGCTTCCGCCACATACGCGCGTGCGACTCGGGCATTCAACATTGACATTAATATTGTACCGACTAATCAGCGGGCACGTCTACCTCGGCGCGTATCCACAGGGCAATGTGCGACGATGATGTACAACTTCTTGTGGAAAGGCATTTTGATCTTTGCAATGTCCTCTTCAGCCGCCAGCACGACTTTTCCTCGTCAATGTACGATATACTTACGGTGCAAGAACCACCACAACCGCTAATAACTGCACCTCTGGCTCGGATGGCGGTTTTGCCACATGAGAATTTATGACGTCCGCCCCATCTTCTCTCTTCTGTACTTCATGGTTTCGCTCAACGAGCGATACGTTGCAGTACACTAGTGGCGAGCCTGAAGAAAATCTAGTAGTACTCAGCCGGATGTTTCGTATCCTGAAACCGTGACAACTTGCCTTGTTTCTCTGCCGTGATACACAAGTGTAGCCATCTTCCGCCTATGCACCAATGGCTCTGAGTCGCCCAGCTCGCTTCACTTGGCGTACGTTATCGGCAGTACTTCTGTTACGGAGTGTAGGCTTCTTCAAGTTCAACATCGGTGCCTCCTCCATCCGACACCCCGTCTCCACTACCAAGATGAGTAGGCATGGCTCTGTGATGATTCCGGAAACTTGCCCGATAGCAAAGGCTTCCGACTTACGTGGACAGTTGAACAAGCTATACATATGTTTTGTACGGCGAGGCGTTGGCATACGTGAGGATGAAAATTGAAGCCCAAATCATAACATTGGCGGCCCCGGGGATACGAAGTTTCGTGACAAGACATTCAAGGTAACATTTACAGTAGGAGACCGACGAGCATATCATAGTCACTGCCTGCGGTTCTACGGATCAAACTGTGCAGTCGTGCACTATCGAGCTGCGCCTTCTTTAACATAACGGCAAGAATGCTCGCAGCATTCGGCGTATGCAATGCGAAGACGTGAAGGTTCTCTAGAGTTGGTGAAAACCCGTCATCAAAAGCATCTGGCGAGATGAAGTCCTTCTTTGCAGCACGCGCGAACAGCTCACCCACGAGCCGCGCATCCACTGCCCTAGCGGAGACGACAGCGTATAACACAAGCATATCGACGAGGCGCCACCTGTGCCCCGACGAAAGTTTGCGACAATACGCCTCGCCCTCGTCCAGGTCCCGCACTTCGAAGAACCCCTTTAAGTTGTCGCTGAGCTGCAACTTGAGCTGCTCAGTCATTGGCGTCATGCGGAGGCGGTTGACATTGGGGGTATGAACGTCGAATATGGACAGCGCTCCGAGATCCGATTGAGGGGGCCCGAGTCTTCGTCGGATACCGGGACTCGGCTCCTCCGCGGTCGTAGAATTTCCCTCCGGTACAACTGTATGGGCAGCTCCCACACTTGCCTTGCGACAGTAGGTTTGCGATGACTCTGCCGCAGCATACTCTATCGCGTACTTGGGACTGTCCATCGACTCTGAAGCCACGCTCGAGAGTACCCATGACGACAGGGCCTCCTCCTGCTGCTGATCCTTTGCAGGGATGTTTGCTGACTTGTCCGCTTCGAATGCTACTCCGCTGGCCTCGGTGGATGGGGATGGACCGCCCACCTCCACCTCCGAGCTCGATATCGTACGGATACTGGGAAGGGTGGGGGCTCGGACATCGGACCAGCCATCGGCATCGACATCCGACAGGTGGGAACCATGACCGCTGCATAGAAACTCACCACAGAACGCCTCAGATACGTGCGAGTAACCTGATTCTTCCCTTGCGGCGATTACTGTATCTTGCATGTGAGTAGTAGCAGCAGAATCAGAAACAGCAGTTTCATCGTCAGCTAGCCATTTGTGATCACGAAGATCAATGACGTCCTGTGTTCAAATTAGTTGCGACGCAGACTTTGAGGCGTGTAAATCTACCTGGAGCATAGTTCGCATACGCAGATTGACGTTCGGCTTGTTCATAAGCCCTCTCATACATGCGAAGTAGCCATCCATGTGACGACGGGCCTTCGGCGTGTCGATTTGCAAGCCGACAGTGGTCAACAGTAAACACAGCCCCTCGATCTCCTCTTCTTCGGGGTCTTCGACGTTGGCCAGAAGTTCGTTGATGGACTTGTGCATGATATGCTCTGTAAGCATCTGCATCTTGAACAGCTCGCCCATGAACTTAATGAGGCCGAGACTCTGCCGCCTTGCTGTCTGCTGCGCAGCGGTTTCCTGGTAGCCTTCCTCCATAGTAGAACGTGCAGCCCAGCAGCGCTCGAAGTGCTCCTTGCACCGATTCAGCAGCAATCTATGGAAAAGCTGCCCTCCCGCAATAGACTTGCCCTCCGCGTCCCTGACGGCCTCATCCCGAACCCCAGGGCTGATCTTGCCCATCATTCTGCGACACAGGAGTGCATACATCGCAGACGAGGTAAGATCGTTGGTTGCTGTGTCGTACACGAGGCGGACGATCTTGCTGAGCGATCGACAGTCATGTTCATCCTTAAACATGTTTGCACACACGACGATTTGGTCTGAGATCGAGTCGAAGGATTCCATGGTAAGTCCGTTGAGCAACGCACGGACCTTGCTGGAAAGCAGCTCTAGCGAGTGCAGGTCGACTTCGTACTGTTGCTCGTCAAGGCTCGTCAGATGCAATTGATGCACGAGGTACTCGGGTGGCACAGCGTCAGCCTGCAGCGATGACAATCCGTGCAACGAGCGATCAGGTCCACCCCTGTTCGCCTCTCCACAGTCGACATCCCGCTTGCTGACAATCGCGCTGGGACCGTCTTGACTGGACGGGCGGACCATAGGAGATGGTAGTGTGCCGAACTGCGTGCCAACACTCGCCTGTTTGAAACGGTCCTCGCTGGTCTTGATGCCCGGCGTCGCGAACTTGCCCATGGTGAAACTGCCACTCGGACCATTGAGATTTGAAAGACCAAGGCCCTGCAGCTGGCGCGCGGAGTTCGGAGGCGGCGGGCCCATGGCGGACGCCGAGCGCCGTTGCGAACCACCACGACTCATCGGGACACCAGCACCCTGCTCAGATGGCTCGAGACCGATGGCATCGAGTGGCGGGAGGTTGTCAGGCTTGTCCTTGCAGATCTTCATAAACTGCACGAGGAAGTCACGGTCATACCTAAGATCAAGTGTCAGTGATGCGTACATACACGCTGCAAAAGAGGGCTCTTACCTGAACTTGCCATGTTTGGCGTTCATGTTGAGCTCGACCTTGGGACCCTTGATACCCTCGGGGTACGACACGCTGCCAAGATCTTCAATGGTCCGCGCGGTGGCCAGGGCGGAAGGGAGGGGCTGGGCGACGGGTTGGCTGCGAGTAGAAGAAAGGTCGAGAGGGCCAGCACGCCGCTTCTTGGATGTCTCCCCCGCTGTCACAGCAGTGTCTATCCTGAAAATTCCCTTGTCCTGCGGCTGAGCCTTCTCCGCTTCCTTGCGAGCCTCCTCCTCCTGCTTCCGTCTCCGCTCCTCCTCTTCCCTTTCCTTCTCCTTCCGTGCACGATCCTCTTCAGCTTTCCTCCGCTCCTCGGCTTCCCTCTCCTTCTTCAGCTTCTCCTCTGCCTGCTGCTTGATCTTCTCCTCCGCCTGCTGCTTGACCTTCTTCTCCGCGTCCCTCTCCGTGCCGTCCGACGACGTGATCTTGGCCTTCGATGCCCGTGGCTGGAACGTCGGTGCGAGCGTATTTAGGCGGTTTCCAGGTCCAGCAGATGATGGTGTAGGTGGGGGCGAGGACACAGAGGACAGGGACGATGTATGCGTGTGTGGCGACGGGGTGGGATGTGGAGGATGGCCCGTGTTGGGCATGGCCGGCGCCATCGTCGGCGTGCCAGGGGCGTGCAGTTGATGAGGGGGATTGCGGGGCGACATTGACATACTAGGCTGGGGCGGACTAGGTAGGCCTTGCGGTTGTTGGTGAGGTGTGCCGACGTGCGGCTGCACCCACGGCGTGTAGGATATATAAGCTTCCGATGGCATGCCGGGGTATGGTCCATACTGAAGAACGAGGAAGCAAGTTACTCGGCGTATTCGTCAGCGAAAGGGATAGTGAGACTCACGTAGTAACCGCCATACCATCCTGGGGGCGGAACAGGCTGAGAAGTGGGTGGCATGCCTGCAGGGGGCTGCCCGCCATGCGGCGCACCCAGCCGCGGACTCGACATGCCCGCCGACACAGGCGTGGGCGCAGAGCCACCATTTGGTCGTCCATTCACGCCATTCATCTGCCCATTAGGCATCTGCCGCGGGAACACCGGGGAACGGGGTGGCCCGCTTTGAGGAGGTGCGCCATTCTGCTGAGGTCTTAGCTGCCCGCCGCCGTAATGGGGGTATGGGTGAGCGCCCATCTGAGACGGCTGTGCCTGGGCATGTGTCGGTAAGGGTGAGGCGTGCGGCAGAGGTGAGGGGTGGGTCGATGGAGAGGCAACGTCAGAAGGCGCCTGCGAAGGCACACTGGATACGGGCGGCACGCTGCTCGGGTTGTTGAAAAGCTTCTTGACATCAAACTTGGGCTGAGTCGTGGCAGACGTGGGAGGTTGTGTGGACGAGCCGGCTGACTTGCCGTTCGGGGCGGAGGTGGGTGTCGCTGGGACAGTGCCGAATGAAGAGACCGTCGCCGACTTAATCATAGGGACTGAGGCAGGGGAGGAAGAAATCGGTGCAGACACGTCGCTCATCGAACCGACTGTTACAGCAGACGCTGACACCTCATCAGTACCGTCACGAGAGACAATAGACAGTACTATACCTGACTTCACAACGTTCGTCAGGCTTCGTGCGCCTGCGACGCCGTCCTGAAATGCTACGTCCTTGACTGGATAAATCGGTCGCGGACGGCCCTGGCTCGGCGCGCGTAATGCGAAATGTGGCGAGGGGGCTGAGGCAGCCGACTGCGATGGGCCCTTGGCCCAAGCTGACTTGGACGGGAGCTGGGGCGATGGCTTGGATGCCGTTGGTGTCGAGGATTTGCTCATTCTGATTCTGACAAGTGCTACGGGAGTAAGTCAGGCACATCGGCGTCGCACGTAGAAAGCTGAGACTCCTCTGTGAACGAGTGGTTTTCCTTACACTAGACAGTGGGGTATTGGTGGACGAGGAAAGTCGATGTGGTGGGAAGCTGCGTTTCGCACACCGCACTTTCGACTGTCATATAACCACCCGGCTAGAACTTTATCAAACCGCAGTCAACGACGATACGTGGAGAATAACAGGTGGTGCAGGCCAGGCTTGCGCGTTGAGGTTGTGCACCTGGTCCTCGTGTTCATCTGACAGAAGGATCCTTTTCATTAGGAAGCTCAGAAGCTGACCCGCGCTCAGATCGTCAAAAGCCTCTGAGCAAAAAGCCCTGCTCTGACGGTCATCCACGTCTAAGACATGATCGCTGAGGATGCCTTCCAGTCGAATTTACTCACTGGTGGCAGCACGGATTACTGTAACGTTTCGACCATAGGTTCGCGGGGTGTGACCTGTGACCAACGAACTGGCGAAATCCCCAGTTCACAGGGCCTGGTGACCTGTGAACACAGAACTTGGATAGTTCGCCGGTGACCGCCTTTGCAAGCACTGCGTCGCAGGCCCGAAAGTGCATTTGTATACCTGTGACCGCCGACGGGAATACTGAGTTCGGACCCCTCTGTGACCTGTGACATATCAACTGAAACCCTAGTTCGAGGGAGGGTGCGACCTGTGACCGAACCTATGGTCGAAACGTTACAGTAGATGTACGTATTCCATTATATGTATGGTATGCATACCTGAAGCTGTGATTCTTCCATGCTGGAGTGTCCATGTCACATCGCTGCGAGTCCATACACATATGCACACATGTCGGCCCGGATCCTGGACAGAAGTGCTCAGTTGGTTTGATAGAGTTCGAGGCGTGGCATTGTTACATGCTGTGAGGGCCCTGGCGGCAGGCCTGACGAGGGTCTTCCGGGAGGCCTACAGATCCTTACATTGGTCTCTCAGTTTCTTTCTCTCGCTCGCGTACTCCGCCCACCCCCGGGCTTGTACATAGAGGTGCCTCTGCTGTCTTTCTCTCGCCGACTCCTCCGGTCGCCGACTTCCTCTAGAAACGAATAGTTGGCCACTCTCCGCGGCCGCTACAGGGCTCGCCCGCTGACCGCCTCCCACGCCTTCCTCGCGCTGGATCCGGAGTCGTTCCTCATTCAGAGACGGGGATAGCCACTTCCTGGGCGCGCGTAAGGACTGCGCAGCTCGACGGGCAACCCGGCGGCTACCTCGTGGGCCCTCGAGACTTCAAAGCCTCACAGACGTAAGCAAACGTAGTGTTTGTGGCGGCTGGCGTCCGATCCAGCCAGACACGCAGTGCCGCTAGACATGCAATTCCAGTATGGCCGCCCAGAAGTAGTGAGATGGCAATCAGTTCTTGGGCAGCGTATAGGTGATACTTGGAGTGTTTTTCAAGTCCAAGCCCTGAGCCTTGCGAAGACCATAAGGTTGCGGTGAAGTTGCAGAAGTAGTCAACTCAAAAGGCTGCAGCCGCAGCGCGCTTCTGCGTGGCTTATGTAATGAAGTATTTTAATGTCTATGATATGTTCCACCTACGTTATACAGACGTTCCATGCCCTACGCAAAGCTGTCCGATCAATTTATCACTGTTCGTGGATTTATTCTCAAGCCGAGTCCGTCGCTCTTTGTCAAGCTGCGCGCCCTTCATCATGTTCGCCCGGCTCGGTCACGATGCTGAAGGATTCTATCGACTCGGAGGCTTCACCTGGACCAACACGGATCTGCGCGTCGTCCTGGGACATCGATGGCGCAGCCGAGTCCGACGGATCCAACGTCGAGTGAGCCCGCGTCTCGTCACGCCGAGGCAGAGTGCGTGGAAGCAGGTTGAGCTTCGTGCGCCGCTGCGGCGGAGTCTCGGGACTGGCCTCGCGACTCGTTCGTGCGGTCGCAGTCTCTGTTGCGAGTCCAGGACCCTCCGTCGAGGTGATATTCGGGTCCCGCAGTGGCATTGATACGGAATCGCCCTTGCCCTCGTCCCTCGAAGATACACCCTACGGCCCAAATGTCAGTAGTCTATTTGGCTTGTTGAAGTGAGTCAAGGTCACCCACCGCGCGCGAACTAGTGTGGCCACCAAAAGACCGGCCACTGGCATCTGCAGCGCCTTGGGCACGATTACCAGCGCGTGGAGATCCGCCGCGCGATCTATTGGAGGTACGCCAGGATTGGGACGTGGTGTTGATCCAGTGCCCCTCGGTGAGACGACTGAGTGAGGCGTGACATCCTGGTCAACAGGAGCCCACTCCCGTTCACGCAGTTCAACGACATTCTGTGGGGGGTTACTGTTAGCTGCGATAACCTTTGTTTGAGAAGACTTGCCTGGAGCATTGCTTGCATGCGGGGGCTGACGTTCGGATTTCTCGTCAGCCCTCTCATTCGCTCGAAGTAGACATCCATGTGGAGACGGGCCTTCGGTATGTCAAGCAGCGCGCCGGCGGTGGTGAGAAGCATGCATAAGCTCTCAATTTCCTCCTCCTCGGGGTTCTCTATGTTCCTTAGGAGTTTCTTCACACACTCGTGCATAATACGCTCCGGAATTAACCGCACGTTGAACAGCTCGCCCATGAACTTGATCAAACCAAGCCCCAGCCGCCTTGCTGTCCATCGCGCAGGGTAGTCCTCGTTCGCGCGTGGAGCTGTATCGCGCGACCTGTCGCTCTCAGCGGTAGAATGGGCAGCCCAGCCGCGCTCGAAGTCCTCCTGACACCGGTTCAGCAGGTATTTGCGGAAAAGCTGCCCTCCCGCCAGAGGCCTGCCCTCCGCATCCTTGATGTCCTTGTCCTGAACCCTAGAGCTGATCCCCTCCATCATCCGTCGGCACAGGAGTGCGTACACCTCTGACGAGGTGGGATTGCTGATCGCCGCATTGTACACGAGCCGAATGACCTGGATGAGCGAGCGACCATCCTCCTCGTGCTCTGACTTGTTCGCCCACGCAATGATTGCGCCTGAGACAGGGTCGATGCGCTCCATCGTGAGTACGTTCAGCAGCGCGTGGACGGTTCTGTCGACCCGCATTGGGGAGGCAGCTGCGATAATTTCTGTCGGAGGCCGCCTGCCCGTGCGAGGTTGGAGAGGTGTAACTGGCGATTGGCTTGCCGACGGGAGCTCGCCCTCGAGCGACCCGGCCGCAGCAGGTTCCAAGGATATCGATGCCAATTGTTCCTCCATTGCGTCACGGATGTGCCTTCTCCTATACGAGATCTACAAGAGGGATTGTGGCGGCGAGCGACGACTTGGTAGATGAGGAGATGGTTCAGACAGACGGCGTACGCAGCGAACTGGATGACGCACGTCGGCTTGATGCTTTCACAGGCTCAGTGACTCTAGGGCTGCGCCGTCTCCTCGTGATCCAACAGGAAGGGTTGTTTACGGCAACTTCCAATCAGCAAACCTTGCTATATGCCGTTCCCTGAGCGCCTGATCGGGTCAATTCAAGTAAACTCACTGAAGTACTGACTAGGCATGAGGCATCGCACCTCCGAGCACGATCCTGAGTACCGGCCACGACTACTGTTCCCTCTTGCATTGTCGTACACAAGATATTTCTTTTCATATCGAGGGTCTGCACGGGTGCTAAGAAAAATATGATGTTCGGAAGGCAGCCTGAGTAGGAATGACTGACGAACCAAGCATGAGGATACGTGAATCTCGTTCCGAGGAGTATGGTCCTGACCAGTGGGTATCAGAGTAACTCCACATATTGTATGTGACCAAGGACGAGCCTGAGCGCGCTGCTGCGCGAGGAGGCGGTGACCGTCTGAGTAAGTACTCATGTCGACGTCACGGTGCGGAGGCTAATCAAGTTATCAACGTATCGGCTCAGGGTCTCGGCCACTTCCGAGCGCTCGATCCCGGGCATTCATTGACAGTGAGCTATGGATGTTGTACATTGCGACGCAGGCCAGCCAGCGCAGACGTGTGTGGAACGATAACAAGATGCGGATGATGCACGAGGACGAGCGAACCATGACCAGCGAGACGGGAACAGATAATGAAGCAGAGGACGTACTACTGTTCTATGATAGCAGGCTGATTAACTTATCACTGTCCATAGATTTGCTCGCAAGCCTGGTCCGTCGCTCCTCGTCAAGCTGCGCACCCTTCATCATGTTCGCCATCAGGTCGAGTGCCTTCGGCGCGTCAACTACAATGTCATCAAGGATGTCCGCGGTCGGCGTGAAGCCCTTCTCGAAGGTCTCCGGTGAACAGAGGTTGTTCGATACCGCCCAAGAGAAAAAGTCGGCAACGAGTCGCGCGTCACTGTCCTTCGACTCGATCGCAGAGGTTACGAGCTTGTCGACGAGCAGCCATTGGTGCTCTGAAGGAAGCTTGCTGAAGTACACCTCAGCCTCGCCCAGATCGCGGACGCTGAAGAACTCTTTTGAGTCCTCGACAACGCGGGTCTTCGCCTCCTCCTCAGACATTGATGGCGCAGTGGAGTCCGATGGTTCTGACATCGAGAGGTCCTGCGTCTCGTTGCGCTGAGGCAGGGTACGTGGGAGCAGGTTGAGCTTCCTGCGCTGGGGCGGAGCCTCGGGCGAGCCATCGGAGCCCAAGTCGACAGAAGCCTCGTGGTTTGGTCGCCAACTCGGTCGTGCGGTCGTAGCCTCTGCTCCGGGCTCTGGGTTCTCCGTCAACTTCGAGAACATATTCGATGATGCGGAGTCCTTATTCGCAAACACACCCGTAGGACCAAAGGTTATGGCGTTGGTTTTGCTGATCTTGCCGAAGTTAGACAGGTCGCCCGCCTTTGGGGCACACGCGAAGGGGCATTGCCGGCAACGGACCAGCCATCGGGACCCAGGCCGACCTGCAACTGCGCACCACGGTGGCCGCCACGCCCGGAGCCGTTACGCGACATGCTTAGAGTGCGCTGGTAGTCCTTCTCCTTCGCAGCGGTCTCCTCCGCGGCTTGGGCATGGACAGCAGCGATTGTGGTGGAGCAGCGGTCTGGATACGCGGTATCCACTTGCGTTCGCGCAACTCGATAACGTCCTATAAGGGAGGGGGTTAACACAAGGACTGTTCTAATTCAGGAATGCTTACGAGAAGCATGACTGCATACGTGAGTTGACGTTCGGGTTCTTCGTCAGCTCCTTCATACGCGAAAGTAGACATCCATGTGCGCGCGAGCCTTCGGCGTGTCGAGCAATTGCCCGACGGTCGTGAAGAGCACGCCACGCTCGATCTCTTCCTCCTCAGGTGTCGATGTTGCCCAGGAGCTTCTTGGCACATTCATGCATGATACGCTCCATCAGCATCTGCAGCTTGAACAGCTCACCGACGAACTTGATAAGCCCGAGACCCCCCGCTTCGCCTTCTGCCAGTTATATTCTTCCGAGTCAGAGCGTTTCGCCGGACTCGTCCTTCGCCGACGCAGCCGTGGCGTCAGTGCTTTCATTCGTGGCCCAACCGCGTTGGAACTCTTGGCACCGGTTTAGGAGGTACTTGCGGAAGAGCTGCACGCAACGGGTCTGCCCCTCACATTCTTGATACCCTTGCCTGGATCTTCGGCTGATCTGTTCCATCATCTTCCGGCACAGCCGCGCGTACATCTCTGACCACGTCGCCTCGTCCGTCGCATTCTCGAATATGAGCCGGATGACCTGGATGAGTGTCCGTCCGTCGCGCTCGTTCTCCGACTTGTTCGCCCACGCGATGATCTTGTCCGAGATCGAGTCGAAACGCTCCATGGTGAGTGCGTTCAGCAGAGCGCGGACGGCCCTTTCGACCTCAACTGGAGATGCAGCGATGATGACCTCCGTCGGCAGCTGCCTGTCCGTGCGAGGCTGGAGAGGTGCGACTGACGATGGGCTTGCGAAGGATGGCTTGTCCTTGGACGACCCAGCTGAAGTAGATCCTATAGATATCGACGCGAATTGCTC